ATACCCGAGGAACAATAATTAATAAAAGCGTGCAAGTACTAGCATTTGCAGATGATGTTGACATAATCACAAGATCAAGAAGAGAAATGATAGAGGCATTCACTCAAATAGAACGAGCTGCAAAAAATAGTGGTCTTAAAATCAATCAGACAAAAACAAAATATATGCCTGCAAATAAAAATGCACAAATAAGGCAGATGCCAAATTTAACAATAGGAGAATACAACATTGAGGCGGTAAAAAACTTTACATACTTAGGATCCCTAGTTACGTCTGATAACAACGTTGCAGAGGAAGTGAAGAGGAGAATATTTATTGCCAATAAATGTTACCATGGCTTAATTAGGCAACTAAGATCAGATAACGTCTCCAGAAAAACAAAATGCCAAATATACAAAACCTTAATAAGACCGGTACTCACATACGGTTCAGAAACCTGGACACTCTCTAAAAGGGAGGAAACGTTATTAGCCACCTTTGAAAGAAAAATCTTGCGACACATATATAAGGGCACAGAAGAAAACGGGATTTGGCGGAGAAGGTATAACTTTGAACTATACAACATATACCAGGATCCGGATATCATAACATTCATTAAAATAGGAAGGCTACGTTGGATTGGACATGTGGAAAGAATGGAAGAAGGCGAAATACCAAACAAAATATTCAAACAAGTGCCAGTAGGAAAAAGAACAAGAGGAAGACCGAAGCTGAGATACGTAGAACAAATAGAAAATGATATAACAACATTAAAAATTAAAAACTGAAAAAAAAGCACGAAACAGGTCAGAATGGAGAAGAATCCTTGAACAGGCCAAGACCCAAAAAGGGTTATCGAGCCAGTGATGATGATGAAAATCAAGAATTGGATAAGTTGTCGAACAAAATAATTGACTTTAACTCTTTTAATTGTCGATAAAAAAAAAGATGAATCTTCATCATCTGAACTGTCTTGTACATCTGGTTCCGGTGATCTTTCTGTTAATGAAGTAATGTTGATTATCCCTGAAACCAACCGTGATACTCTTCCGGTATGGTTAGGTTCTTCCATAGTTTTCAGAAGATCTTTCTTCTTTGCCACGCTTATGGGAAGTGATTGTTGATAAAGTCTTTTTTAAACTTTTAACAGTATTGGTGACGACTGAATACTTGTGTTGTTGGTGAGTTTTTTAGTTCTTTTGGTTTACTTGCAGAGCATATTTTTTTTGGATTACTATCTTTTATTGGTCCTTCAAAATCATTAATTTAATCAATATTATCCGAAAGGTAATAATTGTAATAAATCCGATCAAAGTGGTCTTTCACAAATTTTAAGGATTTGATTTTGAGTCATTTCATTGGTTTTTCGGTTTGGTCAATATTTCTGTTAATAATAAGTTTTTCTGTAAGATCCGTACAGTTATATAAATCGTTATATTTCATTTTTTTTTGTGATATATATCGGTTTCGACACATTGTGCCTTTTTAGTTCAGAAACCGGCACCCACTTTGTTTTCTTGCATGTAAGCTATACATTTTTGCGATATTTAGATTTCTATCTAAATACTGTCGTTTCGTGCCTTTTCTTCTATAATGTGACTCCATTGATGGAAATGACTCGATATGGAATTTAACTTGTTGAATTGATTCCAGAATGGTTTTAATAATAGACCTATATCTTCCACGTTTGTCATTACCTAAGAATATTTTTATACAACCTTTATTAATGACAGCATAATATAATCATATCCTTGATATACCATTAACATTTTGCACGAAAAATTTCGGCATACTTAAATTTTGTCATTTTCATTGTCAAAGAAATAATGTTTTGAATTAGATATTCCGTTATGTTGTGTTTTCTTGAGTAATACGCATCTTTTTGGAGTACAAATTTATATGTTCGACAAATTAAAATATTTTTTTTTTCGTTTAAAATCCATTTTCCAATAGTTGGCGCAAAGTACTTGTCGCAGTTCCATTAAAAAATACTCAGTACATTTATAGGAATGTACGTAATGTATACTAATACATAATATAGACAGTTCTTCTCCAATCACTAGAATTACTTGATTTCCATCTTCTTAAACTGTTTACAGTAAACACAGTAAACATACAGTAAAATATGACGTGTCAACAAATATTCATTGGTGCCAATTTGTAACCCTTCGAGGCTCAATTTGTAACATCCCAACGTTGAGCTGCTGTTGTCAACCTGTAACCGCAAACCTTAGTTTACTGCTACAACCTGACTAACATCGCTAACAACGTTGGAGTAACAAATCGTTTCCCGTTGGGACCAATTTTTAACGTCATAACCCCTAATGTATCAATTACAAAATTGCTACATTAGACGTTATACGAAACACTCCCTGGCTAGCTCACTCAGGACGTGAATATGGCCTACTCTGGAGCAACACACACAAACAAGTAAAAAGAAGAAACAATACACAGTTAAATTAACACATGTTTATTAAAATATGAAAGAAAACAGAAAAATAAATGTTAAGTATCGTATTGAATTTAAATAAAAATTATTCGACTTCTTGCTACAGTGTTACATTAGGTATATGAAAGAACAATTTTTGTCACCAAATCCTAAGTTTTATCCTGGTCTTTTCTGCTCTGGTTGTTAGCAAGCCATGTGGTTAGTTTTGGATTTTCTTGTCCCAGAGTCAACTCTCCTATTGGAATGATGGTTCCATTCTCAGGCCGGTTGGTCTTCTGGATGTTAATAGAATTTGACCCGCACCTGAGAAATGTATCCCGGAGGTTGACTCCAAATCTGGAGACGACACAACAATTGGTTATTCTACTCTTAGAGAAGTCATGAAGAAAATCCACATTTTTAGAAAATAGAAGTCTTTATATCGACTTTTGTATCGAACGGGAAGGGGGAAATATCAACAGAGAATAAAGATGAGACCTCTCGTTCCAAAGTAACAGAAATAGAGATGAAAATAAAATTCACTCTTTAGAAACTTCAGTAAAAGATAAAAATGATGATTATTAAGAAAATAGAAAGGTAGATACTAAAATATATATATAAAGAAGATAGATTTGACGCCAACTGGTTTTTATACCAAATACCAGTAAAATGAAAAGAGAATAATGAATCAATTAAGTAACGACATAATTCTGATACAATCTATATCCGAGAAAATATATAGAAAAATAAGAGATACAATGGAGGATATAGAAGAATATGAATTATGACAGAAGATACGGAAATTGGAGAATAGAATTAACGAAATATATTAACATAAGAAAGAAAGCAGGCAATGTAGCAGTTATAACGCTACAACTTCAATTACCACTGTTTTGTCAGAAATCTGTGCATTAGATGAAGTTGGACAACTTATTTCAATATTATTCGGTAATAAAAAATTTGATAATACTTAAATTTCTGGTGATAAAAAAGGAAATATTTGATTATCTGATAATGTCGTAGATTTTGTCACACAATTTGAGACCTTTACTGGCTCCACTGCGCGTTGTTAAATGTCTGGTAAGTATTACATTTTGCAAAACAGTGTAACCACAAGGGATATTAACAGTTTCATCTTAAAAAACTAGATAACCTAGTACTTTTTCAGCAGGAGTGAATCAAGACGGATCCTCGTCAAAAAAATCATATCCTCAAATTGCCTCATTTTGTCTCTATCATCCAGTTCTGTTCAATGTCACTCTGCCAATAAATTGTCTCCTTCAGTTTTTTATTACAACTGCAGATATAATTACATCTCTTCCTACTATTAATATCGATGTTCTCTTTAATTACAGAAATTATCCTTCTCCGAGCAATTCCTTTTTTTGTATCGTTGTGGAAGAAGAGGTCTCTCACATAATAAAGTTTCTTAATAATTCGAATTGTAGGGAGGTCACGAAATTAATAGCAAGGTTTTAAAAGAAACTTACCAAATAGATTTAATATCTTTCACTCATCTTATTAATTTAATTCTATCAACTGGAGTATTTCTGGAAGTACTAAAATACTCAGAAGTACTACATATCTATAAAAAGGTGATTCCTTAAAAACTGACAATTACAGACCAGTAAGCATTGTTTCTACTTTTGAGAAAGTGATTGAACAACAATTTTATTCCTATTTTGAGTCCAATAATGACTTTTGCAACTCACGATATGGATTCAACAGTGCTCGTTCTACTACGAACGTGGTATATAATGTGAGCGAGGTGATTTTTCGCAATTTCTCTTTGCGACTTGTTGAAGGCTTTTTACTGACAAATACATGACATGTTGCTCCAAAAATTAAATTACTCTAGAATCAGAGGTATCCCTTTTAAGCTTTTAACTTCTTATCTATGTGACAGACACCAGGCAGTAGTGTATAAAGGTCATCTCTCCAATTTTCTATCTCTTGTATGGCGTCCCACAAGGTTAGGTCTTAGGACCTCTTTTGTTTATTATTTATGTCAACGATTTGTCTAAATTCAGATCTCTGTACAAATCCATACAATTCGCAGATGACATGACATACTTTATATCAGGAAAAAATAATGATGATTTAAAAATGCCTTACGACGAAGTTTTTACTAAATCTAACACATGCTTTGCTGCAAACAAACTAAAATTTAACTTTGATAAAATGCAAAACTTGATTATATCTGCAAGTAATTTACATAATGATCCATTTAACAAAGAAACTGTTAAACTATTAGTAATAACCATAGATAATCGACTGAACTGGTCGGCTCATTACTCACAACTATTGTTTAAGTCACAACTAAAGAAAAAGTTATCAAATTCATTATTTGTTATTCCCCAACTAGCAAGGGTTGTCAACTTTTGTCAATTTCCATTCTACAGTAAGCATATTACACCGATATTCTTGTCACATACAGTCAACTAAATCTATTTCTATTTCTCTAAAATAAAATACCGCAATTCAATATTTGAAAAGCTCAATAATCTTTTTAATGATTTAATTAAGGAACTAACTAAATAGGCTGTCTGATGCAAAATCCACTAGGTGTTTAAAAATGCATTCAATAAGCACTCTACTTTCCTATTACCTTAATCTGAAGATCTTTTTTTGCATACAGGTTCTTTTGCATAAAAAGCTGTTTCAACTGGAATGAAGGAATAATTTTAATAGTATGGGTTCACGAGACATTTTTCTAAATTAATCTGCATGTTTTAAGGAGTTACTATGAGTAATTTTAATAATTGTTTGTCAACCTGTCTACAAGATTAAGGATCTTCTTCTTCGTCTTGTAGCACTACAACACGGGATGGGTAGTGGCTGACTTGTTTCTATCTCAAACGGTCGTCCATGATAGTTGGATTGGTGGGTAGCCACATTATTCTTAAATCTGACCATATGTTATTTCTACACCGCACTCGTGGGTATCTAAGAGCCTTCTCCGTGTCGGAGCCTCGTCCCAGATTAACAATATGATGAAAACCTTGGACGACAGCGTTATATATTTGATTGACCTCAGTATTTTTTCTCATTCGGTATTTTTTAGTATTCGGGTAGTTGTAGGGTCCGAAGATCCTTCTGAGGATTTATCTCTCAAAACATCTCAAGTTTTCTTTCCATTGCTTTTGTTATTCTACACGTCTCACACTCCTATAAGCACCAGTCTTATCACTGTTTTGTATATTCTGATTTTTAAGGTTCGGATTAGGCTCTTGGATTTAATAGCGTTATGGAGGCTGTACCTACATATGTTTGCAGCCTAAATTCTCCCTTTTGTCTGTAATATCGTTATCTGCGATGATTGTCGCTTCAAGATATTTAAAACGCCTTACTCTTTTTATATGGGTCTATTAGTACATTTTGCCCTATTCTATCTCGCCTTTTTTTCTGTTGTATTTGTACATGCACATGTATTTAGCACATGTATTTAGTTTTCTCTTCATTGGCTGTAAGATTGTTCTTTGCCTCTATCATGATTGTAGTTCTCGATAGTTCTATTCTAATTTGTACTATTCCTACTACCTTTCCAGGATTCTATTAAAGAAGAGAGGTGACAATGCGTCTCCTTGTTTTAGGCCAAAGTCTCCCCTTTCGGCCTGTGTATTGTCTGAGAGTGGCATTTGCGTTCTTGGTTGTTTGCTTCTTATGTTTCATATATGTTTGGGTCCTCTACCGATAGGTCTACCTAAAGGTATATCTCCCGTCTATGTTTTTTTCTTTTGATGTATGCTTAGTAATTGTTTGAAATAATCTTGCAATGATTGGAGTAGTTTATATTAAGGAACAAATAAAGATAATATTTGTTGGTTCAAACCTCAAGTAGTGCGCTAGGTCAACCCTCAAACTAGTGCGCTACATAAATATTTATTAAATAAATTAAATGAATTATATTTATTAAAATGATGGACAAATATATGTGAATTTATTGATGGTCAAAGACAACTTCTTTAAAGCTACACTATTTTAAAATGTGTATAATAATCTTTCTCTATGTATGAGAACCATTCGTAAAATAAGGTTCGCATGAATTTTAAAAATAGACAGCTTTATTTTTGTTCTTAATGTTATAGATCATTTTTAAACTTAAAACTTACGCTATTATTTTACGTAATCTCCGTTTTTATCCAAACCATTTTGCAGACGATGCTCTAACTTCTCTATCCCCATGTTATAGAATTGTACCGCCAATCCATTAAGGAATCGAGTAACCTCTTCTTTGATTTCATCATCAGGACTGAAGCGTAAGACACTTAAGTGTTCCTTTAATATTGGCAATAAGTGACAATCACTCGGTGCTAGGTCCGGACTGTAGCGGGGAGTGGGACACAACAGTCCAGCCAAAATCGTTTAGAAGTTGTTCAGTATATTTCAATATATTTTAAAGAATCGATGAATTGCAAATGCTACAAGGTCACTCAGAACTTAAAGAAAAGATTGAGTCAGATATGATACCATTAAATAAATAATGGGTGTGGATGTAAGTCGATTTAGAAACTGCATTAAATCAGCTAAACTTATTTTTGTGCTGACATTAGGTCTGAGCAAAATCAAATAGTAGCTATAACCCAATCCAAATTAAAAAAGGTGCTCAAAAAATAGTCTTGCAAAAATATTGATTTAACCCAACTACCAGATGAGAAACAATTTCATCATTACTCTCTTAACGCAGGGAGTTATGGTAAAATTAGATCCAAAATTAAGCAGGATAGAACCGATTCTAGAAGGGTGTCCAAGGTATTATGTAAGTGTGAGCAGAGACCTGCTACGTGTTCTCGGTCTTATTTTATGGTGTCGAGTTTTGGACTGTTAAAATAAAAATGATGTAAATCGCCTTGAGGCTTTCGAAATGTGCTGCTATAGAAGAATTTTAAAAGTTTTTTTTGGAGGACGGAGAAGATTCGAAACTCCACAATACTAGAACGTTTTAGCAAGACTACTGAGATTATAAAAAGCATCAAGAACAGAAAGCTGGAGTACTTAGGGCAATTGCTACAACATATTATAAAAGGGAATATACCTGGCAAACGCAGTTCAGAGTGAAGAAAGACTTCATGGTTGAAGAACTTGCGAGATTGGTATGTATTAATACAAGTATGCTTTTTAGAGAGGCAGTGAAAAAAAAAATAACATAGCTATGGTAACCAACTTTCTGAAAGCACATAATACATAAAGATGAATGAGGAAGGAACCATTACTGATGGCTTAAAAAAAAGCAGTTAAGACGGTATGGACTCATTCAAAGGAACAGAAACAAGACTCCCTAAACAAGTAGTAAACTAAAAACCTACAGATAATCTGCTATTGTATTTGGAATCAACACTTACATGAGCCAACCTTTATTATTTAATAATATTAATGTAGACACGTATTGATGTGGTTGCTTGATGGCAAATAAACAGAGATTGTTTAATATTAATCGTATAGATATTGAGTTCGCAAAGAGATTAACAAACAATACTTTATTAAATATATGAAGAACGCGCTAAGTAAGAACTTGATTAAATTCTGTATTACAACAATTTTTACCTACCTTAGCCGATTGTTGTAACATCTTGTTAAAATGATAACCGTCGAACATATCTATGGAATTGTCATCGGAAATATCATTTGAGGTAGGGCATTCAAACATATGTTCCGTATCACACATACAGTTTTGTGATGCTTGGTATCTGCGACTGAATGAAGCGGTATTTTCAAACATCTCAATGCATCCATGTTCAGCTAAAATAAATAAACAGTAACAGATGATATATATTTTAGAACGCACCTACGAAAACTATGCCTACGATGAAGGTGTTTTGACTCGATCGTCGTTTATTAATATGTTATATTAATATGTTAGCCTTATATGTTAGCCGTTTATATATATATATTTATATATATATATATTTATATATATATATATATAATATAATATATATATATATATATATATATATATATATATAAATAGAGTGTGTATAACGACGCTAAGAATACAATTCTTTGGAGGGTAACTTTCGGGAAAGCGTCAAAACAAGGATCAGCTAGAGATGGTATAACCCAGTTTGGTGTAGAACTTTATTCTAAATGTGAAATTTTCGGTGATATGTTGTCACCTTCATCAGCACCTAAATGGAAAACCTATTTTAGTACAAGTGGTGGAAATCAAAATTTAAAAACCTACATTGAAAATGTTCAGTTGGTCCTAGTGGTGAAGAACACTGTCACAAACATGTTAAAAATAATAAAAAATACATTTAAAACTTTGAATAAAAACATTACAACACAACAGGGTATTTTTTCAAATACAAACACAACAAAAAAAATCTAAAATTTAAAACCTACAAAAACTGCAACTTCATGTTAAAGGTAGAAAAGAAGAATTATTCTTCTTTTTTGATGACATATTTCTGATTTCTGCCAATATCCGGGTGTCATATGTAACGAGGTTATAAATTTTCACGTTTGCACCTGATGGATATGGAAAGAAAGAACCCAAGGAAACATAATCAGCAGGGGAATGAAGTCTTTTGCCAAGTACAGGCAGGTAATCTATGCATGTTATGATAAGTTCCCTACATTCTCCAGTTTGTTACATCTTGTCAAGTCCTGTTGAAGTAGAAAGGAATAAATACAACTCAAGTTTTCAACATCTTTCTTACAGTTCATAGAAGAGCTGCAGTTATGGATGTAGCACATTTCTATGAAGTTTCTCTTAAATTGGTTGTCAACCCTCTTTAGTACTTGCACATTTTCATAGTTAGCAATGTGTCCAGTATTCTTATATGTTGGCTAAAGGCTGTGCAGGTGGGCTTCCTCACTACATCACTCTTGTGCAAAGCTAGTCTTTTTGAGAGTTTCTGGCTGGTTTGACCGACATACACTTCTGAACAGGAACCACATGGAATAGAATACACTACATTGAAGTTATCCAGTTTTTTAACTCTTTCTGTGAGGTGAGTAAAGTATGTCCCTAATCTTTTGTACACTGAATTTGCTATCACTATGTTGAACTGTCTGAAAAGGTTTGTGATCTGTGGTGATAAACCTCTGATGTAAGGTAATCTCCATAGAAAACTTCTACTGTTTCTCCTTCTAATGTTTGTCTTTGGTGTGTTCTGACTGTTGGCATATCTTGGAATAGCAGTTTATTAAGAAGCATCTTAGGGTAGTGATTTTTTCTAAGAATCTCAATACAATAACTTGATGTTCTTATTGTAGTTAGAAGGGTGACAAATTCTTTTTATTCTGTTTTTCAGACCTTTGATGATGTTAATCTTCTGCTCATCTGGACGATACGAGTGAAAAGGCACATATCTACCTGAGAATGTTTTCTTTCTGTACCAATCCAACCTTACTGTGTTGTCCTCATGTCTGGTTACATAGGTGTCGAGTACTATTATTTTCTTCTGTTTCAACAGTGAATTGTAGGTGAGTGTTATATGAGTTGAAAATGTCAAGAGTGTAGTTGATTTTGTTTGCAGGGACTGCACATATGAGGTCGTCTACATATTGGTAAATGAAGGGGAACTGGAAATCAACTTCTTGAGTACAGTAGTGAAGTAGGGAGTTCATTACAATTTCTGCCAAAGTTGGGGATATAGCTCCACCCATGGGTGCTCCTTTTATTTGGACATAGACTTTATTTTGAAAAGTGAAATATGTATTGTTGTATAAAAAGGTAATCAGTTTCAGGAACAAAACTTTGGGAATTGTACAGTTCTGTTCAATAAGATGGTAATTAGTTATCAGAATAGAAACTACCAGTTCAAGAGGGATGTTGGTAAACAAGGAAGTAACATCAAAACTCACCAAGACATATCCTGAAGGTAGTAAAAACCCATTGATCTTATTTGCAAATTCAAAAGAATCTTTAATTTTGTAGGTATTATGAGAAGAAAAAGAAGTGTCAATAATACCTGCCAGATATTTAGCCAAGGATTGAGTGGGGGCATTCTTACAAGATATTATAGGACGTAGAGGGCACCCTTCTTTGTGAATTTTTGGAAGTCCATAGTATGTTGGGGTGGTACCGGTGTAGTTGGTTAATTCTTTTTTTATTTTGGTGGTAATATATCCTTCTTCATGTAGTTGTTTTATTAGTAAATTGATGTTTCTTTCTACTGATGGAGTCAGATCTTTGGGGATTTTTTTATAGGAATGTGGGTCATTGAGAAGTTCAAATGATTTGGTGATGTACTCGTTTCTGTCCATTATGACTGTAGTGTTACCTTTGTCTGCTCTTGTTACTATAATATCAGGGTTGTCTTTCTGAAACGAGAAAATTTCTGAGGTGGAGCTATATCCCCAACTTTGGCAGAAATTGTAATGAACTCCCTACTTCACTACTGTACTCAAGAAGTTGATTTCCAGTTCCCCTTCATTTACCAATATGTAGACGACCTCATATATGCAGTCCCTGCAGACAAAATCAACTACACTCTTGACATTTTCAACTCATATAACACTCACCTACAATTCACTGTTGAAACAGAAGAAAATAATAGTGTTCCATTCCTCGACACCTATGTAACCAGACATGAGGATAACACAGTAAGGTTGGATTGGTACAGAAAGAAAACATTCTCAGGTAGATATGTGCCTTTTCACTCGTATCATCCAGACGAGCAGAAGATTAACATCATCAAAGGTCTGAAAAACAGAATAAAAAGAATTTGTCACCCTTCTAACTACAATAAGAACATCAAGTTATTGTATGAGATTCTTAGAAAAAATCACTACCCTAAGATGCTTCTTAATAAACTGCTATTCCAAGATATGCCAACAGAGGTTTATCACCACAGATCACAAACCTTTTCAGACAGTTCAACATAGTGATAGCAAATTCAGTGTACAAAAGATTAGGGACATACTTTACTCACCTGACAGAAAGAATTAAAAAACTGGATAACTTCAATGTAGTGTATTCTTTTCCATGTGGTTCTTGTTCAGAAGTGTATGTCGGTCAAACCAGCCAGAAACTCTCAAAAAGAATAGCTTTGCACAAGAGTGATGTAGTGAGGAAGCCCACCTGCACAGCTTTTAGCCAACATATTAAGAATACTGGACACATTGCTAACTATGAAAATGTGCAAGTACTAAAGAGGGTTGACAACCAATTTAAGAGAAACTTCATATAAATGTGCTACATCCATAACTGCAGCTCTTCTATGAACTGTAAGAAAGATGTTGAAAACTTGAGTTGTATTTATTCCTTTCTACTTCAACAGGACTTGAGAAGATGTAACAAACTGGAGAATGTAGGGAACTTATCATAACATGCATAGATTACCTGCCTGTACTTGGAAAAAGACTTCATTCCCCTGCTGATTATGTTTCCTTGGTTCTTTCTTTCCATATCCATGCTTTCCCGAAAGTTACCCTCCAAAGAATTATATATATATATATATATATATATATTATATATATATATATATATATATCTTTATTTATCATTAACTCCGAAGGCGGAAGAGCTAAATTAGTTAACGGCATTAAGATGTGGACAGCCACGGGATGACTACCAAATTAAAGATCCGCATGGATATCCTTAGTAAAAATCCTCATGGACCCACTAGTTGATAGTTATTGTTGATTAACTTACTGATGATAGAGCCCAAGATCCAGGATCCGGCAGTGGAGGACAATCCGATTTAGACGACAGGGCCTTTCAGGTCGTCATTAAGGTAGTAAATCCCTCTCAAATAAATAAGAATAACTCTATTGCCTTGAAAATTAAAACATGGAACGTCAGAGGTTAATACCAATCTGGCAAAGTAGATAACATTGTGTCGGAAATGTGCAGAATGAAGATAAACATACTGGGGATTAGCGATACTTACAACTCTCATTTAAAACGTAAAATAAATATAATCCAAGTATATGCACCCACCTCAAACAAGGATGAAGACACCATTGGCAATGTCTTAAAGCTAACTAAGACATAGTATAAATATTATAATGGGAGATTAAAACGCTTAAGTAGGCCTAGAGTAGTGGAGAATTGTGTGGGGCGATATGGCCTCGGGGAAAGGAATGAACGTGGCGACAAGCTGGTTGATTTCTGTATCAATGAAGAACTCATAATTGCAAATACCTTGTTCAAACTTGCTAAACGTAGATCATATACATGGAAGTCAACAGCTGACAATAAGAACAAAATAGTCAGAAATCAAATACGTTATATAATCGTTAACAAAAGATATAGAAATTCTATAATATTATCCAAAACTTATCTAGTTGCGGACATATCCTCCGATCACAATCCGGTTGTTTTGTCGATGAGAGTGCAAATAAAGAATGTAAAGCACCCTAGTTCCAAGAAAATCATGGATATAAGGCTGCTTAAACAACGCAACACATATGCGGAACTGAAGTGTTAAATAAACGAGAACTTAAGGCAAGACAAAGAATATAATGCAGAAACTCTAACTATTGACCAAAAATGGGGTAAAATTTAACATGCCCAGTTGGAAGAGAAACCCTCAAACCACTTGGGGAAAAACAAAACTTAGTATGGTAGTTGAAATTCATAAACTTATGAAAGAACAAAGAAAACATAGAGCAAAAGACCGGAATAAATACAAAGAAATTCAGAAAAACATCAGAAAGAAAATTCGTGTGACAAAAGATCGGTGGTTCTCCGACAGATGCAAAGATAGTCTCTAAATTACTTGTATCGGACTGACCGAAAGTTTTTTCTAATGATGGTTAGTTTGCATCAAGGCTCTTCACTGACTCCCCGCCTGTTTAATCTTGTTATGGATGTACTGGTAAAGAGGGTAAGGGTGAGGGCTCCTTGGTCGATGCTCTTTGCAAGTGATATCGTATTAGTGGAGGACAGCAAAGAAATTTTGGAGCAGAAATTGAAGAGGCTGATAAGAGCTATTAAAGAGGGAGAAATTAAGGTTGCAGATTTAAAACGGAGCATATGTGGTTGGGAGGAAGAGGAATAGTTGGGTACACACAATTGCTTGGAGAAAAACTAGGATCAGTAGGAGAAATTAAATACCTTAACTCCTACATAACAGGGAGAAATGCTCACAGGATACAGGCTGAGTAGTTTAACTGGGATGACTACAGTCTCAAATAAGATCCAAGAATAAAGACTGCAATGGATTGGTCATGTCAAATGTATAAATGAAAACTATGTGGGAAGAAGGATAGAGCTGTTAGTTGATGGAAGAGAGGTAAGGAAAACCGAAAAGAAATTGAAATGGGTAGAATAATATTAACATGTGCGTTCCATTTAGTAAAACGTGATATAGAAATCAAGTTTAAAATATTTTTTTATTAATATGTTCATTTTATGTGAATAATTGGTACAGCCTATGATATTTCTGATTGTAAATTATTGCTTCGGAAATATCAGAATAAAGGATTAGAAAGTAAGGATTATAAAATATTTTGTTGGTAAATACTTAAAAAAAAAGACAAAGGTCTACTGCCCTTTAGATTTGATTTTTAGAATAAAAATTGGAAATTTCGGATAGTTTAGTTGTTGGCGATTTCGAAGTAAGTGGGTTTTTATGATAACGACGATACTTCAATATGATTGGTTGGGAGTAGAATGTGAAAGTGGAATGAGAAATGACGGGTGTAAGTTAAAGGACGAGAAAAGAGATCTGATTCTGAGCTTTTGAAAAGAGGACTTTTGCTGGTAGCTCAAAAGTAATTTTCAGTGTTTTAATTTTTATACATTATAAAATTCTTGAAGTAAATTATCCAAATCAACTACTACATAAAAAATCAACTAATATTCAAAATACAAAACCTCTTCCGGTATAACATAATTTAAACAAGCATTTTATATATAATGTTTTTCATAGATTTATTTTAATTTTTTATTACAAAGGCTGGAAAACAAAAACATATTTATTGCTGAAATGGTTACGGAACGTGAGTGTTCGTAGAAATGTTGATCAGTGTTGGTATATTTTTCTTAATTATTGCTATAATCTTGACTATAGTACCAATTTTACATAAACGATATGTTAAAAATCAATCTAGGTACTTGGGCAATGTGCCAGGGCCCAAACCGAATGCATATATTGGTAATTTGAATTTATTCTTAGGAAAATCTATTGAAGGTGAGTTAAACAATATTACATATTAAGATTTAAGAATACTCTTCTTATATTTTAATTTATGTCTAGTGAATATACACGTTAGTGTTCTTCCAGTCTTCTTATTGCTTTGTAGCCGCTAGTCTTTCATCATTATTTATTATTGGTTGCTCGTCCTGCATTTTCAATCTTTTTTACTATGCCATTTGATTAGTGATGGCACTCTACTTCCCCTCCAGTTTTCCCTGGAACATGAACCTTTCTATAAATATTGCATAGAAATACAAGGTGAATATCCTAAGATATAAGCTAGATGGATGCCGTGGATTGTTATTCTTCTCAAGAATATATGAGTTTGCACCTCTGGCGGGTACTTAGCTTTAAGTCATTCGAATAATGTGTAGATATATTAAAATGTATCTTCCCTTATCTGCTGTTTTATTGGCCCATATTGCGTAGCTATTAATAATATTGGACAAAAAAAATCATTCGTGATGGACCATTCTCATTATTGAAGCGAAGCTTGTATATTGGCTTTGTATTTTACTTTTTTCTCTATAGTAAAATGCTGAGGCGAGCGTCACGGATCTAGCACCACAAGATGGTATCATCACGAGTAGCGTCATGGAATAGGACAATATTAATAGTAATAATGATTAATAACTAACTAAATATAGACATTAAATGAAAAGTAAAAAATTAAAATATATCTGTCAATAAAAAATAGTAAAATAGACAAAAAAATAAAAGATCGATGCTAAAATAAGATTCGTAGCTATTCTCGAACGTCGAAATTCATTATATATGTCAAAAGTCATCAATGTCATCCCATCCAATTAATAACAATATAAAATCGTCTGTTTAATAACGCCCGATGTCATAATCAATTTAACTGTGAATATTAAATAAATTAAAAGTTCACTTTAAGTGTAAATTTCAGTTTTTTTTTCAAGTGCTCCCAAAAGTTTACAGAGAAAGAATGAATTGTTTAGAATAATATGAATTATATGAATGATATTTATTGATAAGGTTTCCTTTGACAAAAGATACAGTTATATCTCTATTTGAACAGATCGAACATTTAATAAAACTTCATAACAAAGAGGTACGTAATATCATTAATATATAATAAAATTTGTCATCCGATTAACATTTGTGGATAAAAAATCATTAAAAAGTCAAACCAACCAAGATTAATGTTGTAATTTATATGGAGAAAATACTGTAATTAATACATAGTTTTAGGGAAGCTGTTACATTAGTTCAGCAGCTATTTTTAACATTATTACTTTTTGCTTCTGGAAAAATGCAAATATCAGTAGCTGACGGTATATTGGTATATCAAGAGCAACAGCTTCAAGAATTGAAAATATATCAAACAAACAATGAAATGGTTTAACTTGAAGAAGAGTTTTATGCCATTATATGATTTGCAAGATGCATAGCTGCAGTTCTTTGTACTTTAATACAAATTGATTCTTATGGAGGTACAAATGTAGAAATATATTGTTCAGAAAAAGAATTTTTGCATTAGATGTCCAAAAGGTCAGTGACTAGTTTAAAAATTAGAAATATTATTTCAAAATGTCTGGGTTCAGTACATGATCAAATTTAGTAATGGGATGTGATCAGTGCCGGTTTACCACAGTCTGCCACCCGGTGCTGATACGGATTCCGCGAACAGATTCAAAAATATTTCTTATTTTTGTTTTAATTCAACAAAACATATTTTGAATAAAAGTTTATTAAAATAAGGAAAACAATTACAACTTTTTTTGGTTTTAAACTTGAATGCTAAACAAAAAATGAATACTAAACAAAATACAAGAAAAAATTAAGGGCGAACTTTGTAGCACTTGCAATTCATTGATTCTTTGAAATATATTGAAATCCCCTCGTATATGTAATATATTGAAATCCCTCATATATGTTTAAAAAACGAAGAATTTTTTCCGTTTTTGTTAGTTCGTATCTTTCAAGTTAAAATACCTAATAGTGTTTTCAATCATTTTAGCGTTGCCAAGTAATAGTCTTGCCTCCGTTGCCTCCGTTAGTCGCTAGGAAAAACTGAGCATCAAGAGTCGCTACGGTGTCTGAGACCGACAATTAAAAAAGATTGTTTTTAATATAAAATTCATACAAATATTTTATATTGTTTATAGAAATAACTAAAAAATATTTTTGAAAATATTTTATTGAAAAAAAAAACAGATACAAAATGAAAAACACTGTATAACAATATATTGCGAATATTGTTCTGAAGCTATTTTCTTGTGGCATTTTAAAGTAATTACGGTTTAAATGGGAATAAGCCACAATTAGAGGTTAAAGTAAGTTTATTGATGTTTTAATTTTCACACCGGATATCGTTCTCAAAATACAAACATTAGTTTGTATTACGTACTATATAATTTTCTTGTCTTGTTCTAACATTTTACGGTGGAATAGCCTTTTTTTCATCTAGTAACGCTATATTTTCCAATAAACGCTAATGTATTACTTCCACTTTCTTTTTTCTCATCTGTCACATCTTGTTCCGATTCATTTCCACCATCACCACCTCAATTTGATCTATTTCGCTTTCACTTTCCTCATCGTCAAAATAATTTTCATCGTCGGTGGGAATCATATCCATAATTCCAACAAGCGTTGGAATCAAAGTTGTTTGGCTTCAAAGGACATCTATAAATAAGAATTGACAAAAACTTACCGATAAAATGTAATAATAAGATGATAAATATTTACCTGTTCTGCAAGTTTTGCAACAAATAATAGCTACACCGTTAGTCGCTACGGTTTCTGGCACAGAAAATAACTATAAATCTCACACAACAGAACTTACACATGTAAGAATGTACACTAACACGAGTTTGGTTGATAGGGAGAGGTACAGAAAGTAGCGATAGAAAAATAACAGTTATTTGTAAATCCCGAATGAGTAATTTTGTCGTCGGTGTGTGAGACCGATAGCGACTAACGGAGGGTTAAGTGAACGAATTCTTAAGAGAATTTCGTCATATTCTTACTTGGGTCGTCGTAGTCTCAGGTATAGATCTAAATTCTTACTTTGGTCTCAGTAAGCTCAGGTGTGGATCAATTCTTACTTTGGTCGCTGTAGGCTCAGTATGAATCCAAATTCACCGTCGAATTTGTAGTTTTCTGTTTTTGGCCCCTTTTTGTGGAAATGTGTAGCAGTGGAAAAGAAATTGTGTAGTATACCAGAACATGGTAGAATTTTGAAGCAGTATATAGGATGTCCCACCAGCTTTGTTGTCGTTTGCCTGCTTGATCCAACCCCATCTACGTCAGATCTTCGTTCCTGAGTATGGAAATGGTTTCCTTTTGTTCCAGTTGAGAGTTTCGTCCTTGCAGCTCCAATCTCAGAGATAGTAGCAAGTTTTTCAAAGTTAAGTGGCAAAGTTTGTGAATTAAAAGGTAACATTATGTGTTCATAGTAAAATAGCTTTTATTTTAAATAACAATAATTGCTTTCATTGAAATTTAAAGGATTTATAATACTTAATAAATTATAAAATTTCAGAATTTGAATTTAGCTGTCAATTTGTCTGTTCAGTTTTTTTTAAATTTATTATTAACTTATGACAGAATGTTTTATTATTTTTTGATTTTAGTTTACTTTATTTTTAATCTCTATGCCATTTTGAAAGATTTTGTAGCAATCTTCTTTGTAAACAGATGAACACGTAAGTTTTTTCTTTGTGTTTGTGTATTTTACAACTATTTATATAGTTTATTTTTTGTGTCATCTGTATTTGTGTAACTGTTTGCGGTAAGACACAAAAAATGTTAAATTTTGTTTTCTTAACATTTTGTTTATTTTTTTGAACTAACCCTTTTTTTGAGTTTTATTTGAAAAAGATGTTTTTTATGTTTAATAATTATTTCCCTAGTTACAACTAGTGGTTGTAATAGGTAGAATTAGGCACCTCAAAGTGGCGCCCTATATTAAATTACTCGAGGTGTTTCCTGTTTCTTTTTGCTTTGTTTATTCCAAGAGATTAATGACTCCTTTATTTCATTTTTTAGTAGTTGCCCGAATCCAAACCCCTTTGCCTTTTACTTATCTACGACCCGAGCTCTCCTAACAAACTCTGAGTGCCGTTCGCACAAGTAGCGATTATTTTGCTTGCCTTATCTCCACCTTAGTTTCAGTTCCCAATTTTCTACCCCTTGTATGTTTTTTGACCCCATGTGGTAAGCAAAAATATATTCGTTAGAACTTATATGCTCCTTAGTAGATTAGTTAGAACTTATAATTAATAAAAATGCTCCTAATAACATTCAACCAGGTAACATGAGGTAGGTAATCAAATACTTTTACTATTGAAAAGTTTGTTGTCTTGCTTTTACTGAAGTGAAGTTTTCGATTAAATCATTTATATTTAATTCATTTAGCAGGTCCTCGTTAATGAATAAAACTGTTAGGTAGTTCACATTTTCTTGAAAAATTGAATTTTTTAAGTTGGTCCTTACCCTTTTTAGTGTCGAAAGAGATCGTTCGCCACTTGAAATTGCGACCATTATGAAGGAAAAAATACGCAGGCAAATATTAACGTTTGGAAATGAAGGTATTAATTTATTTTCGTATAAAACCTGTACGAATTTTAAAAGAGTGTCTATTTTTAATTAAGGAGGAGACGTTAACAAATGCTTTAAATGAATACATTCTTGGGGAAAATACTCGTCCCAATCCTCTTTGTATTTTTGTTGTAATTCGATTGCTGATCTGGAAATATCTTCATCTTCCGTAGTTTTAAGTTTAAATAATAATTCAAATGCTCTTGAAAAATATTTGTAACTATCAGATCGGCGAATAATCTCCGACTTAAGATTGTCTATTATAAAAACATAACATTGTGTTCGGATTTTCTCTTTTTGGCTTAAACTTACCTATGAATTATTTTCTCCTAATTTCTCCTAAAAAATATGAAAAAGAGTTAAGAATAGACGAATAGGGGAAATAAAGATCATGAGAGATGAAAGATATGTCTCACCCCACGCTTGATTTAAATTTCCTTTGACAGCTGTTCATTAATCCTCCTCCTACACAGTCCTAATCCCTTTTGGGATGTGTGACACCATCCGGCCTTTACAGTTTTTTCACGATTTTCCTCCATCCTTCTCTGTCCTGGCTGGTTGGCCAGGCCCTTACCAGCCTTTGTTTTGTGTGTATTCTTATGCTAGAAATTTTCCAAATTGCTACCAGTTTCATCACAGCTGTTCTAGTAATAGTCAACCTTTTACGTATCTCATTATGTTCATTAATGCGTACTTTTAATTGCTGCTTATAGCACAAATTCGGTATGAGCCTGAGGTTATTATAGTCTATCTTCTTTAATTTCAGTATATTTATTAATTGTTTAGGTCGTACTTTAACGAATATTATATTATAATTTTTTTTAGAATACTTGGACATAATTTCAAATGTTTTTAAAGAAAATGGAAATATAATAAAAATTTACAGAGGACCTTTAGCAACAGTGGTGTTAGTGGCAGACGAAGGTCTTCTAGAATATATTTTAAGTTCCAACAAACTTATTAACAAATCCAAAGAATATAAATACTTAGAGAATTGGTTGGGAACAGGACTACTAACTAGTGGAGGTAAGTCAATTTCAATTTGAACTATTTTTATCAAATCTTCTACCTAACCACGTGTCAAAATTCATTATTTGACGCAGGTCTTATTATATTAATTTGTTCCTTTCTTCTTTATTGATTTACTTGAACTCGATTAACTACATAAAATTTCTATTAACGTACACCTCTTCACAACGGAAACCTCTGCTGAATGGATAGTTTTTTAGGTCACTGACATTTCATTTATGGGTAAATAGGAAGACAACTCCGAACAACGAACTCTCTTCATAAGGACTTCGAACAAAATTTCAATTTGAACTATTTTTATCAAATCTTCTACCTAACCACGTGTCAAAATTCATTATTTGACGCAGGTCTTATCATATTAATTTGTTCCTTTCTTCTTTATTGGAAGTTACTTGAACTCGATTAACTACATAAAATTTCTATTAACGTACACCTCTTCACAACGGAAACCTCTGCTGAATGGATAGTTTTTTAGGTCACTGACATTTCATTTATGGGTAAATAGGAAGACACCTCCGAACAACGAACTTCCTTCATAAGGACTTCGGACAAAATTTGCCTTCAGTTTTTATAAGAAAAAAAAAATTTTATTTCAAATCCTTTATAAAAGGTACATAATAAAATACCAAAACGGGCTATCACAATTACATTACAGAACGTTTTTGCAATGTTAATTCCATCATCAGTGTAAACGGGGTATACATGCTATGAGCCACCAAAATATATGGGTCAAAACCCGTTAAATGTTATAAATTTATAGTTGTTTTACATTATATATAATTACAAACTAGGATGTTGAAGTTACCGTTGGAATTCCAACTAGGAATAAAACTAGGAATAAAACTTACAACTACGTTGTAAACATCAATGTGATATTCCCATAATTTACTCAAGATCTGTTTGACTATACATATTTGATTCAGTGTCGATTTTTCCCGTCGAAAGCCCGTCTGATACTCTCCAATAATATTTTCTGCTAGTGGTTGGAGCCGCTGGTTTATAATATACGTGAGGACTTCATATGCTGAACATTTTGTCTGATAGGTATGTCTTTATATGCTGATCATTTTGTATGCTGAACAAGAGTTTGTCTCCTTTTTTTATAGATCGAACATACTATACTTTTCTTTCAGTCGTCGGGTATTTTTTCTTCTTGCCACATGTCGAGTTTGGAGCATGGAGAGACGTTTCAATCAAAACAATTGAAGAGTGTTTTATTAGGTGCGGTTTAAAAAAAAGATAGTAATGAAGACGAAATTATAAGTTATTTAAAATTATTATTTTATGCACTTATACGTTTTTATACGAAATGAAGTTACCAGTTTATGATATATCAATTATTTAGTTGTATTTGACACTAATAAATGTTTCTGTTCGATTTTAGGTCAAAAATGGAAAACTCACAGAAAAATGCTAACACCAGCATTTCATTTTTCCATTTTAGAAAACTTTGTTGGAATTTTCGAAGAGTTAGGACAAGATTTTATCAAAAAGTTATCAAGTAATGCTAATAAGCCATCGTTTGATATATACCCCTTGGTGAAGTTATTGACGTTAGATATTATATGTGGTAGGTCTTTTCACTAATTACCTAAACTTATCTAAATTTATACAATAATTTCTGCACATACAAAATGAAAGAGGAGCACATTCCAAACTGTAAAGTACTAAATATGGTTCTGAAACTATTTTTACGGGTTTTTCACTGAATATTTTGTACATAGGAATAAACCACTTCTCCTTCTTTCTCTGTTTCTTCTTCAATATTAGCCTCCTAAATTGTCGCACCATCTTTTTCTTGCCTTATACCATCTTGTCTGCCAATACTTCTTCATCCATTTGGTGACTTATCTCGTGCTATTCTTACTATTCTATCCTCTGCCATTCTACTGATATGTTCGTTCCACTCCTGTTTTCGTTTTGTCACCCATCCATTTATGTCTTCTATATTGCATGCTCTTCTTATGTTTTCGCTTCTCTTCCTATCCAATTGACTTCGTCGGACTTCTCAATGATCTTCGTCGGAGTATTTTCATCTCTGTTGTTTTTAGCAGTCGTCTCGTTTTAGATGTGTGAGGTCTTGTCTCCGCCGTTTATGTTAATACAGGTCTAATTGCTGCTTTATAGATTCTTGTTTTTGTGTCTTGTCTTAGGTGTTTGTTCTTCCAGATTGTGTCATTAAGACAACCCACCGCTTTAATGGAATAAACCACAATTAATGTTAAAACATTTTTGAAGCCAAGCGTCTATACTGGCGTTGTATTACTTTTTTCTCTACAGTAAAATTAAGTAAATAATTAAAAGAATATATGAAGGGTAAGGGGAAAAAACAAACGATGTCCATTTTATGAGATTTTCAGGTAATCAACTCATTGTGTTGACAATATCCGGTCCCAAACATGTGCTGAATTGTATAGGAATAATAACAACGGTGTCCAAATAAGAAAGCATTAGAATATACCCGTACTGGTTAAAAACAAACGTTGTCCGCGCGGTACTGGTAAACAACCGACGTAGTCCAACTAGTTGCCTAGCAACGAAATTTAACAGGGCGTGACATTCTTACATGTTTTGTTCTTTTCACGGCAGTTTATTCCAAGATGAGTTCGAGTGAAGAGTATTTGTATGACGATCTGTTAAAAAAAACCAAGAAACGAAAGAAATTTGGTCGAACTGCAGATGTAATGAAAAAGTTAAGATTGCAGTCTCACGAATTAGGAGATGATTGTAAGTGTAAAAGATTGAAGTGTTTTGAAAACACTACTGCTCAAGAGAGGCAAAACATACTTAACGCATTCAATCAACTAGTATCAATTGATGCTCAAAACTGTTATTTAGCCAGATTGATTGCTGTATTGCCAGTTTTAAGACGAAGGTCACGACAAATCGATGGAGAACAACATCATGATGCTACCTACCGAGTACGAGTGAAGAGAGAAAACATAATAGAAGAAATATCTGTCTGCAGTAGTGCTTTTACTGCAATGCATGGTATTACTAGATCTAAGTTGGTCCATATTCAAGCATCTCTGAAAACTTCCGGAATTGCTCCTGTCGACAAAAGAGGAAAGCATTCTTCGAAACATCGTCAGTTAACTTCAGATTTGAGTAACCAGATTCAGCAACGTATTGCTTCATTTCGGGGCAGGTTAAGTCATTATAGCATTCACGACTCCAAAAAAGTATATTTGAGTGAAGAGTTAAATATTATGAAAATGTTCCAAATGTTTAAAGAAAAGTATCCTATTGCATCTGTTTCATATGACACCTACCGAAATATTTTTACTAACAAGTTCAACATTTCATTTGGATACCCAAGGGCAGATACCTGTAGCAAGTGTGATGAGTTTAATGCAAAAATCAAGACTCTTCATTCTGTTAACGATGCAGCACAGATAAAAGCTCTATCTACTGAAAATAACTTGCACAAAATTCGTGCCCAAGTTTTCTATGATAGAAAACGAGCTGCCCGAATAAAAGCTAGGAGAACTTTTGAATATGAATCAATCGTCATGGACTACCAGAAAAACATTTCGCTACCCAACATCAGCACTAACGATGTTTATTATAGGAGACAACTTTCTATGTTTTCTTTTAACATTCACGTGCCGTCTTCAGGAAAATCCTGTTTTTTTACATATCCTGAATATGTGTCAAGAAAAGGATCCGACGAAGTATCATCGTTTCTCTTCTTTTTCATTTTTAATGAACTACCAACAGAAGTCCGCCATATTCACATTTTCTGTGACTCAGCTGGCGGACAAAATAAAAATTTCACAGTTGTTCGGCTACTTCATTACATTGTCCATGATATAAAGCGTCTAGATACTATTCAAGTCATATTCCCCATTAGAGGACATTCGTATCTAGAATGTGATAAAAACATGGGCTTGATAAATTTGAAGACTAGGATGGAACTACCCGTAGATTGGATAAATGTGTTAAAAGATGCAAGAAAAAAGCCGGAACCGTTCAAAGTTATAGACGTGGACCAGACATTAACGAAACAGTGGACTACTTTTCTGCAAGAAAAATTTATTCGTAAGTGTCCAATAGCTCTACAACAAGTAAGGGAACTTCGATTGATGAAAGAAAAACGCGGATTGGTTTTTTACCGAACCACTTATAATGGCACTTGGGAAAGCAAGCAAATAACAGGTAGATCAATAAAATCTGTTTCCAAGAAAAATGAAAGATGGCGAATTTGAGTTACCAAGCCAAGCATACCATGGACCATTACCAATTTCCCAGGTTAAGTACAACGATTTGTAAGTGTTAAAACGATTTTGTCTTCCAAATGCTAAAGAATTTTATGAAACATTGCAATACAAATGAAAAATCTCTGTGTAGGCTTATGTCGAAAATAGACATCGTTAGATTTTAACAAGTTATTTGTGACATTAACGTGTTTTTTTTATTTTTTCAACAAAATCTAATAATGTTAAGTTTGTATCCTTTTGTTTAGATATTAACAATATTGTAATAAACTACTTAAAAATATTGGTATGCAGTTTTATTTATTTCTAAAATCATAACCAGCTGTTTAGTAACGTTAATTAACTTTTCTCTGTAAGTTACTTTTGTGACATTGTTTGTTTTTTCCCCTTACCCTTCATATGTTACTAAAAGATTCGATTCGGAACGATTCTCAAAATTTAATAAAATTCATAACTGTCATCCGGTTAACAACTATGTACATTGAATCACTTGTTTAAATTTTTATAATAATTCTCGTCTTAAAATAATTTTATATAAATACAATTATTATTTTTAAACCACATATTTTATTTATTGTAATAATTATTATAGTTTATATAATAATTAAATTGACTATCAAATGATTTTTATTTATATTTTTTTATTAATATTTGGTCTGAATTTGACAGATACGTCAGAAGTAAACAAAGTATGCTTTGTTAATACGTTAACAGGTGTCATTAGGAACAAACATATTAATTTATTGAATTTGCTTAAAATATATAAAAAATAAATAAATAATAAAATTACTTTATTTAATTTTAAATATACTATTTACATTTTAAAAATACATCTTTACAAACAGCTTTGTATCTCTGAATACTTAACCTGGAACAGACTTGGAGACGAACCACTCGTGGGAGTATTCTGGGTCAAATTCAAAAGTGCAGAGAAGGAAGTCACAATAATTCATACAATGTACGAATGTTAAAATAATTCATAAAATCTACGAATGTTAAAGCACCTTAATACGAAAATAAGGACTGCAATTTTGAGATGAATTAAATGAACAATAAACGAACAAACAGATTACATAACTAGTTCAAAATGTAAAGGATAAACATTATAGGCGGATAAATGAATCAAGAAAAAATCATAAATGCCAGATAAGATCCTTAAACTAGAAAAAAATCAAAAATGACCAAGACAGATATAAAACGATAAATATACCAATAAGAAGGAAAATCAGAGAAGCAAAAGAAAAAGAAGCAGTGGCGAAGTTATTGGGACTCTACAGTCAAAGTATGATAGTAACAATTTTACATAGGAACGTTAAAGATCTCATAGTTGGACTAAAGCGTAGACAGATAACTGATTTCGACGGAAACATAATCTTGAACAAACAGAAGTAACAAACAGAGTAAAAGAAGAAGGAAAGAATACCTGAAGAAACTGTTTGAAAACCAAAGAGATAACACCTTTGAGCTAGAAGAAGCTATAAATGATGGATTAAGAATAATACAGCAGGAAGTTTATTCTGCAATGACATAGCTAAAGCTATGTCCGATGGCAAAGCAGCGGGTCCTGATAATATACAAGCAGACCTACTCAAACTAATGGACAACAAATTAATAGCAATAATCACTAGAATACTCAACAATATATACAACTTTGGAGAAATACCAACAGAACGGCTGAAGTCTGAATTTATTGCACTTTCAAAAAAACCAAGAGAAAAAAAATGCGAAGAATATAGTACAATAAGCCTCATGAGTCATTTCCTAAAATTATTTCGAAAGGTAATCCAAAAAAAATTACAAGCTGTGTGAAAACATTCAATCGAGTACAACACGCCAAAATTATGGAAATACTAAACGAAGCAAGAATTAGTAACCAAGATCTGAAAATAATTAGAAACCCCTTACTGGAATCAGACCGCAAAAGGCTTCTACTAAACGGCCACCGACTTAACACTATTAGATATGCAGATGACACCATAGTATTTGCGAACAACCTAGAAGACCTACAAGTCGTTACACGGGAACAAAATCACGTATTAGTCAGCAATATGAACTATATTTAAACGTAAAGAAGACAAAGCTCATGAAAATTCTAATAAAAATGATCTACGTCAACCAAACTCCAGTAGAAAAAGTGACGCACTAGAACTACCACGGCACCATAATAAATGAAGAATGGACCAACAACCATGAGATAAGAGCGCGCATTGGAAAAGCTAGATCGACCTTCAATCAAATGGGAGCCTTCCTCAAGAGCCACAACCTTTCTCTTGGTATAAAAGTAAGAATGCTGCTATGCTACGTCTTCTCTATCTTTTTTTAAAAGAAAAAGATTGGAAGCATTCATTTAAGATGTGGCTATATCGGAGAATACTTAAGATCCTAAGCTCTAATATTAGAGCGCTGTGGCATTGAATATATAAAATGCCCTTTTGGGGTCCTTTGTAATACATAATAATAACGAAATATGTTTCAATTAACTAGATACTTTATTTCGTTATATTATGTTGTTTTAAATTTCACGACTAAATCGAAACAATATACAGAGGCCCAAAAGTCTGGAAACGGCTAATTATCTCGTAAAATGCTAATCATAATTGTACAAAATTTGAGGTACACCTATTTTGGGATACGGAGATTCCATATTTGATATTTACAATGCTGCCAGATTTGCCGTTTTTCTTATATTATTAGTAACTTTGGTTTTTCAAATACATCACCCTGTATATTCAGTCATTATTGGAATCTCCTATTCAATATGAGTTCAACCATATGTAACACTTATGATTTTATGTAATCTGGAAGGTTAGTAGATACGTTATTAAGTGTTCAAAATGTGCTCAATTTGTGAGTTGACAGCACCCTAATCGATGGTAGAAGGCGTCTACCACATTTCTCCATGATTGTCTAGAAATTATTCGAGATTCATTGATAATTCGTTGCATTAGCTCTGCAAGACTTGCTGGTTAAGTTTTGTAAACTGAATTATTCACGTATCCCTAATAAAAATAATCGTTAGGATTGAAATCGGGTGAACGTGGAGGCCATTCAATTCTACCTTGTCTACCAATTTATCGTCCAGGAAATATCTCATCTAAATATCGCCGAACATTTACACCAACTATCTGACGTTAAATTTCTTTCGACAAAAAATGACCTAATTGAATAAGTAACTACTATATCTAACCATACATTTAATTTTTGTGGTCTTTGAGTATGGTTTTCACGCATTCAGTCTTCAGTGTGAATTTACGTCACACCAGTACCTTAAATTGTGTCGATTTACACTTCCACACAGTGTAAAAGTTGCTTCATCGGAAAAACATATTCTGTTTTAATACGAATATTAAACGAAATTTTAATAATTTTCAATTTTATCCATCATTACCTCAGTAAACTCTAATCTACGACCAAAGTCATCTTCACTTAATTCTTGCAATAAGTTAATTTTGTATGATTTAAATTTATTTTTACGTAATAAACGTAAGACTGAAGTATGACCTACATCATGTACTTGTGCAACCCTGCCTGGGGATGAATGTGGATCTTGAACAAAACTTTGCTTATATCTGAAGTTTTGTTGTCATTGATAACTCGTTTCGGTCAACCTAATCGGTATCTATCTTTTACTTCTCCATATTCCTCAAATCGCCTTACAGTTTTTTGTACCGTCGTCTTATGAATAGAATGGTTTAGAGAACGGCATTTTAGAGAAGCAATTTAAATTGCAGAACTTTTTGAACCACAACTACTGTCAATTTTAGTTCATAATTTAAATAGTAAATAAATATCAAAATCACAGCATTCTCCATTTAAATATTTAATTTATTAAAATCTACATATTTTGCACTGTTTTATGTATTTAAGATCTTTCTGACTACATAAAATCAAGTGATCATATGGTTGAACTCGTATTGAATAGCTGAACTCGTGTGAAATTCACACTGAATGCATGAAAACCATACTCAAAGACCACAAAAATTAAATGTATGGTCAGTTATAGTAGGTACTTATTTAATTGGGACATTTTTTATAGAAAGAAATTTAACGTCAGATAGTTGGTGTAAATGTTCGGCGTTATTTAGATGAGATATTTCCCGGACGATAAATTGGTAGACAAGGTAGAATTAAATGGCCTCCACGTTTACCCAATCTCAATCCTAAAGATTATTTTTATTAGAGATACTTGAAAAATTCAGTTTACAAAACTTAACCAACAAGTCTTGCATACCTAAGGCAATGAATTATCGATGAATCCCGAATAATTTCTAGACAATCATGGAGAAATGTGGTAGACGCATTCTACCATCGATTAGAGTGCTGTCAACTCACAAATGGAGCACATTTTGAACACTTAATAACGTAACTATTATGTTAAAAAATATTCTAAACTATCAATTGTTACGTTTTAATGTATTTGAAAATAGTTAGTATTAAAAAATGTATTAAAACAATTTAGGCGTTGCCAGACTTCTGTTTTATGTATTTAAGACCTTCCAGACTACATAAAATCATAAGTGTTACATATGGTTGAACTCGTATTTAATAGTAGATTCCAATAATGGGTGATGCATTTAAAAAACCAAAGTTACTAGTAATATAAGAGAAACTGAAAATCGGGCAACATTGCAAATACCAAATATGGAATCTCCGTATCCCAAAATAGGCGCATCTCAAATTATGTATAATTATGTTTAGTAATTTACGAGATAATTAGCTGTTTACAGACTTTTGGGCCACTCTGTATATAAACACAGGTTCACGACCTACATTAACATTGTAAGACAATATTCTAATTAGCGGAGGTACATGAGCTTAACGAAGTGTTTAAAATATTAAACATTTATCATTGTATTAGATACGAGTCATTATATTAAGTATTATATTTTAAGATTATTTTGCGTATTAATACTAGGGGTTAAGAACCTAGCACATCGTGAACTGATCACTGACCACCATTAAATCTTGAAAGATAGAATACTTCGAACACAGATGAACCCAGATATAATTATTCCATAAGGTAGAAGATCAAGAAGCTCTCACAATGGTGATCGCCAATGTCGGATAACTCTGATATTGCACGTGAAGAAGAAGACGCCCTCCTATCGATGCACGGTCAAATATTTGTGAAGTGAGGTCCATTAAGAAGAAGAACACCCTGGTTAAAAAACCTCAGAACCTGGTTTAACACAACATCTGTGTAGCTTTTCCAACATAATGATTACCAACAATCGTCAAGGATAGGCACATCAAGAAGAACACTTTCGATAATTGCATTACACATTCTGTATCAGGAGTATAATTATTAGAGTTATGATACTATTAACTAAAATATTGTAATACATTTTTTTTTACATATTTATTAATATTGAAATTTAATCTTTCAGAAACTGCGATGGGTGTGAAAATAAATGCTCAAACGTACGAAAATTCAGCATATGTGCAATCTGTTAAAAATATTTGTTCATTAATTCACCAGAAAATGTTCTCTATTGCTGTAGCGATTAGCCATCATCTACATCCTTTGACTATCAATTACTACAAAGAGAAAATTGTCTTGAAGACACTTCACAATTACACTGATCAAGTAATTGCTAAAAGATGTGAGGATTTGCGGGGTGTTATTAAGGACAAAAGAGATGAAAACGGAATAAAAAAGAAAATAGCGTTTTTAGATTTATTACTCAGCGCCAACTCCAATGACCGGTTTCTTTCAAGAAAGGATATAAGAGAAGAAGTTGATACTTTTATGTTCGAGGTAAGTGATAAATATTTAAAATATGCAAGACAATAACCAAATATTAATAAATACATTTTAGGGCCATGATACCGTATCGTCAGCCATTTCGTTTACTCTTTACGCTTTAGCTAATAACGCTCAAGTTCAGGTAAGAGAATACATTTATTATAAAATGGATTTAATATGGAGATTACAAATTTGATGCTTGCAATGTTGCCAGATTTACCATTTTTTTGATATCATTACTTATTGTGGTTTTTAAATACAACACTCCGTATATTGCACTATTTTTGGATTCCTCACTTTAAAACGAGTTTAACCATATGTAACACTTGGTATTTTATCTAGTCACGAAAGTCTTAAATCTTATATAAATAAAACTTCTCAGTGCTAAATACTTTGGAAGTTATTAAGTAAATATATAATGCTGTGTAATGACGTAATGATGTAATTTGTAAAATAAGTTGTATTAATAACTAAAGCTGACAGCTGTTTTATGTGTTTTTAAAAGCTCTACAATTTAGATGGATTTTAATGAAAAAGTGCAAATTACTGTTTTAATGATTAGGGGCTACATCGATAGAAAAAGATATTATAGTGAAGTAACTAACTTGGTCAAATTATGTTAAAATTTAGTTGAACACAGTTTAAATAAACTTTTGTTTTAATAAACTTTTTAAGATGTTTCTAACTATATAAGATCGAAAGTATTGTAAACGGTTAAACTGGTATTGAAGTGGAGATTTAAACATAGTATTTCACCCTCTTTAGGTCCCGTCAAAGCGGTACATGCTGCTGCTCTGATTAAGGCTCTTATCGGCTTGCAGCTGCCCTGCATCGAAATAAAAATCTAATACCGTCATTAGTTTTATTTCTTTACTCTCTTTAGAGCACCAGAAACTGAATTCACTACGAAGTTTGACCATGATGAACGGCACGTGGAAAACATATTTTAGATTCCCTTGCTGACTAATTTATCAATCTGTCTGTCTTGCAAGTTGTAGCAAGCACAGTGGTAAATATTTGAATTCAGTTTTTCCTTGCAGGAAATCTTATGATTTCTCTTGTTAAAATATTTAATGCATTCCAAGATTAAAACAATGCTATCTGTTTATTTCTAGCCCATTATTTATTCACGTTCTTCTTATTAAAGTTCCATCTCCTATCGGAGGTTGGATATAATAACGGCTATGGTCACTTTGTTGGCTGCTGCTCTGAAAAGTTGTAGTGAACTACAGTTAAACCATTCTCTAAGGTCAGGAGATGCGCCTTCTTCTTATGCTTCTTCTTCCTTGGATCCTTCCTTGCATAATAATTCTCAGCAGCTCATATTTTTCTCCTCTGGTTATGTGACCCAAATACTCTAGTTTTCTTCTTTTTATGCTGTTTATAATTTCTAACTCCTTATTTAGACGTCGTAGTACCTCAGCATTGGTAATTTTTTGAATCCACTGAATTTTTAATATTCTTCTGTAACACCAAATTTCGAACGCTTCTATTTCTCTTCTGTGTTGTTTCTTCAATGTCCAAGCTTCCATTCCGTATAGTAAGATAGAAAATATGTAACATCTTAGAGCCCTCTATATATATGTAACACCACATTTCGAACGCTTCTATTTTTCTTATGTGCTGTTTCTTCAATGTCCAAGCTTCCATTCCATATAGTAAGATAGAAAATATGTAACATCTTAGAGCCCTCAATCTGAGATGCAACTGAAGGTCTCTATTGGTAAGCATTGTCTTCATTTTCACAAATGCTTGCCTTGCAGTTTCAATTCGGACTTTTTCTTTGCTTTGGCCATTTTTGTCATCAGCCCATGTTCCCAGATATTTGTATGTCTCTACTTTTTCTATTTGGGTTTGCTCTATCATTAATCTTTCATCTCCATGTTGCGTTTTTGAGACAATCATAAATTTAGTTTTTCTCTTATTTATTTTTAGTCCGTATCTAATGCAATAATCGTTAATTCTATTTACCAATTCTTGTAGCGATTCTAGGGAGTCTGCCATTGTAAGGGTGTCATCAGCGAATCTTATGTTATTTACTATTCTTCCGTTTACAGAGATTCCGCCACCCAGATCCGCTATCGCTTCCTGGAATATGGCTTCACTGTACACGTTAAACAGTAATGGTGACAGAACACAGCCCTGTCTTACTCCTCTCTTTATATCTATATTTTCGGACTTTTGTTCTTCTATCTTTATATTGGTCTTTTTAATACTATCCAATTAGTTTAAAGATACTGAAGAGATGTAAAGCTCAAGGTAGGAAGAATATTGTTAAGCTCGCAGATCGAAATGGAAAAGTGATAACAGATAAAGATAAGGTAATTAAGGTAGTTGAAGACTTTTACACAGAATTATATAGAGAAAGGGGCAAGAAAGACGGCACCAAGTTGAGAAAAGTCCAGAATGTGGGTTATCCCAGAAATAACAATCGAAGAAGTCTCAAAGTCATTAAATGGAATGAAAACAATAAAAATAAAGCAGCTGGTGATGACCAAATCGGTATTGAGGAAGTTAAAGCAGGAGGAAAGACAGTATTGAAAGCATTGACACAATTATAATATAATTGTTATATTATAACTTATGCCTTTCAAAAGAGGTTATACCATCTCAGTGGAATAAAGCTGTTATAGTAGTCATGCATAAAAAGGGAGATATAATAGAGCTAAAGAACTATAGAACTATTAGCTTGTTATCTCACGTTTATAAGTTGTTTATGAAGATAATAACTAATAGGTTGATATCAAAACTAGACTTCTATTAACGTTGCGAACAAGCAGGATTTAGAGCTGAATACAGAACAAATGATCATTTGCAATCTATTAAGTCGTGATACTTGTCTTTGTCGACTTTGAAAAAGCATTTGATACGGTCAGTCAAAGTGAAATGCTCCAAGCTCTAACACAATGTAGAATAGATCACCGATACATATCTCTCATCAGATACATCTATCAGCATGCTATAGCGTGTGTAGGGCTTAACGAAGATACTGGTACCTTTCGTATTGAAAGAGGCGTTCGGCAAGGGGATAACATGTCTCCTAAATTATTTACAACTTTGCTAGAAAACGCTTGTAAAACAATATATTGGAACAAAAAGGGCATCAATGTAAATGGAAATTTTTTAAATAACCTTAAATTTGCAGATGATATCGTTCTTATTGCAGACAGCTTTGATCACGCACAGATACTGCTCCAAGAACTCCATACTGCCACAAAAAGATTTGGACTTAAAATAAATTTTTCAAAACACAATTTATGACAAATTTAGTCCACGACAAAAACACCTCAGTAGAAGACAAAGATATTGAGCCAGTTGAGTCCTATAAATACTTCGAAGAATAAACCTCGCTTGGGCTGCATTTGGAAAGATGAAGGATGTTTTTAGGTCTAAGATTCCAATGTGTCTGAAAAGAATAGTATTTAATCAGTGTATTTTGCCAGTGATGACCTAATACCAGAAACCCTAACACTCACAAGAACAACAGTGAGTAAACTTCAAGTTGCGGAAAGGGCAATGGAGAGAATAAGGGCAATGTTAGGGATTTCTCTACGTGATAGAATACCCAATGTTACTATACGCAAAAGATTAGGAGTAGCAGACGTTATTGAAAGGATAACAACACTAAAGTGGAACTGGGCAGGTAGCAAGATCAATTGATGACCGGTAGACAAAAAGAATTTTGTAATGGAGACCCCGAATACAAGCTAACAGAAATAGAGGTCGACCCCCCAACGAGATGGACAGATGACATAAAAAGAGTGACTACAAATTGGAATCAGATTTCGCAAAATCGGACTAAGTGGAAAAGCATGCGAGAGGTCTATGTTCAGCAATGGACGTTAGAGGCTAGTTGATGATGACGATGAATATCAGACCAGAGACTCATAATAGAAGATAATGTTAATTCATATGTGGGTCAATCCAAGAGAATTTCTATGACAATATAATATGGAGACAAACAATATAAAAAGTAATGCTGGAGATGATATATTAGAATTAGCAGCAGTATAAGGAAGTGGACCAAATCACTCTCTAGTGGAATATTATTCTATATTGTTCGTGAATGACCTGGAATTTTTCTTCTAATTAGCGGCTTATTCATATCTATTCTAACTACTCTGTTCTCTGCCATTCGATTGATATAGCTTTTCCATTGTCTATTTTTCTTCCTTGCACTCATTCATTAATGTTGTTGATTCTGCATAAGTCTCAATTCTCGTTATATATCATGGCAGGTCGAATTGTTGACTTGTATATTTGCGCTTTTTTTTTCCATTTTCTGTGTTTCCAAGTTTGTTTCCAAGTATATTTCTTTGTATTATGTCGTTATGCCAAGCAGCATCCTGCTGCTTTGCTTACTTTTACCAATTGATTCCTTACTTCCGTTTCAATGCTATTGTCGTTTGATAAGTTTATTTCTAGATATTTAAATGTTATTACTTGTTATATTATTGGTTTTTTAATTTTAAGTTTGTACCATATCTGGTTCCTTTGATATTACTAAGCTTTTCGTTTTATGTGATGAACTTTTTATGTTAAATTCCTTGTCTTTGATATCAAACTGCTATAGCAATCATTGTTAATCATATTCATTCTAAATTAATGGGAAAACCCCGTAATTGGCTGTATACCATCGTTTAAAAAAAAACAGAAGTTAAAACACTTCACAATTGTGTATTTTGGTATAAAAACATACAAGTACTTAAAAACTTTTTACAAGTGTCGTCAACATTTAAAATTATGGCAGAACGTTTTCAATCTATACAGATCATCTTCAGTGCCTTTGGTATTTGGTGCTAACAATATGATGTCTATAAGACTTCCATGTGTTGGTTGGTTTAAAAAATATATTACATTTTACATTTAATAATGTTGAGAGTCTAGGTCGACGACAATGGAATTGGTTTTAAATTAAAATTTACTTTAGGGACTACATGTCTCTTAAGCTCGAATACTTGCACGTGGTATTTGTCAGTTGAAACGACGACACAGACCAAATGGCTGATGTCACAGGAGATAATTTAACGACAGCTAAACCTGACAGGATGTCAGTATGTTCCGAAATTAATGTAATTTTTGTTTATGAAGTTATAAACTTTGTTTAATTGTAGTAATGAGTAATATCTTAATAATGAACCTGACTGTAACAATTAAATTTATTTAAATGATAAAATTTATTGCCTAGATCAGTGAATCTCTATTATTGAAAAATAAACTGTCAATTTATTGGGATTAATATATGAGGTTGAAATTTATAACATCATAAGTGATGATAAAATGATAGAGGTAGAAGAAGAAAGGTATTGGTGTGGTACTGTACAAATGCTAGTATATGAAGTGTTTAAAATTAATATACCAAAGGCACTGAAGATGATCTGTATAGATTGAAAACGTTCTGCCATAATTTTAAATGTTGACGACACTTTTAAAAAGTTTTTAAGTACTTGTATGTTTTTATACCAAAATACACAATTGTGAAGTGTTTTAACTTCTGTGTTTTTTTCATATTCATTCTCTGATATCCTAATTGCATCGTCAGCGTAGCTTATTATCTTAATTTTTTTGTCATTCTTTTAGTTTTTACGTATTTTTGACCTAGTTCAATATGAGATTAAATATAGACAGAGACAGAGATATAAATAGAGACAGTTGTAATGTCTATGGGTTCAGTCATTTCTGTTTAAATTTTTAATTCGATTTTTTTTTCTTGCGTTTATGTTTTCTATCATTTATATTACGTATATTCAATATATCTGTTGTATAGCAAGTGTATCGCATCTGATAGCCTTACTCTGGCAAAGGCCTTTTCTAAGTGTACAAATTATATGTAGACTAATTTATTGGTTTCCATAGATTTCTTTGTTATTTTACCTGACTAAGAAGATATCATCGTCACATTGCATTCCGCTACTGCCTGTATATCTGATGTTAATATTCACTTTTATATCAACAGTTTCATTTATGGGTGCTTTATTAATTACTTATGTGATCCAAGTATAAGTTAAATAGTGCTGGTAACAGGATAAAATTTGACTCCCGTTTTAATGCTTATTTAATATTCTTTACTAATCTTCCTCGATTTGTAGAGTCGCTTTTTATTTGTAGTGAATATAACTTTATATTGTTACGTTTACAAGCTAAATTTTCATTTTATTATGTTTTGCATGTCAAAAACAATGTGTTTTATTGTAGGAAAAAGCCATTAACGAACAAAGAAACATGTTCAGTGATTTTAAAAATGCAAAACCGACTATGACCAATCTAAACGAAATGAAATACTTGGAACTAGTAATAAAAGAAACGCTAAGATTGTTTCCTCCTGTACCGATGTTTGGCAGACTGGTAGACGAGGAATTTGAATGGAGTAAGATTTGATAAATCTATTCATATATTAAGTAATTATATATTGAGAGTATATTTTAAAATCGCACTTATTCGCAAATGTTTCTTTGCGAATTACTCAAAAATATGTATTTTATCAAAAAATACGTCTTATAAAAAATGTAGCTTATAAAAAAAGAATGGTGGGTTTCTGGTGTTTGTTCTTCTTCATAACATGTACATGAAAATAAGCACGCAACTATAATTCCTACGGCCGTTTGTTATAGACAATGATGTCATCGAAGCAGTTAATGAATTTGTATACCAGAAAGCGCTTGTTAACACTGAATACATTTGTTATTTTGGCTTCTCAGGTTTGTTTTTTGGCATAGACTTTTAGTCATTCAGCCAGACTCAACATGGTAAAAAAATAGTTGTCTGAGTTTAATATTGTGAGAGTGAAATATACAAAACAAAGAACAGGTAAACAGGGTCACTCTCTTCTCGCCTAGGGGCCCATCAAGGCATTTTTTTAAGACAATACAACACTAGGCCACGGTAAGAGGGGAATTTGACAATTGGGTTAGAAACAAAGGTTACGTTATTAACTAATGCATAATTATTTTATGTGGTTATTTTACTATCCTTTAAAAACATAACTAAGGAATCATACACTGCTCTCGAGTCTAGTGATAATAAGTACTGAAGGTTCCAAGGGGCTAATATATTGTATTTATGTAAGTTATTTATTAATCTTGCTGAAATTATAGTATTTCTGGAACAACTGAAAAATATATGATCTAGGTTTCCTTCTGTACAAAATTCACATCGATCATTATCTAAAACCTTGAGTTTAAATAAATGTTTGGGGTAACAAGCATGTCCAAATCTCAGTCTAATGATCGTGGTAACATATTTTCTAGGTACATTAAAAGACTTATACCAAGGTGTTTTAGGAATATCTGTTTGAAGAGAAGTGTATCTATTTGGGCTAACAATGGAATATTCCTTCAATATATTATCCCACCTTTGGTATAATCTTAATTTTAAGGAAGCCAGAAAGTCGCAAGCCGTGATTTTATACGAGATTTCTCTACCAGATAAAATACTTTCCTTTGCTAATTGGTCCACATGTTCATTATTTTCCAAACATATATGTGCTTTAATCCAAACAAAGACCACATTTTTGCCCCTTGTTACTAACTTTTGTTTGATATCCTTAATTTTGTAAATATAAGGGCAACTGTACGTATTTGGTAATCCCGGTTTCCCAATAGAGGTCAAAACTGATAAAGAATCTGATAATATCACTATATGATCCGAGCTACTTTCTGTTGCATAAAGTAAGGCCTCATATATTGCAAGAGTTTCCGCTGTAAAAATAGAGGTCTGGAAGTTTAACTCAAATGTGTGTTCTATTCGTTCCAACGGGACAAAAAAAGCGCATCCAGTGCCGTTTGATGATTTGGAAGCATCAGTATATATAACGACGGAGTTTTTGAATTCTGATAATATTGAGTGAATAATCCGTCTGTTTATGTGTATATTGTCACTATATTTTGGTACCATGATATCTGTATTTGAACAATATGTTGCATATGAAATGTTTTGAAGTGTATACGTAGCTTTATCTATCTCTTTTAATAAATCCATATTATGTTGCAGAGCTTCGCAGACTAAAGGCGATTTCTTTTTTTCCCAGTATTTAGTAGACAAATAATAGCAATTCAGAGTAAAGATCTTTGTGTATAAGGATTGATTTTTTATATATGCCTTTACCAGAAATTTTTCGGACAGGAAGTTTCGTCTGATATTTAAAGGTGGTTCCAAGGCTTCCAAATACAAGGTTGAATTGGTGTGGACTTCATAGCACCTAAACATGTACGTAAAGCTGAATTGTGTATTACGTTAATTTTATTTAGCAATACATTACTGGCTGATCCATAAAATATGCTTCCGTAATCAAAAATGGAGCGGATATACGCTCTGTAGAATAATAAATTTACATCTACATCAGCACCCCACCACGTTTTATTAATCGATTTAAAGGAAATTTATTCCCTTGTTGCATTTGTTTAACATATCCTCAATATGATCCTTCCAAGTCAAATGTTTGTCAAGTGTCATCCCTAAATATTTGACCTTACTTTTTAGTGGATATTGATGCTCTCCTAATTTAATTATTTGATGGTTAGGTTTATAATGTCTAGTAAAAATGCAAACCTGAGATTTATTGCAAGATAATTCAAAATTGTTTTTATGGAGCCATTTTTGAAGTAGCTGATAGATACTATCCAAGTTTTTAATTGCTGTTTGATATTCTTTGTGTTCTGTGTAAATGCAGATATCATCTGCGTATTGTATGAGGTAATACAAAGGTTAAACTCTACAAAACATTAATATGCCCAGTTCTAATATATGGTTCAGAAACCTGGACTCTAACAAAAAGTAATGAAAATATATAAGGACGTTTCGAAAATAAAGTACGAAGGCGAATCTATGGAGCTGTGAATGACAATGTAGTGTGGAGAAGACGATATTGTAAAAGTGATATCGTAAAATATATCATGATAGGACGTCTGAGGTGAGCATGTACGCGGATGGAATAAAATGACCCAGCCTGAAAAATACTTTTTGATAGACCCATTGGTCAAAGAAGAAGAGGAATACTCAGAACAAGGTACTTGATAACATCGATGAAGACATGAGCAAAATAGGAATACGTGCTTGGCGGAGAAAGACGATGGATAGGGTCGAAATTCTTGATTAGGCTAGGACCCACACAGGGTTGTAAAGCCAAAATGAAACATATATCTGGAACATGTACTAGGAAGAGGCTGGTTGGCAGGAAAGGTAGGCTTCTTAGCCATGAAGGCACATGTCACGAAGGTAAGCGGGTGTAGATTTGAAGCGAAAGTGGAGTATGAGAATGTGTTGGAGGTGTTAAAAGGTACGAGAGGCATGGTCATATGCTATAAGGATAGAAAACAAAAAACCTTATGGTAAGGTATGGTCTTCGTGAATAAGGATCTTTCTTTGCCTGTCAGGACTAACTTTTACATTGGTGAACATGTAACTGTTTTTCAAGCGAAGACATTGGCCCTGCATAAAGCAGTAGAGACAAAGATCAAGGATGAAGTTCAGGATCATGATATAATTATGTACTCGGACAGCCAATCAGCTCTGAAAGCGTTGATAAATTCTATCAAACGACAGAATTGTTTTAAAGCTCCGAATGAGTTGTAGGATAAATCTAAGAAAAAACCTGTTAGATGGGTGCCTGGGCATTTCGGTATTGGGGGATGAAGCAATCGATTTAGCAGCTAATGAAGGTATAGATCAGGTGTGTTTCTGACCTGAACCCTTTTGCCCAATTTCTCATCAGAAATGTAAAACTGATATACGAAAGTGCTTTCTAGATGAAACCTGTCAAGATGGAACGGGAAGACCGATTATCGCCAGACTTAGGAGGCCGTCGGCTCATTCTTGTCAGTCTAACCTACCGCTAGAAAAATAACTGCTTTGCGTAGAGATAGAATTCTTAAGGTAGTACAGGTCTTCGCAGGTCACTCTAATTGCAAGCCACCAAAACATCTGTGGGATCAGCCAATAAGATATTTGTCCCAGTTGTGGGGAGAGGGAATAGACAGCCAAACACTTTGTAAGCAACTATCCAGTTTTTACTTACGTGAGGCAGCAATGGTTCCACTCTCACCAAACAACCCTCAAAGAGGTAGTGACGGAAGGCAAACTAAAATATAGGACTGGCGGCAACTCTGGATATATTTTTATTAAACTCGCTAGGAGGAAACTGATAGGGTAAGGAGAATGGGTCCAAGAGCTGAATGCAGCCACTAAAACCCTTAAAAACAAATAGTAAACATATTTTGGAGAGACACGAAGAATTAAACTAATAGGTTTGTTTAACCTATTACCATAAAAACAAGATTTTTTTTACTTTTTTTTATGTAAAAAAATAAGAATATATTCCGCTTTGGTTGCAAAACACTAAAATTCACATGGTGTATTTTTTATAAACTTTTATTTTTAATTTTATAATTTAATTGTTTTTATCAATTGAATTTATTTTTATTTATTTATGTTTCAGACAATATTGTATTTCCAAAGGGACAGGAAATAACTATGTTTCCATTTATATGTCATCGAAATCCAGCATATTTCCGAGAACCACTTAAATTTATACCCGAGAGATTCGAAACAATGTCCGGTAAACATCCCTATACGTATATACCTTTCAGCGCTGGAGCAAGAAATTGCATAGGTAAAAGTGTTTTGTCTATAAATTTTATTTTACTTTACTTTAATATTTTTTATTTTAGGTCAAAAGTTTGCCATGTTAGAATTAAAGAGCGTGGTGTCTAAAATTTTACGGCATTATGAGTTATTACCAGCTGCAAATTTTACAATCAAGCTTGCCCCAGAATTAATTTTAATATCAAAATCTGGTGTATATTTGTCAATTAAAGAACGAACTTAAAAATTAAATATTTTGTGTTTATGATCAAACTCTGAAGGGATGAAAATAAATACAAGAAAAACCGAGATGTGCCGAACAACCATTTCGAATAACTGAATATAAATTAACTATACTAAAACTTTAATAAAAATTTTAACTTTAATAGTAACTTTAATAAAAAACTAAATAATAAGAAGACGTGATTAATCAACAGCTGGATGCACATATGGTAATTAGGTACCGAATTGAAATGGCTAACAGTGCATTCCAAAAAATCAAGAATGAATAGAATAGAATATTCTTTATTAATCCAATGAGATCACATTGTGATATAGGTCAAGTCATACAGTTATATAAAATATAATCAACAAGTTATATAGGACAATTGCATAAAACATAATCAATAAAATATAGTTTGATAGTATACAAGGCAACTATCGAACACAGTGATTAATTAAATCTTGCCCAAGTACTTTCGATCAATAGATCATCTTCAGGGGCATTTCGTCAGTTGTGGCCTATCCACTGATGTATATATATATATATATATATATATATATATATATATAAATATATATATATATATAAATATATATATATATATATATATAAATATATATATATATATATATATATATATATATATATATATATATATATATATATATATAAGGATCACTCAGACGAGTGGTGGGTTCTTATATCGGTCTCTAGGTGGAGAAATAAAAGACAAAGTTGATAGGCTACTTTATCTATTTTGAAGACGTTTCGCTTTCGAGTTTTGAAAGCATCATCAGTTCATCTAAAAAATTTTACAAAATGAGAACCACACAATCATGGAAACGAGGTTAATTGTTACCTTAAAAAGATATGTAGCAGTCAATGTTATTAACAAACATGTGAATGAAACTAAGTAAATGGACATAATACGCTGATCTTGTATAAACAGTTAAGTAACTAACAACATATATGAACTTATAAAAAATTAGCACAGCAAATGACCATGTGGTCTAAAGTAAATTCAATGTTATTTAATGTTAATAAGTGAGTAAGAACCAAGAAAATCATAGATAACTTCCAACTATTTAATGGATATTAAGCTTTGATTTTAACTTTAGGTAGCATTATAAGTGATATTAATAAAATTTTTTAAAAAGTAGTATAAATGAAGTTACCGATCAAAGCCCTATGAATGTCACCGGGAAAATGGCGTTTAATGAAACAGGAACGAACTAAACCGCGAAAAGACAGCCAACCTTGAGGTCAAAAATACTTTCGACAGATCAACAAGGTGTAGATACCAACCCAAATTTTGTGCGGTTAATTTAAGTTTAAATGAGTTTGGATGACTACCCGGTTGCAAAAGACAACACAGTGAAAAAAGTTGGTAGTGTAATAGCAACTCCCCTCACTAATCAGTCCAAATTTACAAACAGGAGATTTTCATTAAACCTCATAAGTATGTAATAACGTTAATCATTATGGCTAGTTAAACAGCCACAGGTGGTTAACGATTCGTTAATTTCCAAACAGCCCAAGGTTCAATATACTTGGAACTGTGATTTGCAAAGGATTCTATGAATCAATTACAATATTTTTATTTTTATTATTTTAGTATAAAATTGGTAGCACTAATTAAAGTAATTAGTATATGGAAATGCAATGTAAGTTGCATATGTAATAGTAAAATTAAGTAAAGAATATTAAGTTATTTTATTGATATATTTATTTATTTTATTTCTATTTATGTATATAATAATATATAATATATAATAGAAATAAAATAAATAAATATATCAATAAAATAACTTAATATTCTTTACTTAATTTTACTATTACATATGCAACTTACATTGCATTTCCATACACTAATTACTTTAATTAGTGCTACCAATTTTATACTAAAATAATACAAATAAAAATATTGTAATTGATTCGTAGAATCCTTTGCAAATCACAGTTCCAAGTATATTGAACCTTGGGCTGTTTGGAAATTAACGAATCGTTAACCACCTGTGGCTGTTTAACTAGCCATAATGATTAACGTTATTACATACTTATGAGGTTTAATGAAAATCTCCTGTTTGTAAATTTGGACTGATTAGTGAGGGGAGTTGCTATTACACTACCAACTTTTTTCACTGTGTTGTCTTTTGCAACCGGGTAGTCATCCAAACTCATTTAAACTTAAATTAACCGCCCAAAAGTTGGGTTGGTATCTACACCTTGTTGATCTGTCGAAAGTATTTTTGACCTCAAGGTTGGCTGTCTTTTCGCGGTTTAGTTCGTTCCTGTTTCATTAAACGCCATTTTCCCGGCGACATTCATAGGGCTTTGATCGGTAACTTCATTTATACTACTTTTTAAAAAATTTTATTAATATCACTTATAATGCTACCTAAAGTTAAAATCAAAGCTTAATATCCATTAAATAGTTGGAAGTTATCTATGATTTTCTTGGTTCTTACTCACTTATTAACATTAAATAACATTGAATTTACTTTAGACCACATGGTCATTTGCTGTGCTAATTTTTTATAAGTTCATATATGTTGTTAGTTACTTAACTGTTTATACAAGATCAGCGTATTATGTCCATTTACTTAGTTTCATTCACATGTTTGTTAATAACATTGACTGCTTTTTTGTTACCTTAAAAAGATGTTTTTTAAACATCTTTTTAAGGTAACAATTAACATCGTTTCCATGATTGTGTGGTTCTCATTTTGTAAAATTTTTTAGATGAACTGATGATGCTTTCAAAACTCGAAAGCGAAACGTCTTCAAAATAGATAAAGTAGCCTATCAACTTTGTCTTTTATTTCTCTACCTAGAGACCGATATAAGAACCCACCACTCGTCTGAGTGATCCTTATATATATATATATATATATATATATATATATATATATATATATATATATATATATATATATATTATATATATATATATATATATATATATATATATATATATTGGATTGACGGTCGTACTCCTTTTTCCGATATATATATATATATATAATATACAGGGTGGTCCTTAAGTAATTGTACAAAAAGAAACTGTAGATTCTGCACTTCAAAATATTATGATTTAAGTCAACTTTCTTAAGTAAAATGTTGATATTAAGAACTTTTAGGTTTGTTAACATTTATGTATAAAAATTTACAACTGGGTACTATTGAATATAAGAAATTATAATTTGATGCACACTTTGATGTAGCTGATAGAGGGTGCCACATATGCCACCTATGTGGCATAAATTTGCACCTAACTTTTTTATTCTTTAAGACATCGATATGTATAAAAATTTACAACTGGGTACTATTGAATATAAGAAATTATAATTTGATGCACACTTTGATGTAGCTGATAGAGGGTGCCACATATGCCACCTATGTGGCATAAATTTGCACCTAACTTTTTTATTCTTTAAGACATCGATAATTTTGATAAAAAAAATTAAAGGCACATTATTTTAACATAAAAAAGGTATAATCGTTAATAACTTTAAATTCAACAGTTTTCGAGATAATCGCATTTTACAAATCAACTGCATAATTTCGATTTACCGCAATTACTACAGGCAACGAAAGAAAAATAGACAAAAACATTATTACTTCTGAATGTTGGTATGACATATCTTTAATAAAGTTAATAGCTAACGAAATATTAAATAAAGTAAATATATCAACAGGATAATTAATAATATGATTTGACAAAATAATAGAATAATTGGATTTGACATCAAACATTTTACGTTCTATATTAAAGTCATAAACATTTATTTTCAAACCAAATTAAGAAATAGTTAAACTAGTTAAGATTAAACTCTTTGTCAAAGTAAGTATTTGATATGTCCACCATTTTCCTCAATATATTTATCAATCCGTTTCATATGAAATAGCATCATTGGTTTAATAGAAACTGCTGCAGTATTTATTTCTTCCCAAAGTTGGTTGCGAGTGTTTATGGGATTCTTGTAGACACGTTGTTTCATTGCGCCCCATACACCAAAATCTAGCGGAATAACTTCTGGGCTACGTGGTGGCCCGCACAAATGACTACCACGACCAATCCAACGTTCCGGAAAGTTGGTATTCAAGTATGTTCTCACTGCCCTTGTATAATATGGTGGTGCACTATCTTGCATAAACCACATATATTGCCTTAAGTTTAATGGCAATTCATCCAACCAATTAGTAAACTCATTTTGTAAAAAATGTAAATAGTTCTCACCATTCAAGTTACGAGGTAACTCGCGTGGCCCTAAAAGATGATTACCAATGATTCCACACCATACGTCTATTTTAAATTCATGTTGAAAATGCCTTTCTCTCTTAACATGGAGATTTTTAGTATCCCTGAATTAATTGTTCCTTAAATTAAAAACACCATGGCGTGTGAATGTAGATTCGTCGTAAATAATATTCCATCGACGAAAGAGTTGTCAAGATTTTGCCTGTTTCAAATTTCGAAATAGATGTTCAAATGTTTGGTGATTGGGTTGCAGTGTGTTTGGGTACCTTCTTAAATATTCCCTTTTCGCTGCTCGCCCGTTAAAATGTTGCTACCAATAAATAACAACCATATCTCTCATATCGATATTAGAAAAATTATTATGCCTTGACATTTTCTGCTTTTCTTTAAGAAACCAAAATAGACTAGATATTGCAAAAATTACTGATTAAACGAAACAAGACTTATTTTTAGTTGTCAAATGCATTTGTGACATCAGCCTACTATATTAAAATGTCCTGTAATGCATTGGGGTTGTCTACTGACATCAAAACTGCCTTCAAAAAAAAAACTGACACTGTAGATTAGCACTCAGCTTCATATCATGTTTTCTATATTTTTTAAATAATATTTTTAACATTCAATAAAATAACTTTATTATTTATTTATTATTTATATTTTAAACAAATTATATTATATTAAAATAATTCAATAAATTAAGTTTGCTAGTAGCGCTACCTGCTAACGTATCAATAAAATACAGACCCGTCAAAGTGAGACTTAATATATTAAGTTATTATTGAAATATAAATTTGATATTCGATCATTAATTTGATAGTAAATGTAATTATTATATAAAATAAATAAGACGTTTACAATTACAATTTGATTAAAGTTTGAAAGGAATTTACTGTCAACTAACATTAAACGTGACGCCGTAGCGTGAGCGCTCGTGACGTCGTCTCGTAGCGCTTCTTACGTGACGCTCGACTCACGACTCGACTTACAATAAAGAAAAAGTAATACAACGCCAGCATAGAAACTTATAAAAGCAATATATAAAGGAAATTGTAAATATAATGACGGCTAACTTCTGAATACAAACACGGCACTCAAAGAAGAAGATAGAAGCTTCTCTCCAATAAGATATTTAGCAACCATAACAAAGCATTTCGGGATATTACGTTATCATATTTGAGTTGTTTTAATAAGAACAAACTAATAATTATGCTTATTCACAGGTATTCAGTGCTTTACCGCAAAATTATCACAACTAAGAATTATTATGCAGCTGACTTATAAAATGCGATTATCTCGAAAACGGTTGAATTTGGAAGTTATTAACAAGTATTCCTTTTCTTTGTAAAAATAATGTATCTTTAATATTTTTAAATAAAAATAGGGCTAACTTAAGGAGAAAAAAAAAATAAAGCGCAAATATATGCCATATATGTGGCATATGTGGCGCCCTCTATCAGCTGCATGAAATTATGCATCAAATTATAATTGTTCCTACTCAAAAGCATCCAACTGTAAATTTTTATTGTTACAGTGTTTATAAACATCGTTTATTTACATTAACAAAACTACTTTGTTCGACATTTCCTCTGCGATAACGCGATAACGTTAAAAATTTAAGTTTACATAACTGATAATTAACTCAGGAATCAGTGGCATGTGAAATTGTTCTATTAATATACAAATATTTTTCACATTAAATTTAAAGAGTATTTGTTTATGATAAGGTAAAAATGCAAGCAACATCGTCCAAAAAGAAAATTTGAGATTTTGCTGATAGTGGGTGATAAATATAAAATATTTCAAGAATTTACAATTTTAATTTCCGATAGCCAGATAAAAATTGACTTAAAAATCAGACTTGTGGAGATGTACATAGTAAATTTAGCAAAAAAGCCAAAAAGTTGTAGAAAATAACACCACTGGGTTGCAACTAATGATCTTTGCGGTTCTTTGAGAAAAAGAGCATCTTCATTGCTAAATGATATAAAAGACATATAGTTTTCAACGATTCTAAAAAAACACAAATATGATCTTTACAAACTTACAGACAATAATACTTCAAAAAAAATTCATACTTTAAGATCAGGAGAAAGAAAACATATCTATATGTATAATTTTTTGCAAAGAAGCAATATTCTTATTCGATGGAACAGTTTCTAGCCAAAACTGCTATGTGAAGTGATATGAATCCACAAAACAAATGCTTAGTTCGAAATTTATAACGATTCAATAATTGGATCTTTCTATTTACGGCAAACTTAGGTGTGTTTTTCAAACAATTAAATAAGTGATTTTATTAACAACCTTCACCTAGTTGAATGTAAGTAGATATGGTTCCAGAAGGATGGTGTCCCATGTTACAGCAGATTATTATACTTAGTCACTATTTTCCCCCTTAACTGCAAAGAAGAAATTGTAGGAAATTTGAAACATATTTGTGACAAAAAAATCATTTTTGATGGAGCCATGGTTCTATTGTCAGACTCTTCCAATTATTCCCCAATCAACTGTTATGGAAGAACAAAACATATGCCTAACTTCATCCAATTTGTGGCGCAACGTAAAGACGCTTCCATTGACAGTGTTTTGCAACAAAATCAAAGTGAAATTGTGTTTTTGAAGCAGTTGTTAGACATTGGCAGTGGTAAAGTTACCGACAAATTTCTGTTATTTTACTGACTCGAAAGAGGAGCTTATTGGGTGTGTTATCCTGATACAGCGCAACAATTATAATTGAATTAACTATAAAGGGTTTTGGTATTGTTCAATTATGGTTAATTCAATATATAATTTTCCAGCATATAATTTTCTTATGATATTGAATATACTCTGTTCCAAGCTTGCCTTGCTCCATTCCCCTGGTAATATAATTTGTGTCCCTATTTGTGGTATTAGCGTTTCCTTTGTGTGATTGTGTTCATCCACTGCTACTTCATATTCTTCAGCTGCGTTTCCTTCTCTTGAATTAATGATACGATTGTTTTTGTGGCATTGACTTTTTCAAATTTAAGTACCATTATAGAAACTTTGTCAAAGTCCTTTACAGAATATTCTATAATAATATCTAATGACAATTAAAGTATTAAGATAGTAATTTGCTTGTTAAGAACATAAATAAAATGGAAGAAACAAATAGCCCCCTATAATACATTGGCTATACCGCTATAATATAGGTAGTGGGGAAGTTAAATTAACACAGAGTTCAAAATTCTTACCTGTATATCCTATCGGGCATGGATTCGGTGGACTGCAATAAGCTGGCAAAGTGGATTCGCCTTTATGAACATTCTTATTCTTAAATCCGTTGTGTTGTAGTATTGAATTTTCATCCCTGTCTCCATTCAAATACTAAAAATTAAATTACTAAAAACGGAATTTTTTTTATCATAATTAAGCAGTACTAATATCTACTAATGTCTTGTAGTTTTAACTACATTGGTTTTTAATTTAACTTTAAAATAGACGTGCTTCGTGTGTCGGTGTCATTAGTTGTGTTTAAATCTTCAAATAATTGCAAGGTGGCTTGTTTCCAAGTTTCATTTAGCATTTAGGGTATTTGTATAATGTAGCTATACTTGTTTAAATAATGTCTTATGAGACATATAAACAATATTAGACGTAAAATGAGCATAATATAATGAGGACTATACTACAAAAGTCAAGCTTCATACAATATTATTAATAAATGTTTATTTTGATTCTCTTTTTGGTAGTTTAACATGGAATACAAAAGTGTTGTCTGACCCTAAATAAATCTGACAGGTAATTCAAAAGGCGTTCAGGGTCGTATTTTAAATATCTATCAATGGTGCAATTAAAAACAACTGAATTTGTTAAATTATGCTACTTATTGAAACGATCTTTGATATCAGTCTTATTATTAATAGATTTTTGATCTTTTTTATGATAATTATCTCCAATGTGCATCTCTTGTTGTAGTTTTCTTCTTTTTCCAAAATCTGTATATATTCAAAATCAAAAGAATAGCTATTTTCTAGAGAATGCTTAGCTAAGGCTGTATTGTTTAATTTGTTGGTTTGTACACTATATTTGTGTGCAACAAACTCTTTATGTAGATATTGGTGTATTTGCCCAATATACGTTGAATTACGCAGTCTTTACAATTTATTTTATATATAACAATCGACAGATGATATTTATTAACATTAGGTATAATATTGTTCTGAAGCTATTTTCTTGTGGCATCTTAATGCAATTACTATTTTTGTTGGGAATAAGCCACAATATAAGTTTAGAATAACTTTATGAAGAATTGTAATTGGTTAATCTACTCCACGCATGAATAAACACAAAGAGAATTATTATGACGTAATATGTGTGCCAAGTTTAAGATATGCAAAATTATTCCGCGCAAACCTGAGCGGAGATGGAGGTAATAGCGGTGCAATCGCGGTTGCTGTATATGACCTTCTTTAATCTGTACTCACTGCCATACCACAGAGAAACTGCAATTAACAATCAAGACCTAAAAATAATTAAAAGCCTTTACTGAAATCAGACTGCAAATCTCAGAATTGAAAGTGAACACACCGAATATGTGAAAATCATACGTAGAGTTGCTTCATCTAATCTTCAACTTCTATTATGAAAGAATATTTTGCTTTGCACGAAACTGAAACAGGCATACTACTAAACGGGTAGACAGAAGGTTAACTCTACGTCAACTAAACTCTAGTAGAAAGAGTGACACACGACAATTACTTCGGCAACATAACAAATGAAACATGGACTAACAACCAGGAAATAAGAGCAAGCATCGGAAAAGTTAGATCCACCTTCAACTGGATGGGGGCCTTCTTCAAGAGTTCCTCTTATACAACCTCTCTTTTGATATACAAGTAAAAATTCTGCTATGCTACGTCTTCTCTTTACTTTTTTATGATGTTAAATCGTAAATCTTGATTGATCACAAATAAGTCCTCAGAAGGATGAAGAAGAACCAAGGGGTACTGACCACCATCAAATGTCGAAAGCTACAATAGTTCGGACACATTATGCAAAATCCAGATATGCCCTCTACAAGCTTTCCTGCAAGGAAAAATATATGGAAAGCGAGTTTCAGGAAGAAGATAAACATCCTGGATAGGTAATTTCAGAACCTGGTTCAACATACCATCTGTGAAGTTTTTTCGCGCAATCGCTGAAAAGATAAAAATTGTCATGATGATCCCAACATTCGTCAGGGATAGGCAAATACCACACACCATCATAACTATCTATTATGTTGTTGTAGATTGTCCAGTGTTTTATATTGGGAGATTAAACAACAATTTATCTTGTGAACTAAATGTGCATTAAGTGGTGAAAATAATCGAAAAATCGTCAAGTTTGTTACTAATGTAAATCTATAATATTTATTATTAAATTTAATGTCTTATAACGTCAAATACTTTTGTAAAGACTACTGTAAAATTGATCAAATCTAGTGTATTCTATTATTATTTTCTGTAAATTGTATAGTGCAAGTCGCAAGTTGAGTAGCTTTTAATAATTTATTATTGATAAACTTTTATGATGATGTGGTATTATTAATACAAAAAAATAATTATTACGTTCTTTGATATCTATTATATACTTAAATTTCTCTTATACCGTAATTTCGGGTGACTTTGGTCCACCAGGGTAACTTTGGCCCATTGTGGAAGAAATATATTTTAGTAACTAGGGCGTTTGTACAATATATTATCAAGTAAATTTGATTACACCGTACCATTAGCACCATATGAACTGTAGGAAAATTGTAATAAATTAAGGTAATACTTGTTATATTAATAAATAAACGAATTTCTAAAATGTAGCCATTTCACATAAGATTTTTTGACCCGGAAAAAATTGGTTGGCAACCAATAATACTTCTAAGAGTAAGATTAATTACATAGTTGCATATTGAAAATAAACATTAAGAAGGTCGGGTATTATTTTTAAGGTGCTACAGAATTTAACGGTTTTCGGGTGACTTTGGCCCAGTTTGTTGATTGTCGGATTTTGGTCATTCGTTGGTTTTATATTAAATTAAAGTAAGTAAATGCTGATATTAAATTTGAATTTAGCCTTGTAATAACTGTAGGGTTTATTAACTTTATAGCACTAACGACATAGGTAACCTGGAAGATGAGTACACCAAATGGGGCCTCACAATTAATATACAAAAAACTGAGTAACTATAAAACGGGAACTATAATGGGAAATATAAAACCAACAGACAATTTTAAATATTTGGGAGTCTAAATAACATCAAAAGCAGGAAGTAGCGAAGAAATACATTCCAGGATTGGCCAAGCAAGATCAGCCACCAGACAGCTACACGGACTATTATGGAATAAAAAAATAACAAAAGAAAATAAAAGAAGAATTTATAAAACAATAATAGAAACTACTGAGCTGTACGGTGCCGAACTCTGGGAAATAAACCAAAGAAACAAATTAAAAATTAAGGCCATGGAAATGAACTACTGGAGACGATGTTGCCAGCTCACTAGACTTGATAGAATGAGAAACGAAGATATTCGGAGAGAAATGGAAATCGATCTAGACATAATAGACACAATCGAAGCAAAAAAACTTAACTGGTATGGACACCTTCAGAGAATGCCGAAAAATAGATGGCCAAAAAAAAAAATAGAAGAATGGACTCCGCCAACTAGAAGTAAACGAGGTAGACCAAGACGATCCTGGAGAGACGATGTCGACGATGCAATGACCGCCAGAGATCTAACAACTGAAGATAGCTTCGACAGAAAACGCTGGAAATTAGGATGCGAGAAGCGGCGCCAGCTGTAGAAGACTCGCTTGTTATATTATATACGACATAGGTAACCTTTTTCTCTTTTAGATGCCCTCCAATTACAAACTTGTTGCTGGTAGTAAAAATATGGAAATTACATGGCAGACACAGTAGAAAGAGCTCTAGAAGCTATCAGAAATGGAGAATATGGTTCTATCTCCGAGAAAAGCTCCAATAGAATTTATAGTGCCAGTAAGTACTTTAAAAAATAGATTAAAAATATGCATACGAAACAAGATGGTGGTCACACCATTTTTACGAAAGCTGAAGAGGACGCCTTCACGTCTCATATTTGTAGCTTATCTTTGTACGGATTTCCATGCTTTCCTTAAACGAAATCCATGTTAACTCAACGTTTTGCAAGCAACATCAAACGATCGAGAGCAGAAATCAGTGAAACCACTATAAGAGACTACTTAAACAAATTGCAGAATAAACTTGTCGATGTCCAAGCTAACAACATTTGAAACTACAATAAAACAAGTTAATTGGTGACAATGTATATCATTAAAAGTTTTACAGCTTTGTGAAGCAAAAAACATTAAATTCGTGTATCTTACTGCCAATTTTACGCACCTAACACAGCCATTAGATGTCGTCTACTTTCGACCGATGAAAACAGCTTGGCAAAATATTTTGGTAGAATACAAAACACTGAGTGTTAACACCAACTTAATCCCCAAAAAGCACCTTTCCCACCCTTTTGAAAAAACTGGTTAAAATAATTAGTGTAAATGGCGGAAACAATTTGGAAAATGGCTTTTGAAAATGGCATTTTTTCCCTAAACGCAGAGAAAGTACTAACCAGAGTTCAAACCTATAAAACTGATGCTGCGCAAGTACCTTTGAGAGTAAGTGACGCTCTTTTAAATTTTCCTGCAGAAAAAAGGGGATTATAGTCCTCAGCTGATGGAGTTGTTAAAAGAAAAATAAAAACAGAAATTGCAGCAGGAAAAATTATCTGTGCTAAAGATGTTAAAAGTCAACAAGATGTAGTTGCAAAAAAAGCAGCTAAAAAAAGTCAGTAAAAGAAAATCGCACTACAAGAAAATCACAAACGAAAACTGGAATGGCAGCAAAACGTAACATTGGAAGGAAAACTGAACAGGCAAGCAATCAAGCCAATAATTGAACCAATTGAGCCAATTTTTGAACAAACGACTATTGCTGCAGCTGGCTCTAGTGAATTGCCTAAACATAAGATGGTAAAAAAACCAAACGTTTCAATAAAATACAAGATTTTAGCAGATAGTACGTCTAATTCTGCATCTAATGAGAGCTATAGGAATAATGCAGATCTACAAGAGTTTTTCATTCGAGTTGGAGACTTTGTAATTGTATCCGACTACTTATACAACTTTCCAGGAAAATTCCATGAATTTGTAAAAGGTGGTAATAACTGTTACGGTTGGATGCAAGTAATGGTACTGGGTGAAAGAAGTTTATGGCAATGGCTCAAAGTCACCGTGAGAAAATCCTACCACTTGGGTAATATTGATTTCACAGAGCCATTGGAGCTTGAAGATAACCGATATCTCTTTCCAGATTAATAAAAAGCCTGTATAATCGTTTTATTGTTCACTTTTTGTTGAGATATTATGTTTTTTGTGAACTTAGGCCTATGTAGAGTTTCATATTAGTTTTAGTTTTTTTTTTGTTTGAAATTTAAATAAATATTTTTTATACCTAATAAAACGTTTGTTTCTGATTCATCTTGTAGGGCGACTTTAGTCCAAACAATAATAGCCACAGAATAAATGTAAAATGTAACTTAAGACAACCCGACATAGTAGGTTTGCGCACCACATATTTTATTTTTTTATAATAAAGTAAGCGCTTCTTTGTGTTTTAGTGTAATTTTTATAAAAAAGCAGTAAAAACTTAAATACAAATAAATAAAGAAACATACTTTTATATACTCAGAATACTAATATCTACATTTAAACTTCGAAAGTGAGTCAAAGTCACTCGAAATTACGGTCCAAAAATAATTTAAAAGCATTTTAATTTGAAATTATTAAAAGAAAACTTTTTTACTATTTAAATTGTCTGGAGATAATGAGTAGTCGTAGAATTGTCTGAGAATTAGAATTTTATATTACTAAAAATACGTTAAAACATAATGTAAAAGAAAAACATTTATCTTAAAAATTCTAATTTTACAAAGAAAATATATATAAAATTTCTTCTTCTTCTTCTAGTTCCATGACCGTTATCGATCGTTGGATATCATGTTGGCTACCATATTCGCTATCGTGACTTTATTGACAGCAGCTCTAAATAACGATGTAGTTGATTTTCCATACCATTGCCTTAGATTTTTCAGCCATGATGTTCTTCTTCTACCAGGACCACGATTACCTTGGATCTTTCCCTGAATGATCAGATGTAAAAGATCATATTTTTCAGGGTGTCTCATAATATGACCGAAGTATTCCAGCTTGCGTTTCTTTATTATATTGACCAGTTGTGTTGTTTGGTTCAGCCGTCTAAGGACCTCCTCATTTCTAACTCTGTCGACCCAGCTTATTTTCAGTAGTCGTCTGTATACCCACATCTCAAAGGCTGTCAAGCGTTTAAGCATAGCCTCAGTTAGGGTCCACGCTTCTACTCCATACAGCAGGACAGGAAAGATGTAGCAAGATATCATACGAACTCTAAGGTCAATGCTAAGATCATGACTGCAAAGTACGTTTCTCATTTTTACAAAGGCAGCTCGGGCTTGTTCTATTCGGCTTTTAATTTCTGCGGTTGGATCCCAGCTCTCATTGATATTACTGCCGAGATACACGAGTTTCTCTACTCTGTCCAGTGTGGCATCTCCAACTTTTATACCGTCATCATGTATATAATTTTGTTTGCTAACTATCATATATTTAGTTTTCTTAACGTTGAGTTTTAGTCCATACTGATCACAAGTCTGTTTTATTTTGTTCATTAGATTTTGAAGGTCTTCTCCGCAATTGGCAAGGACTAAGGTATCGTCGGCATATCTAATATTGTTGACGGTTACTCCATTCACAATAATACCTTCGGTTGTCTCCATTAAGGCTTCCTTAAATATTTCCTCCGAATATAAGTTAAAAAGTAAAGGCGACAATATACAGCCTTGTCTCACTCCTCTTTTTATATTTATTTCATCCGACAGTTCTTGTTCAACCTTTATTCTTGCCACTTGATGCCAGTATAGATTTGTAATTATTCGTAGATCTTTATCGTCCAATCCAGCTGTTTCCAATATTTCTAGCATTTTGTTATGTCGGACTTTGTCAAAAGCTTTTCAAAATCGATTGCACAAATATATACATTTTGATTTATATCTCTGCATCTCTGTACTAGCACCTGTATACTAAACAAGGCTTCTCTTGTACCCAAGCCACTCCTAAACCCAAATTGAGTATTGCTAATTCTGTCCTCTAACAGCGTATAAATTCTGCTGTGTATTACTCGCAGAAAGATTTTCAAAACGTGACTCATCAGACTTATTGTCCGATAATCACCGCATGTCTTTGGACGATGTTTCTTAGGTATTGTGACAAATGTCGACTTTAACCAATCAGTTGGTAATATGCCAGTGTCATAAATTCTGTTAAAGAGATTACACAGAGCTAACATATAAAATTTCAGCTAACTTAAAATAAATTCTCGAAATTGTCCCCAGCTCTCGGACTATAGAAACAATTAAATTAAAAATATGTTCAAACACAAACAAAGCATTATCATATTATGAACATTGGAATGTCAAGGTTGTTTGGAAACTTAATGCAATATGATGAAATATGTTGTAATAAACTGTAATTCGTTTTAAGTGTATAAATAGTGTAGTTCGCGGTGAAAGCAGTATCAGTGTTCTATTCGAATTGTTCCAGTGTTAATAAACAGTTTAGTAGTGAAAAATAGTGTTTAGTGACGATTAAAATTTTCATAGGTAAATCTAACAGTAAGTTTAACCTTTTGTGGTTTTGTATTGTTTTAGCGTTATGGAGACCGATACTCAACAAACTACAGCTCCCGCTGATGCACAGCTACCTGCAGAGATTGAGGCCATAATTAAAGCGACAGTTGAGCAAACCGTTGTTAGTTTAATGGAAAAACGACTTGGTAAACGGAAACATCAAAGGTCCAGGTCTAGATCTAAGAGCAGAAGTCGTTCCAGATCTCGAAGCCGTGGTGGACGTTCCAGATCTCGAAGCCGTGGTGGACGTTCCAGATCAAGAAGCAGGGGTAAACATGACAGATCTCAAAGCCGTGGTCTCTGTGGAAAATTTGGACGAAAAAATAAAGATAAATGGAATAGTTTGGTAGATTTTGGATACCCACCCCATCATCATTCCCATTTCCACCACCATCATCATCCACCAGGTGTGTTCGGTAAGAATTTTCATTTTAAGCGTCATGGTAAACATGGAAGACATGGTAAACATGGAAGGCATGGTAAAAGGTTTCCATTTCCTTGTGAATATTTTAGTAGCTCTAGCAAAGAAGAAGAACAAAATCCCCAAAGTGAACAGGAGGAACAAAATCTCCAACGTGACAAGGAAGGTACTCCGGCTGCCGATAAGAGTTTAAGAGAGAATTTTGAAATCCTTGAGATTGATGACTGAGCAAACGGGAAGATATTTTATACATTTTAGATGACAAACATTGTAAAAGGCCTTGTAGTGGACAAAAAATTAAAACGAAATAATGTGTAATAACTATTCCCTATTATATTTAAAGATAAAAAATATGTACCAATATACAAGCTATATTTACATTAATATTGTATAATGTTATAATTATATAAAATAAATATTCTTTTAAAATACATCAGTATTTTAATACCCTTATTCCTGTTTTGTTTTCCCAATTGTTTTTATTTTAAATATTTAAAGTGTAAAAATGTAAAGAGATGCACAAAGATATTTTAAATGCACTGAAAAATTTAGACAATATGTACCAGTATCAAAAATTTAGAAGAAAAACATTAAAAATTTTAATTATGACAAATAAGAAAGTTTAATAAAAAGATTTTAGTGCAATAAAAGATGAATGCCATTGTTGGCAAATAAATAATCACTCATAGACAAATTAAATTACTATCTAAATGTAGAGAAAATTCAGCTTTAAAAAAAATATATATATACTTATTTTTACAAAATTAAAGAATAGTAAATTAGAGTGGATTATGCCTAAAGGGGAAACCACTATAAAAGAAAACGCGCCGTGAACTCTACCTCTAGGGTGGTGTGGAAACGAGTTCATCTTCATTAATTTAAAATAGTTGGGGATCTAGAAGCAAAACGAGTAATCTCCACTTTGACAAATTTTTCAGGAAATAGAATTTTTAATAAAATTTTAGTGTTTTATTAAAGTTTTGTTATTTATATTTATTTGTACGTTGGCTTTAGTTATTCACAAAATTAGCCTAATTATTTTATTAAATAACTAAGTTGAAGTAACTAATTAATAATTTAAGTTTGGAGATTTCTGGTTTTGCTTCAAAATCTTTAAAAGCGACGATTTTGCAACAGAAAAAACAATATATGAATGCAGAAACACACATCTTTCTTGAAACTAAATTTTTATTGAAATAATCCTAAAACAAATATTTATGGAACAACCAAATCTGAAATTTCATCAGCTTCTCCTCCAGTATATTGAATATCTCCTTTATTTATTTCAGAATCAATAATGTTTTCTAGCATATCATTATTCGTGTTTAAAGCGTTATGGTAAAACTTAAAAATTTTTCCACTCGTCTGCGTCTCCAAAATTTTTTGTTACTTTATTAACGTCCCGAAGTTTTCAGAGGTTAACTTTTTTTATTTATTTATTTATTTACGCTGTAACCACCAGGGTTATTAGCGACCTAAATGTATAATACAGGTAAAGTTAGAAAAAAATTACAATAATTGATACAGTCCTGAGTCTTTAAGATAACTTATTGTGGTTTTAATGTTCATGTTTTCTCCTAGGGCTTCCTTTATATTATTTGGTATAGTGTGCTTCTTTCTTGCTGCTTCATATTTTTTGCACTGAGTTAGTATATGCTTCACGGAGAGTGTTACTTGACACGTTTCACACATTGGCGGCACAGTTCGCGTAAAGAGGTATTTATGTGTAAAGTTACTGTGTCCTAGTCGCAAACGTGTTATTCTCACTTGGTCGTGTCTATTTGCTGTGGGTTGGAGCCACGGTTTCACTAATTGTTTGATTTTCTTGAGTTTATTTTGTGATGCACATTAATAAGAATGGAGTCCTGGCTGAAGGATGCTAAGCGGGCTAGTTCATCTGCTTCTTCATTTTCTTGTATACCTGAATGTGATGGAACAAACATGAAGTCAACAGTGATCTTATTATTATTTAGAATCTCTATTTCTGATTTGATATGTGAGGAAATTGGATTATTGGTATATAAACGTTTGATAGTGTGAAGTGAGCTTAGTGAATCGGTTATTATGAGAGACGGGGACTGTTTCGACTCTTTTATGTGGATAAGTGCTTATAATATTGCAAACAACTCCGCAGTATACGACGAAGTAATGGGATTGAATTTAAATTTTAAGGATGTATTGGGTGTAAGGATGGCTGCACCAACACCGTCTGAAGATTTGGATGCGTCAGTGTATATCTTATAGTGATTTTTATAAGTTTCCATTTCTGTTAAGAATGATTGTTTGATCAGGTCTGTTATAGTCTCACGTTTTTTATATATACTAAGGTTAGTATTAATCTTGGGAATTGGTATTAACCAAGGTAAAGAAGTTAGGAAATTTGTTGGGAGAATTTCAGGAAATTTAAGATGTAGGTCATGAAGGTTTCTTTTAACTCTTTCGTAAAATGGTGGATCTAGTCTTCTTGTAGAGAAAGTGTCTTGAAATCGATCTGTGAACGTATTGGTATAAGTAGGGTGTTCTTTATTACTAACTATTTTAGAAGCATATGAGGGAGAAAGATATTTGCGTCGTAAACTTAGTGGTGGTTCTCCTGTTAATCATTGTAAACTTTCAACTGGTGTCAGTGTTTTGAACAGTTTCTAATATTTTCAATACTGATACTTTGCTTGATGAATAAACTATCGCACCATAGTCGAGTTTGGATCTAATTAAAGATTTATATACATGTAATAGTGTATTTTGATCTGCTCCCCAGTTTTGCTGGAAATAGTTTTCATGAAATTTAGTCCTGCTTGGCATGAGGGGTTAATTTTAATAGTCCCCAATTCAATAATGTCAGGTATAATCATCCTGATTTTTTTTCCAGCCTTACAAACACTTCTTGGTTTTCTAATATCTCTTCGATAGTACGGCTCTCCCCGTACCAAAACGTTTAATCCATTTTAGTATTGATTAAAATAATACGTTCAATAGTTGAAAACTTAAAGAAGCACTACCTTTTAACACCCTATGGGCTTCTTCTTTCCAATTAGCATTCAAAATCTTTTCCCATACAAATTACTTTGCCAAATTCACTGAAAAACTCATTGTATTGCTCTGGTCTGGTAATAACTTTCATTTTTTTTTCTATTTTCTTCAACACTTGTTCGATTCTGCCAAAAACGCGATCTCTATTAAGAAATGAGTGAGTACCTGTGACTGGGTATATAAGTTCAATAGAATGTAAATTTTGTGCGGCATCCAAAAACCATCTAGCGCATGTGGCGATTATAATGCAATTTTTATTTTGACCACCGCATCCATCGGAGACCAATTTCAAAGTTTTAATGCCTTCCAAATTTATTTCATTAAGTCGATGAAATAAAGCGGAACTTACCTCACTGGATTCTTTATAAAACTCATTTTCGGTCCATGTATACATGAAAGTTCTTTGGGTTTTACTTATTCTTTGGTTTGCTTATTTTCTGACGATTCTTGTACAAAGCAAAGGTTATAAATATACAACTGTCGGCTATAGTAACTGTTTTGACCCGGGAACTTTAGCATTACTTGATTTTTTTGACAGTCGAAGCTTATTTTAATTAAATCATCTTTAGTCTCTCGTAGTAGTAAATAAAAAGCCTTTGCTCTTATTTCATGAATGCGTTTGTTTAAAAATAGGTCTTTCTTTTTACACGCATTATTTGTTACGACTTTGATTTGATTATCACATGACAGACAATTAGAACATACATCCGTTCGTGGTGTTTCAAACCCCAAGTTGAAATTCTTTTAATTTTTTTATCTTCAACTCAGATAAAAGATCTTCTTCTTCTTTTTTATACGCAAAATGCTTGTTCAATGTCGATTAATGCCTCTATTGGAGGTTATCACTCCATCTTTTGCGTGGTCGCCCGATACTTCTTCTACCTTTTGGTGATTTGTCCCTCGCCATTCTGACTAATCGGGTCTCTTCCATTCTGTTTATGTGTTCGTTCCATTCCTTTTTTCTGTTCAGTGCCCACTCATTTATTTCTGGTATATTGCATTTTCTTCTGATCTCTTCACTCCTCATTCGATCCCTCAGTGTGTTTCTTGTAATTCTCCTCAGTAAACGCATCTCCGCTGTTTCTAGTAGTTGCTGAGTTTTGGAGGTATCCGGTCTTGTCTCTGAAGTGTATGTCATTATTGGTCTTATTGTTGCTTTGTAGATTCTTGATTTCACGTCGGTATTAATGTGGGGATTGCGCCATATCGTGTTATTAAGACAACCTGCTATTTTATTAGCCTTTTGTACTTAATTTTTTACTTCCTTCTCCACATCTCCGTAGCTAGAAAGTGAAATTCCTAGACAGTGTAATTTGTCTCCATTACTTGCTTAATGCTGATACCGTCGATTTCCAGTTTACATCTAATTGGTTCTTTACTGATTACAATTGTTTTAGTTTTCTGTGTAGAGATCACCATATTAAAGTCCTTTGCCCTTGTGTTGAATCTATGGGTTAGTCTTTGTAGATCGTCTTCATTGGATGCAATTAGGGCCGCATCATCTGCATAGCAGAGTATTCTGATTTCTTTGTTCCCCATTTTGTATCCTCTTCCTTTATTAATAGTATTGATGATTTTATCCATGATTAGATTGAATAGCGTTGGACTAAGCGAGTCTCTTTGTCTTATTCCATTGCCCATATCTATTGGATCTGTAAGCTGGTCATCTATTCTGACTTCCATATTGTTGTTCTGGTAAATGTTCTCTATTGTTTTTATAACATTTAGTGGAATTTCTCTATCGTAAAGAAGGTGAATTACATCTTTAAGCTTCATTTTATCGAACGCTTTCTTCAGGTCTATTAGACATATGAATGCCGGTCTGTTATACTCTAGTGCTTTCTCGGTAATCTGTTTTATGATGAATACTGCATCTGTGCACGATCTTCCTGTGCGAAAACCCTGCTGTTCATCCGCTAAGGTAATTCTCTGATTTATTTGGTCTTGCAATATTTTGGTTGTAAGCTTCAAAGTGGTGTTTAATAAGTTGATACCTCTGTAGTTTTCAGGTTGTTTTTTATCTCCTTTTTTGTATAGTAGGATAAGCTCGCTTTTCTTCCACTCTTCAGGTATTTTATTATGTTTGATGATTTTGTTAATTAGTGCTGTTAGCTGTTCTGTTAATGCTTCTCCACCATATTTCAATAATTCATTTGGAATTCCATCTTTACCTGCAGCTTTTCTGTTCTTCAGTTTTTCTAAAGTTTGTTTTACTTCTTGTACGGTTATCTCGACTTCCTCGTTTGTAATGATTTCTGGTGTTTCTGGTTCTAACATCATTTGATGTTCATCATTATAAAGCTTCTTTAGGTATTCAATCCATGTGTCGTTATCTATGTGTTTCGGTTCGATTAAGGCTTTTATCTTTGGCCTCTTATGAAACGCCATATTTCCTTTTGTAAAAGTCGTGTTCCATTTCTTTTGAGAAGCGTTCCCAGTGTTCGTTTTTAATTTTTCTTACTAGTGCTATTGTTTCGTTTCTTATCTTTTTGTAATTGTTGTATTCTTGTGGTGTTTTGTTAGACATGTATCTTAAGTAAGCTTTGTAAGATAAAAGATATCGCCTAATAATTGTTGCGCTTCTTGTGTAGTGAGCTTCTACGCATTTGAATTTTTTAATAAAATTCATCACCGACTCTTTTCTACTTTTAAACTTAAACCTGATTCGGTCCCCTTCTCTTTTTTTCCGATGGTGATTGACCCGTCAAATGGTAATTTTTCATTACGCCTTGAACATTCCATGTCCAATAATCTGGATTTCTTTTTGATTGAAAAATTGCTAGTGGTAATATGTTTTATTGTTTTTTTTTCTTGTGCGTGATTCTTTTTTTTTAATTCTTATACTAAAACCGCTAATAATCAGTCTTATTCACATTTCACAATCTTCGAGGTCCTTTGTTACGTCTTCATAAAATAATTCTACATTACCTTCTAGATTCGTTGATCTACGTGCATATAGTTGCACAATTTTTAATAATATTTTGTTCATTTTTATTGCCATGTGTAGATTTTTCGGTTTGAGATTCCTCTATACGTTATTGCAAACTTGAAATATAAGGAGCTTAACCCTGTATTTGGAAAAGTGTTTCAAAATATATAAAAAATATGAAATTTGATTTATGGTGTCAGTTTGGCACCACAAACGATAACCAATAAAAATAAAACTCATAATACTAAAAGAAAGTGACTTTTGAATTCGTAGCTAAAAAGTTACATTGCCAGTTTGAGGCACAATCTTTTCTAGCTAAGGTTATTGAGCGTAAAAAATTAACAATCGAACATGTAAAATCAACGTATGTAAGAAGAGTATATGAAATGCTGCCAAATATATTAGAACTGAACCCTGAGTAACCAAAACGTTTATGTTTCTCTGTGAAAAATATAAAAACAATTTTAACTTTTAGTCAGCATAGTCTTATATCGCATTTACTACATGGAATAACAGAAAATCCAGATGTACAATATCTACACCTACCCTTGGTGATATGTTTGGGCCAATGAGTAACTGAATCCTGTGTAGTGGCTTTATCTGGTCTCAGTGAAAGAGGAGATTGAATTTTATTTTTAGGCTGCAGGAAAGGTCTACCTCTTTTACTTTCTTTTCCTGTGCGTGAGAGAGAATTTGCTAGCTGTAGTCTAAATGCTTTTAAAGGTAGAGGTTTTTCTTTCAGAGCAGTACAGCCATTTTTATAGAGAATCAATCATTTATGACACATATCTCCAATATCCAAGTCAGAATGGAAAAATACCTACTCTTGGCTCTACTTGGACTTCTATACAATCCAAGTAAAGAGTTTTCCTTATTAACCCCTCCCATGTGCTTATTATATTAGATAATTAGAGAGGGACAGGGTACATTTACTTTTCTTTTTTCAGTTTTACAGAATCTTTGCACATAAGTTACAGGTTGAATCCCACAAAAAGTATTTGTTAAAAGTATACATTTATTGTCAATCCATTTAATAACAATAATTACCTTTTCGGTATCAGACTTATACATATATGATCCTCTTCCACGTTTGGACATTAGCTTGTCGCTTTCCATTATACATCTGTCATCCTTTGATTCTGTTTTATCAAATTGTTCCCAAACTTAGTATCCCATATTTTTTCTTCAGATAAATAAAAACCTCCAGACCGAAAAAGCAGTTGTTGCAAAAAATTATTAAAAAAGAAGTTTCTTCTTCAGTAAGCGCGTTTAGAGTATTGTGCAACTCAGAAAATGTGAAAGCTCCTTGGTACGCCATAAAATCGGAAATGTAGCCAGACGCGTCAGCTCGAACAAACATTTTGTATCCCCATTAATGTGGTTTATTTTGAATATATTGCCCGAGATTTCTGGAACGAGTACCGGTATTATGAAATCATAGTTTCGTCTATGGAATACTGATATTCACATTGATGTTTCTGGTAATTAGATCTGACTGCATCCAAAAGTGGTCTGATTTTGAAATACCGATCTTCGGTTTTGTCTGTAACCTGGCTGTTGTCATTGCAGTGTATAAATTTTCTGAGAAGTTGAAATTGTTTTAGGGGCATAATATGCGGAATTTGGGATATTCTAGAGAATGCCGCCCAATAGTCTTCTACTGCTGGTAAATTTATTACTCTCATCAATAATAAAATAGATAAGAAATCTGTTATTTTATTGGGCGAAGTGTTGATGGGTTTTCTTCTTACCTGTGTACTGTACAAATTAGACTGGTACACGATATTTTCAATAAACTCAAGTAAAAACAACTTGGTAAAATACTCCAAAGGCGTAGTTACCTCTCCACTGAACAATAGATCTGGATCAGAAATGGAAGTAGTTGTAATATCATCTTCTGAAATGGGTAGGATCTCTTTTTGCTTTTCTTCTCCATATAACTTCGTCTTCTTCGATTGCTACTTCCTCATCAGCTTCTCTATCTTCATCTATTTTTTGTATAACCATATTGTTTGGACCTGCTTTATCATCAGAGTTCTGAAAAATATTTTCGTGTTGCAAATGATTTTCTTCCAAATCAGATAAATCGGAAATATCTGAAATATTTGGATATACCGGAGTTATTGCAAGCATTTTTCTTCCCATAAAACATGCAGCCCTAATTGGAATAAAATCCATAATAAAAAATAGTTTTCTTTGTAAAATCTGCAACAAAAAAAACTTGCTATAAACTGGCAACGTTGCTTTTTACCTATATAATTTTTTGAATGCAGATTTTAGCGATATACATGTCTTTTATCACTGTAAATATTTAAAAAACTTTCAATGTAAATTCAAAATATTGTACAAAAAAGGTTTTTACTTACTTTTATGATGTAATATTTTTTCACTTTCAAGCAGCATGTACGCACACAGCTGTTTATTTTAGGCCATATTGAAATAAAATTTCTCAAACCTTGTAATAGATGGGGCTGCCAACCTTAACACTAATAAAAGACGTAGTTTAAAGGAACCTTTCTAGATAGAGTATGTAAAGCACTATGCTATTGAAATTCTCGTTCAAAGTTGATGTAGTCAAAAAGCTACAGGACCCGATACAGAAAATTGCCGTCTCCTTATTAAAACTCCTAAGTGATTGACAATCACGTACCATTTTCCAATCGAAAAATAGTTAAAATTTCCTTAGACTGTTGAAGAGACCGATTACGCCTAAGTGTGTTCCTAACTTCTTCAGCTTTACGAGACTTTTTACAGCAAACAGATTGCTTCTGCTTCGATTATTAGAAGCTTCGATTATTACACGAATTCTTTGAGCATTAGACAAAATGTACGGAACTAGGATTGAGTAATTAAAAAGTAAAAAGAAGATGATTTTTCGGATGGTTAGAGTACGTTCAACGATGAAATGGGAATAGTTAAATATGAGAAGTTTTTGAGTAGCTCTTCTTGAAAAAAAGTAGAAGAGCAGGTTCAAAAAGACATAGTGCGAGATGATTACACAAGATTGGACTATCATTGATATTGGTAAGAAATGAAATTAAATAATTTGAACTTGGATAACGATACAGACAAACTAATATAATACTTTAAATTTATTACCTGTTTTCCCCATAATGTGCTATGCTGCAAGTATTCTTGATCACGAATGCTTGGGTGCATGTTAATTTCACCCATTGCTTCATAGTCCATTGGAAACATTTGCTCTTCTTCCAGGGTACCAGATAAAGAGCGCCCATCTAGTGGCATTCCATCGGTAAAATCCAAGTAAGATACTCCATCTCCTTCTGAGATACCCTTTCCATTGATTCTATTTACCAAGTCTCGAAGAAATAGCCCAGAAAGAAGATTTTCCTAAAAAAATCATAATTTACATATCGGGATAAGCGTAATTACTTATCTAGGAATAATGTATAATATACCGGGTGGGCTACCAAAAATTTTTCACCCACGTTTCGGTCTAATTGGCGAAGAAAAAAACAAACAAAGCTTGGGTTCCTTAATTTTTATTTTTAGGAACACATTTGGTAAATACAATATCATTCTCAAATTTTAACCCTCAAAGTGCAGGTGGCCTTTATCCATAAGATCTTGAATAGAAAGGGGTATCGTGTGATATACCTTTTTAAAGGTCACTTTTTCATGTTTTGAAAATCACAGTATTTTCATTTTAGATGAGAAAGTAACTGATACAATTTTAATCCCTAGTAAAACCTTAAAAGCTTACCTTAAAACATTAAAACGCCGTATTTGGAAAAGAAATCCTGTTTCTAGATAAGATGATAGTTCAAAATCCCACTGCAGGATTACTACGTTTATAACATAGTTAAAAAAACTGACATTTTTGATGTAGTCTCGGTTAGAGTCTTAGTTTCCACCCTCTAGGTCACGATCGGTAATAGGCATTGGTCAAATACTTTTGAAACTAATTGGTATATTTGCCCTAAGTGTATCTCGCAGTTTTCCAAAGGCTGCCCACGCTAAAGTAATTCGTCTTTGAATTTCACATTTTTGGTTATCCCTGCTGATTATTATTTGTCATAAACATAGTTTTGGTCAAGTTCATTCTGAGGCCCACCTTCGAACATGCAGTCCAATTTAGTTTACATATCTGTGGCGTCTCCTAAATTATCTGTGATAAGGACAATGTAATCTGCGAAACGGAGATGGTTAAGATTTTTGCCGTCTATTGTTACTCATCTGTGGTCCCAATTAACCATATTAAAGGCATACTCTAATGCCGTTATGAATAATTTCGGTGACAATGTATCTCCTAGCATTATCCCACGTTTTATTTTTAGTGGCTGGGTTTTATCGTGTATCTTAACAGTCATAGTGGCATTTTTGTAAATATTGTAAATAAGTTCACTATACTTATGGTCAATCCTGCTGTCATTCATTGCTTCTAGAAGGCTGTCTATTGCGATCGTGTCCAACTCTTTGTGAAAATCTAAGAAAGTAATGACAAGAGGTTTGTTGTATTCTATAGATTTTTCAGTATGGAGGTGATCATCGGTACCATAACTTGAACGGAATAGTACCTGTTCTCTCGGTTGTTTTCTCCAATCTTGATGTCACTAACCAAGTGAAGAACTTGTATATGTGGTTCAACAGGCTAATAGATCTATAATTTTTCAGGCCCGTTCTATCTTGTTTTTTTATAGAAAAGGATGGTAATACTGCTGGATGATTTTTGCTGCAAACATAGATTAAACAGTTTCCTTAATTTATTTAATAGCACATCTCCATTTACGATAGCTTCTATTACAATTCCATCCTCTTCTGGGGCTTTGTTATTTTTCATTTCTCTTAATACTTGTCGAATCTTATTCACCTTTATCTCTGGCATTAATTGGGAACCTTGAATCATGATCTTTGAAATGACTGTTTGTATCCCTGTTTGATTTTCTCGTCTAATTTAATATAATTCCTCATAAAACTTTTCGACGACCTGTATTAAACCGTCTCTATGTGATATTATTTCATTTTGTTTATTTCTTAATACATGAATTTCACACTTCCCATTCGTTAGCTTTCTACGTAAAACTTTTAGGCTATTATTTTCATCTGTCGTGAGTTTAATATTATCGGTTTTAATTTTCTTAAATCTCTCCTGATTGCCTTCGAATCAGTTTTATTCATTTCTCTTAAGGCGCCTACTCACTCAGAAGGAAGCGCGAAGGATTGAATGTGCATGGCACGGGGTACACTTAAAAGTGTGTGTGTATGGCGAAAAATGTGGAATGCGCAACCAAGCCTCTCAAAATCAGGATCGTCTTGAGTTTTGGCGTGTGCAATTATCATCGCGCGGGGAAGAATGACAGTGTATGGGCAACATTAAAGTGTGGCTTGTGCCACACTCTAAGAGTGGCATGTGCCTGATATTGGTTGATATCTAATGGGGGTGTCCAGATACCATGAGATTGATTTTTAATCATTATGTTCCTTTCTTCATTTATGTTGATTTGGAATTTCGCTCGTTTTATTTTGTGGTCACTGTTTGTGGTGAATTTGTTGAGTACTGTTAGATCTTTAATTATTTGTTTTTTGTCACTTATGGTGTAGTCGATTTCGTTTCTTGTTCTTTCTCTGACTTTCCGAGGTCCATCTTCTGTGCATCTTATTGTGAAAGAAGATGTTCATATTGAATAAATTATTCTGGAGTAAGAATTCTAGTAGCATTTCTCCTTGGTAATTTCTTTCTAGAGAACAGAATTTATCCAAAGATATTTCTAGCTCTGCCTCTTTTACACCTATTTTTGTGTTGAAATCGCCACATAAAATTATGAATTAAGTACGAAAGTCATTAAGCACAGTAGATATATCGTTACAAAACATTTCGATTTCTTCGTCTGTATGGTCTATTGTGGAAGAGTATACTTGGATAATTTTAAGTTGATATTTACTGTTCAACTTCAGAATAAGATATGCCACTCTAGATGATATAATTTGGATGTTTATTTGTTCGCGTTTTTTTTATGGACAAAGAAACCGATGCCTCTAACTGATGTAGTTTCAGGGCTAATCTGATAGGGCTAATCTTAATTCAGTTAATAGTAATTAAATTTTTGGACAACATTTACAACATCCACAAAAATTAAAAGTTTGGGCAGGAATTTTGTCATTAATTCCACTTTAACAGCCTTAATTAAGGAAGACGACCGTTATAGTGAATAAAACTTAATCTTTTAACAATATAAGGCTCCTGCGCATTATTCTATTATACCAGTGAGACCGGTCAGACAATTTTTAGAATATTATCAGAAGGAGGTTAACTACGAAATGGCCTACACGTTTATCAGATTTATTTACATTTGAGTTTTGTAGAGTCATTTAAAGACAATAATTTACGCAATACAAACCGAATTATTACAAAGTTTTTATTACAGTGCAACATTACTTTTAACATGTTTCATAATACTAGAGAAGACTGAGCAATGTCTCTATTAATGGAGGTCGGTAAATGAGAGTCAGGGTTATTAAAATAATATTAATTAAAATATCGGAAAAATAAAAATCCCCTAAATTTACATGTCACACGATACTCTTTCTATTAAAGAATTTAGAAATAGTGGTCAGCTCCGCGGGGAGGGGGGCTGGTGGGGTTGAAATTTGAAAATGATTATATTTACATGTCTGTCTATTTCTATATTTTTTTAATTTTTGGTATTAATAAGAACACAAGTCAGATTGAAAATTGGTGACATTATGCTGTAGCGCACCTTGTATAATAATTTCTTTATTATCGTTCGCTTTCGGTGCTCAAAAAGTTTGAGAATAAACAAACGATTCATTGTCCATTCAATTTTGTTACTTTAAAAATACTCTAACTAAAGCTATCGTACTTAAGGAACGATTTATTTAAGGATAAAATAGCATTAACTCTTTTGTAAACTTTTCGATTTGCGAATTCGAATTGATGACGCACGTTTTTCAGGTTTTATCTCAAAAGGGCGATAAACGGTGGCTCTCTGTAAACATTCAGTTTTTGTCGCCAATTATGCAAACACCCGTTTTTATGTATTGATCGTAGAAAAAGAATTTTAATGTGGATTAAGGATGGTAAAGGGTCTTGTGGAATAGCTGGGTTGTTTAAATATAACACGAGATATCCAACTGGTTAGTATGAACGAGTTAATGGTTCTAGGAATATAACTCGAAAAGAAATCCTAATTGTAGGTTCTCAGAGGCACATACACTTCATCTAATTTACATACCGATGCACGTCATCGGCGTCATAGCCCGCGACGTCACATGATACCAACACGAAATATTTAGGCGGTAGGTGTGTTCTTTTTTAGATTCACTTTGCCGAGTACACTGGCATTACAGCCACCAGACATATTTTATTATATACGCGTAAAAATAATATTTAAAAAATTTATATTAATGTTAACTTAAAGAAATACACAATAATATGTTTCATTTAATTTGTATAAATGCATTATAAAGCGTTTTTATGAAGAAACTTTTGTTCTAAACACACGGTAACAGCATCCTACTACCTCTCTTCAAAAAGGGAGACAAATCAGACCCGGAAAATTACAGAGGAATTAATTTATTAAACACAACAATTAAATTAACACACAAAGTGAATGCAAATAAATTGAATGCAATGATAACACTATCAGAAGAACAACAAGGTTTTAGGTCAGGAAGATCATGCACCTACGCTATATTTATAACGAGGCAAGTGCCAGAAAAATCATTAGAATACAACAAACCGGCATATCTATGTTTTGTGGACTTTACAAAGGCATTGGACCAGGTCAAATTAAAAGACGTTATCCACTTAATTTACGCATGAGAAATACCTCTAGGAATAATCAAACCAATCAAAAATATCTACCAAAACAACACAATAAAAGTAAAAGTAGAAGAAGAGTAACCGACCCTATTGAAGCTGGTAATGGGGTAAGACAGGGAGATTTATTGAATCCTTTATTGTTCAACCTAATTGTAGATGAAATAATAAAAAAGGTAAGAACTATAAAAGGATACCAAATGGAAGAAAAACAACTTAAAATATTCTGCTATGCAGACGACGCAATACTATTCTCTCAAAGTGAAGATGATTTCCAACGTATACTGAACCAATTTAATATAACCGCCAGAAAATTTAACATATTAATTTCTTCATAAAAGACAAAATGCATGGTTACAACAGCAAATTTACTTAGATGTAAATTGGAGCTGGAAGTTTAGATAATAGAACAAGTGATGAAGTTTAAATATCTAGGCATCACATTATCTAGCTACGGAAAGCTCGAAGCCGAAGTGGAAGATCAAGTGAATAGAACAAACAGAGCCGCAGGCTGCCTAAATGAAACAATATGGAGAAATAAAAATATCGGGAAAGAAACGAAAGACAGAATTTGCAATAATGACATACGATGTAGAAACAAGACCTGATACAGAGAGGACAAAAAGGATCTTAGAAACAGCAGAGATGAAAACACGTGCAGCAGAGATGAAAATTTAATGGTTAGACACTATAGGACAGAGCTAGAAGTACAGATATATGACAACAAATAGAGTAGTAAAGACGCCAAGAGATGGTTCCTCGATAGAAAGAAGATAAGTAGGAATACCACGAAAACGATGGAACGACAACTTACTGGAGGCACATTGAAATACAGAAGAAGTCTAGAAAAGAAGAAGAAGAAAAGACTACTGATATAGGATTGAAGTAGTGTAAAAACAGAGAAGAAGAATGGCATGTTACTGACGACAATAAACGTAATTTAGAAGTAAATTTAGGGAAGACAAAATATTAACACTTTCGATTCGTTAACGAATAAAAAATCAAGTTATACAAAAGTAAAAAAAAATTTAAATCCAAAAATGCCTGTTTTTGGGGCTATTTTATCTCACACTTTGGGAATGTAACTTCATAAATTGGTCATATTATAACTTAAAATTAATACTAAATAGTCATGAAACAAAATGGGCAAAAAAATTAACTTTAACGAAATAGCCTCTTTAGCTCTCCTTGAATTTAGCTCTATAGAGCTCTCTTCAGATCTATAGTATGATATGGTAATTAAGATAATATAGTAATTTAAATAAAATTTAAAACTATATCTCCTTATATTTTTTTGGTATGATCACAAGAGTATATCTTTATAAAGCGACTGAATGGACTTGTGGGTTGTCAGTATTTAAATAACACGTATTTTGTACCTGTTACTTTATTTTAGAGGATCGTACTTGTTACTGGAAACCAAAAATACCTGTTACTGGTACTTGTAACTTAGAAATATTACGAGATATTTATTTTTTTAGAGTATTTCAATAATATATATATATATATATATATATATATATATATATATATATATATATATATATATATATATATGACACTTTAGATCTGGTACTCATTACTAATAAAACAATATTTAATAGAGGCGAAATTGAAATGATCTCATCGCACACTCAGCAGAAAAAATGTTTAGTCTTAGGCCGATAAGATTTGTTTATTTAGATTCCTCCTAACTAAATTAAAATGGGGAAAAAATTCAATTATTAAGTGGGTGTCCGTAGCAATAAGTGTTATATTTTGTATTAGCTAAGATGACATATTTTTAAAAAATTTCGATACGATATTACTGTCGGACTATTCTCAAAATCTGGACAATTCATATCAAAGCGAAGAAGTCGTCTGCTAGAAAAGAATGTACAAAATATTTTATTCTTACATTGTAATTATGACCTCTGAGCACGTGTCAAATGTGTTTTTTTAATGAATATTTTGATTTGGTATGTATGTTTATGGTACTTATTATGCATAATTACAGTTTTTTTAAATTTTATTACATATTTTTTTAGGTCTCGTAGAGTCTTTAAGCATATACCCGAACTACTATTCTTGCTAAAACGACACTCAGTGATAACTGCAAGACGCAAGTCGCAGGCTTAGTCTTGTTCTTGTTTAAATCTTGCACGGTCTGTCCTGGTCTTGGTCTTGCTAAAATTAGACGGTCTTGGTCTTGGTCTTGCGAAAGCGCAAGAACAAGTGCCAATGAAAAAGTCAATATTAATGCTGCTATAATGAAAATGTTTGCATGGAATTTTCAGCCTTTACAATAGTTGAAGATAAAGAATTTAGAAATGTAATGAATGTGATTGTTGACATATATAATATTTCTTCCCGAAAATATTTTTCAAACGCGCTTTTGTCATCCCTATTTGAAGAAAAATGTAATAATCTTAAAACTCTTTTAAAAGAGAGGGCACATAGCATTTGTCTCACAACAGACTGTTGGACATGTCTGTCAATGATAGTTATATGGGGATAACCGGTCATTTTATAAATGACGATTAAATACTGATATTACTTCTCTAACACCTGTGGAATGGGATATCTGTAAAGAACTCTGTGATACTTCCATGTGCGGAGGTGACGAGAGATGAGAAATGAGTAGTAAGCAGTACGTAAATGTTAGCAAAATCATACCTATCACTGATGGATTAAGCACGAAATTATCAATTTTGTTAATGAATTTATTAATGTTATTTATAAAAAACAAAAATATATAAGAAGATACCCAAGGTAAAGAGCATGAACCGTTATCAGAACCACAAAAAAAAAATGAGATGAATATCAAGATAAAATGAACAAAGTGAAACCAAAAGGAACCTCAACATCTTTTGCAATTAAAGAAGTTCAAAGGTACATAAACGATACTCCTATTGGAAGAAATGAAAATCCACTTGAGTAATGAAAAACCATCTTTTATCCAAATCTAGCTCACTTTGTAAAAATTAAGGGCAATACTATGGCAACCTCTGTGCCATGTGAACGATTATTTTCTAAAGCAGGAAATATATTATCGGAACGAAGAACACGTTTAACAACTAAATAAGTTAAAGAGTTGATGTTTTTAAATATGAATATGTAACAGATTGTCTTGATTCATTCTTGATTTTAACTATTTTTTGTTCTGTTTTTTAATGTTATTTTCTTTGTTACTAAATAAAAAATATATTACAAATACTTATTTTATTATAACTAGGTATATTTATTAAATATTATTATTATTATCTAAATATGATCACAGGCAGGTACTAGATACCTTACAACAATACACACTTACACCCTAAACTTATTGCAACTTATTGCAAACTTATTGCAACTATTACAGATATTTTCTCGTCCTGTCAAGGTAACAGGTATATTGTAACTAGTATTTCTACTAGGTATTACTAAATACTTGTAACAGGTATAACTCTTAGTGTTAAATACTCTCCAGTGGGTTTAGCCCACTCCAAGAAGGAACCAACTATCTTTTATAGAAACTTACCTTGGCTGGAGGAAGATAACACATTGCCCCTGTTAAACAGCACATTAAAATTGTGATCTTCATCTTAAAACAGTTTTCGACCTAAACAGAATAAGAATGAGTTATAAGTATAAGTTTTATATGCAGTTAGACCAATGACGTAATATTATACGTCATTGAGTTAGACTAGGGCGGATCTATTTTGAGATGGAGGTGACATTTGGAGTTTTGCAGAAATGTTAGGTGATATCTTTAGTAATAATAATTGACTTAACCTCCCTCTTAAATAGGTCGGAAACATTAACAAAACAATTTAAATATTTAAAAATTGCTAAAAACATCGATTTATTCTATTTTACTTGCTTATAACTTTAAAACAATTCATTTTAGAGCAAAGTCGTACAAAAATAAGATAGAGATAATTAAATTTTCTTTAAGATACCGCTAGTTAAAAAAGTTTTAATTTATTACCGTTCTCGCTAAATGGCAAAAAATAAAAAAAAATGGAGGGAAACAAGTCTTTTCTTATTCAATGTACTTAAACCACTTAGATTACACTGAGGACCTTCATAATTCGTCTAGAAGATCTTTGTAACATAGTCAAACAGTAATCCAAATTTCATTACAATCGATTTAATAAATTTGCATAATAATTTTGTAATCTAAATTTAAAAAAAAATTGAATTTTTTTAAAAATTTTACATAACAAAAGCTAGACCATATAGAAGTTTCCCAATTTTTTTACTTAGAAATACTCACTGACTTACGATTTGCGATAGACATAGTCATAGTTCTGATAACAAATAACTTAAAAGAGATGGTAACTATGCTTACTGAGTTAAATGTCGTCTGTAAGGAAGTTGGTTTGAACATAAATTTTAGAAAAGCACAATACATAACGAATCAGGTACCAAGATAAAATCCAAAAGTCAAGTACAACGAAATAGGATTAGTTCATAAATATAAATACTGACCTCGTGAAATTCAAATTACCAGGGATAACCAAATTGCTGAACTAAAAAGAAGAGTCACTTATGTATGGGCTATATATGGAGCTCTATCAGACATCTTCAAAAGTAACATATCAAATTATTTGAAAACGAAGACGCTCGACCAATATGTGCCTCCAGTTATGACTTACGGCGCAGAAACACTTTCCTTAACCGAGGCCATAGCAACCAAAATCAGAGTAACTCAAAGAAGAATGGAACGCTCGCTGCTTCGTTACATAGCTCTCTGCTGTCGTTACATAGCTCTCTGAGTTTTTCTGATCTTCTCCATGTTTATTTTAGTGAATGTCCAGGTTTAAGCTCCATATGTAAGTACAGGTAGAATACAGGAATTAAATACTTTGGTTCGAAGTCTTTGAGGTATATTTTTATTTTTAAGTACTTATGAGATTCTTCCGAATGCTGCCCATCCCATTTTTATATGTCTTTTTATTTCCGTATCTATGTGTAGCTATGTGATTCTATGTGTAGCTCATCAATAATCGTATTCAGTGCATTCCACGTATCGGCTATTAGTACTACATCATCTGCGTATGTAAGGTGGTTCAAGTATCTTACTTTAATAGGGATTCCCTTATTTTTTTATGCAGATGATACAATACTGTTTTCCAATACCACGGAACTGCAAAACTTAATGGAACAAAATAATGGAAACAGGTAGAAAATATGGACTGGATATAAACACCAGCAAAACCAAGCAAGGAAAAAATAACTGGAACAAATATGTATGTAAACCATATGAGAATTAAACGTGTCTTACAATACAACTACTTGGAAACTATAATCAATAAGTCGTGGGACTATGGGAATACCCAAGAGATTAAATGTCGCATCGGAAAGGCGAAAAGTGCATTTTTGACTATGAGCTCTGTGTTCAAGAGCCATGACCTCACCCTAGAAACAAAAATAAGGCTCCATTAAATGTTAATTGTACTCAGTGCTTCTGTATGGAGTATAAACGTAGACATTGAAGGCGATCAAAACTTCAAGGTTTTGAGCTATGGTTATACAAAAGGATCCTGAAGATACTATGGACAGACAAAGTCACCAATAAAGAAGTTCTGAGGAGAATGAACACAACCGCGGATTTGGTCAACATCGTAAAGGGTCATAAGCTGCAGTACTTGGGACATATAATGAGAAATCAAGGCAGATACGAGCTACTCCAATGCATTTTGCAAGGTAAAATTGAAGGAAAAAGTGCCGCAGGACGAAGAAGAATATCCTGACCTGCAAATATGAGAGCATGGTATAGAAATACCTCAACACAGCTATTTCGTATAGCAACCAACAAAGTTATCATAGCCAGAATGATCGCCAACGTTCGGAATGGACAGGCACCATAAGAAAAAAACATTGTCGAGGCCCCGAGCAGAGGAAAGAAGCAGATGTAGACCACCTACACGATGGACAGACGTTAAAAGAATCGTTAAAAATTAACTGCAAGAAACTTAAGACCGACACAACTAGAAGAAATTATGAGATAACTATATCCAACTTTGGGCGCAGAAGGCTGTAGGATTAATACTACAATAATAACAATAAACAAAGATACTACACTTGAGACTACTACTTGTGTATTCTTACATACCACACCAACATTAGGCATAATTAGACAAGGAGACAGCCTGAACTCATTTCTAGTTGGTTTAATTATATTATGGATAAAATAATACATAAAAAGTTGCCTCCCTAAACTTGGGACACACAAGTAATACAACATTTTGGTAAGCATGGTTTAGACAAGTTATCTTTTCTACAATATGTGAAAGGAAAACGTCATAAATTTCGAATAAACCTGTTTAAAATTTGTTTATTAGGAGGCTATACCACAGAATAATAAAACAATCAGAATGCCCAGTCTGCTTGTCTAGATAAGTACGCGCATCTCGTTCGCGAAGACAGAATCACCCATGTTTTAAACGGAACCAGTACTCTTCAGTGAAATTTTATCTGGTGGGCGTAAAAAAATTAAACCGGTTTTTCAAATTTACTAAATTATTAATCTCTAAAAATTTAAATTATGGTTTTGTCGTAGCTTGTCACAAATTTCTCAATCCGAGTCTGTGTTTCCGTTTAAAATATGGCGATCGCATGCTGACACTCTTCAAAAACGACATCTGAGAGAGGGCGTTCTGATTGTTATTTACTCTGTGGCTATACCCATATAATTAATATATATTGCGGCAAAGAAACAATTAATGGACAACCGGTTGCTAAAAGGGTAGTTATTAAAATATTAAACCCTTATTCAATCAGGGTAGGACTCTTGTTACGAACAAATCTTATACATCAGTTAATCACGCTGAAATTTTGAAAACTAGATCCACTCACCTAATAGGAACGTTGAGAAAAATCCAAAAAAAGATCCCAAAAGGGTAGTAGAAGGCAAACTCAAAAAGTGGGGATCAATGCCAATCAAAACTAAAATAATATTGTAATTATGAAGTGGCATGACAAGATAGACGTACTTTTTTGTCTACAAAACATAGAGACGATATGATAGAGCTAACGCATAGGGAATGTCCTAAAAGAAAACCTGCTGCCATTGTCGAGTGCAATAACACAATAGCGTTTGCGACATGTCAGATCAAAAGACAACTTACTCAAACTGTTTACAAAAGTCTGTCAAATGGTACAGAAAAGTGGTAATTAAGATGATTACTGGTACTTCACTGGCGAGTGCTCTAATTATTTCCATTAACATCAACCAAAGAAAATTTCCAGTTACAAAATTCAAAGAAAATATGTCCATGCAACTTCTGTAAAGTAGTAATCTATTACTTAAAAATAAATACTGTTTGTATTTTGAGAACGATTTCCGAAGTGGAAATTGAAACGTCAATAAACGTATTTTTATCTTTAATTGTGGCCTATTCCCAGTTAAATAGTAATTAATTTAAAATGCCACAAGAAAATAGCTTCAGAACAATATTCATCTATTACTTCCTATACAAGTTCAAACCAAACATAAACTTAATCAAAATGCTTTTGGAAAAAGAGGCAGGTGCACGGTTTGTTAAAAAAAAGCTCTAAACTACATGGTCGAAATTATGCTGTAAAAAACACAAAACGAGTAACATGTGTATGCAAGGGTTGTGAAGACACCCTTTTATGTGCTTAGAATGTTTCTTTGTCAACCATGTTTAAAAAAAATAACTAAAACATGCACAATAAAATTTTCTATTTAAAAAAAAACTACGTTCTACGTTACTTTTGATTGCTGTACGGTCATAATATAAAAAAATAATAATATGTAAAACAAAATATTATTAACGTAAAAACATGTTAATGTACAGTTAATTTTTATTTTTTTACCGTTATACCTTTAAAAATTAAAATAATTTAATTACACGGTAAATGTGTACCAACCACGAACACATGACCAAAACTCTAATAAAACCTGTGTCCAATATATGTATGTACACATGGCAGAGAACTAAAATGGCCTGTGTCCATATATGGAACTCGTGGCAGTAAAAAATTATTACCTGGAATATTACAATATGAAAGATTTTTGTCCATGTGTAAACAATCACAAATATTGGAATTAAAAATTCCAAAAAAAGTAAAATATAAATAAAAATTGTGATAAAATATATGAGTAAATGCTCAGCAGAAGTGAGAGGGGTTTGCATATGGATGAATAATTACCTTACCAAAATAAAAAATATGGCCCAGTCTAATTCCAGTTTTCCACATTTAAGTAAACTTTTTTCCACATAATTAATGAACTTTATGAGAACTTTTATAAGACATATGCAACACTATTTACTAAAGAGCTTCACATGATTTTTGATTAAACGTATAATACCTGACTTATATCTCGTATAAGCAAATATGTACAATGCTTTCACATAACGTTTACAAATAGTAACAAACCCTGAGCAATTTATAACCAAATGACTTATTTCACCTGTTTTGAATAAAAACAATTCTATGACCAAATGTCACACCGTTTACAAATTTTATTAGCAGCTGCAGTTCAAACCACCTGTTAAAATAATAATTCCGGGCAGGATTTAGATAAGCTATATTCGTACATGTTTTAATATAACTTGCTACACTAGAAAGATTAATTCTATATACGATAAATTCTGAACGTTCTTTCCTTAAATAAGAAAAATATGTACTGGGAAAAATTGCCACGTCAGTGATATTATATTTCCGTTAAATCTGTAAAGCACACGCGAAATTCATAGTGGTCCGTGCAAAACTCTAAATATAGTGCATAATCTATTAACAACATTTATTTTTTATTGAAAAATTGAGTTACTTACCCTAAGGGTCGAGCACTAATGCGGAAATGGGAAATTTTTAGGTTGTGTCTAGCTGGAATCAATGGTGGAAATGCGCACTGAATGATGCGACTCCAGGCCCGGCTTATCAAACTGCAAGGGTTAGGGCATTGATAATACGACCTACATGCAACGAATAACCCCGATTAGTAGAGGGGTTTTCAGTGTTTTGTGAGATGAAAGAATTGGGTAACATAAAAAAACTTTAAAAACTAAATACTTAAAACTTACTTAAGTTTAAAAACTTTCTCTTTTTACTTAAGTTTAAAATCTTTAAAAAAAGTTCTATTTCTTAAGTATTTTTTTTTCAAACGAACTACGATTCCATTTTCGAACAACAGAATTTACAAACAAAAAAAATTGAAACCAAACATGCAAGTCATCTTTCTAAAAAAAAATAGATATTGTTCTGAAGCTATTTTTTGTAGCATTTTAAAGTAATTATTATTTGAATGGAACTTAGCCACAGTTGAAGGTTAAAATAAGTTCATTGACGTTTCAATCTTTACTTCGGAAATCGTTCTCAAAATACAAACATGGCTGTAGCATCCTCTTACGTATTCGGAGATTCCTGATGATCTACGACCGCCGCTCTGGAGAAGGATTGTAAGTTTCTCGATTCCCTCCTTGTGTTCGTTACCGGGGCCTTTGTGGTCGACAAAGGGAAACCGGCAACCAGAATATTCCAATAGTTCGAGATATTTCTTAATAACTTGTCTTACAACTAGGTACAAAAATGAAATAACAATAACTACGTAGCGACATCGTATCGAGTTTGACGAGTGTCCTGAAATGCTAATGATCCTCTATTTACAATATAGTTAAAAGTAATGATTTGGCATTCCCACGGTAGCTAACGGCTGCTTGGAGTTTATGGCGTTGCATGGCTTAGCTATTTCAATGGAAACTGCTGTTGTAGGTATGATGCAATATGAAACTGGCATTGTGAAACTTTTACGTCAGAAACCATTGGCTGGTTCAAGGTTACTATTTTCACATATAACAACTCCCCTTATTAGTGAAAAGTTGATGCCTTGCTTCGACTTTTAAAGTTCAATAGGCGTTTTCGATTTTTTTTGAATGCCTGGTTGTACGTCTGGTTTTCTTTTAAAAGTTAATCCTTTGAGTTTTTGTTTAATGGAATTTCGGCGAGGTAGTGCAAATGGACGTGAGTTTTGTGGATGGTTGACTGCAATTCTCAGGAATATTTTGCGTCGACATTTACAGCAAATGTAAATCAAAGCTAAAATGAAAATTAGTAATAAAGACAATACGGTGTACAAATTCAAATGTTCGTCAATCATTGGTTAGTTCATAATTTGGACGAGCTCTTCTGAATACTGGTCCAGCTTGTGCTGTGCGATGCTTAAATCGTCTGCATTGATTTTATTGAGTTTTAATGGTTTTTTTAGTTTTGATATGCGGTTTTTCCTTCGAAGTGGTCACAGCATATGTATGGAACATTAACTGGATGACTTCTTTAGGTGATATTTGAGTATTTATCTATTTCTTGTATAATTTTATGATCTGAGTAGTGATGTCTTTTCTTCCACACGTAATAGTAATTGGTAATGGATCGGAAACTGTTCTTAACAATAAAGTTTTTGATAAAATGCTAACTGATTTCAACAGATGGGCTTGACACATGGCGTCGCTGTCTATTGGATACGGAAGAATGTCTGAACACATTATTTGGCTTTGGCTAATTGGTTTGTATTCTCCTGTATTTTGGAGTTAAATATATGAAATAAACCAGCGATATAAAAATGCAGTAACGGATACAAAAACATACCCAGGCGCAGATGTTCCATCGGATCACAACCTACTAGTGGCTAAATTAAAAATAAAGTTTAAAATGCTAAAAAAGACTGTCAAAAGAAAAACCGACCGATCAATTTACTTAAACAAGAAAATATACAAAGTATGGTAAAGACTAAACTCAACGAGGAATGTGAAAGACTCCAAAGAGAGTTATCACCAACTACAGAAGGCTTATGGACTGAAGTCAAGAATGCTTTTACTAGCGCCGAGAAATATATAAAAGACACTAATAACAAAAGAAAATCTAAACCCTGGATGACACAAAAAATTCTGGGAATGATGGATACTCGAAGAGCCTACAAAAATAAAAATAATGAAAAATATAGGGAGATACATCGTCAAATCAAGAAAGAAATAGCTACCGCAAAAGAAAATTGGATGATAGAAAACTGCCAAGAGATCGAAGAATTAATAAAGAAACACGACAGTCAAACGCTTCACAAAAAAATAAAAGATCTAGCTGGAATGACAAAACAAAGACTCCCTTGTAGATTAACAAACGACGAGAATAAAACGATATGGGAATTAAGCGATCTAAACAACGTATGGGGACATTACATAGAAGAACTATTCTCGGACACACCACTATAAGGCCTATTCTCACTATAGTGCCAGGCATGTGCCAGGCATGTGCCCTGCTCGAGACGTGCAAAATTACTTTAACGTTATTTAAATGGGTTTAGCGACGGTCCGTTCTCACTACAAGTGCTTGGAATGGGAACGGTACGCGCCCGGCATCGGACAATCTTTTCAAACAATATTTTCCTAGCCCGTGCGTGGCACATTCCTTGCACAGTCCTACATAGTGTGAATACTTCAGATGAGTTTCGACAGGCAAAACGGTGCGAAAAAAATATTTTCACATGATACTGATGAATTTTTAATAGAATTAGTTCGTATGAGAAGTGAATTATACGATTTTATGAATCGACTGTATGCAGATGCAGCACATAAGTCTCAGGTATGGTGGGATATTGGAGGAAATATTAAAATAGGTAAATAAAACACTATATTTTATCTAGGTAATAGACCACTGCCGATAATATTTTAAACAAAAAAAATAATAGTAGGATGAAACTCGTTGGAAAAGAAAGATGATATGACATAAATGAAAGAAAAAATAATTTACGGGCGACCTGAGTTCGGAAAATGGAGGGAGTGAGTTTTTTAAGGACAAAAATGGTTTGTCGTGATTTCCTAGAGCAAGTCGAACTACATATCTACTAAAGCAAGTAGAACTACAGAAAAAATCTTTTTGTAGTTAAAGTAGCTGGAACCACTATTGATTGGTGCTATAATTTTGATGTGCTTTTCATCTAGGGCTCCTAATGCCCTTGGGAAAATTCTACGACAACCAAAATTTTTTGTCAATTTGTTTAAAATCGCATTCTGCTGGTAATTCTGCTGAAATTCGGCAATTGACATTCTATAATATATATATATATATATATATATATATATATATAATATATATATATATATATATATATATATAAAATTTTGACTCATTATCCATGAGTTCTTTATACAAGGTATAGTATTCTCCTTCTATGTTTCTTTCCTTAATCATTGGATGTATCCAAAACCTCATTTTTTAACTTTATCTCTCATATTCTCTTCTTCTTCGGCATCCAAAGTAAAAAATGCAATTTTTACTAAAGTTGCCGTAGAAAACATTACAACTGCACAACTACCCACCGACACGTCTAACCGACTGCCTGTGCAAAATACCGCTGAAAGCATGTTACGAGCGCGAATAGTGTGAATATTTACCAAAAGCATGGCATGTGCCGGTCAGGTGACGAGCACGGGCCTGGCACGTCTAATGAGAATAGACCTTAAACAACATAATATATAAAAACCATGAAACCAGTCCTCCTATATTAAAACAAGTAGTAGAGAGAGCAATCAAAAACGCAAAAAATGGGAAAGCCCCTGGCCCCGATGACATACATACGGAAGTCATAAAGCTACTGGAAGAGAAACATTTAAATATAATCGTCAAATTATTTAATCAAATATATACAAGCGGTGAAATTCCACAAGACTGGTTAAAATCAGTCTTTATTCCCCTTCCAAAAACTAAGGGAGCAAAGAAGTGTGGTGATTTCAGACTTATTAGTTTAATGTCGCATATGTTAAAGTTATTCTTGAAAGTTATTCACCAACGCATTTATAAGAAATGTGAACAGGATATCAGTGATGAACAATTTGGCTTCCGAAATGGATTTGGGACACGGGAAGCATTAACCAGTTTTATTATACTGCTGCAAAAATGTCGAGACCAAAAAAAGGATCTCTTTTTATGTTTTATTGACTATCAAAAGGCCTTCGACAAAGTAAAACATGATAAGCTGATGGATTGCCTTCACAAAAAGGGACTAGACGAGAACGATTTTAAAATTATCCAAACGCTGTATTTTAACCAAACTGCAGCAGTTAGAACAGAAGCCGGTGACACAGAAATATTCAATATCAAGCGAGGTGTACGACAGGGGTGTGTATTGTCACCACTACTTTTCAATATATATTCGGAAGAAATCTTTGCACGAGCAATAGAGCAATCAAGAGAAGGTGTTAAAATTAACGGCAGAGTTGTAAATAATGTACGATACGCCGACGACACGGTCCTAATTGCAGAGAGCGCACAGGATCTCCAGACACTCTTAGATCGCGTCATATCGATCGGAGAACAATACGGCCTCAGCATTAACGTCAAGAAAACAAAAACAATGATTGTCTCCAAAAAAAATCCATCCATCCACCCATGGCTTTAAACGTGAATGGTAACATTATCGAAAATGTCGAGAAATTTCGATATCTAGGGTGTTGGATAACGAAAGATATAGATCCAGACATAGAAATAAAATCGCGAATTGAACAAGCAAGAAATGTCTTTTTAAAAATGAAACAAATGTTTACGTCCCAAACACTCAATCTCAAAATCCGATACCGAATGCTGAAATGTTACGTTTACAGCACCTTACTATATGGAATGGAGGCCTGGACCTTCAAAATCAACTCACTCAGGCGTTTGGAAAGTTTTGAAATGTGGTTATTTCGAAGTATGCTGAAAGTCCCCTGGACAGCGCATATGAGCAACGAGCAGGTCCTACACAAGATGGGTACCGACAGAGAACTCTTAAAAATAATGAAAACAAGGAAAACCTCATATTTGGGACACATATACAGAAATGAGAAATACCAGCTACTGCAGCTTCTTATAGAGGGGAAGGTAGAAGGAAAACGTGGTCCTGGTAGACGGCAGGCGTCCTGGTTGAAGAACATTCGTGAGTGGACTGGTTTGGATTCTCAATCTTTAATAAGAAAAGCCAGAGACAGAAATGATTTTGCTGAGGTTATCGCCAACCTTCATTGAAGACGGCACCCAAAGAAGAAGATATGAAATTGAATCATCATCTCGCGCTATATATTTATGTACAGTAGAAAGTATATGATACAGGCCAGTTTGGTTATCTTATATTGGTATCGAATATAGGTGATATAAGATATAAATTTGAGGATCGACTAATGGGATGACAAGGACGAATACAATTTTTGAATCAAGTTGATATGCTTGGAGTTTTATTGTATCAATATACTGTGCTTTTGATGTATAAATGGGCAATGGCAATACATTATTTTGTAATGATTGCGAGATTGTCTTTAGGGAATCCATTTAGTCATTGGGGGAAAAAATTGAACTGTGTAAGGTTTTCAAGCAAAAAAAATGCAATGGGGGGGTTTAAAATGTCATTGAGGTAATTTTCAATATCATTTAGATCATTGTTAAAGGTTTTTCGTCTAATTGCAATTTTTGGATAGTACTGTTACAAGATTTTATGACTGAAGTCATAACGGAGATTTGATTTTTCAAGAGAGTTTCGATTTGATGCTCATCTGTGGTTATTCTATTTATACATTTATTAAAGTATTCGTCGGATGCGTCCAAATTTCCGCTAATAGATTTCCAAACATTTCCAAGAGCGTTGATTAATCCACGTTTTTTGCGTGGAGTATAGGTACTTGTGTCGGCAATTATTTCTCTATATTTTAGGTTCACAGTATTTGAAACTTATCTGATCAAGCTGATATGTGCTTGTACTTCGACTTGAAAGAAACAGGATGTTATCAACAGGTCCTCGTAGACACTTCGTCTCAGGACCATTTTACTTATGTAGAGTCATACGCCGCCATGTTACCTATCCAACGGCAACTTAAACATCACAAATTATAACTATTAATAATGTAAAACAACTACAAATTTAAAACATTTAAAGGGTTTTGACCCATATATTTTGGTGGCTACTAGCATGTACAACCGTTTGCACTGATGATGGATTTATCAATCCGAAAACGTTTTGCAATGTGTGCTTCTACATATAATATATCTGAAAATTCTGTATAAATATTTAAAACTTCGGGATTCCATTTCCGATTCCGATTTCCGATTTCGTTCCTTTTCTTCGGGATTCAAATGGTCAATTCTCAGTTGTTCTTTTAAAATTTGTTCTCTGTCTATAATTGGATATTCACTTTGCTTTTGGTTGTAACAAAAAGTCGGCTCCAAGTCGTCTATAGGTTCAATGTTGATGTTCAAAAATTCGATACTTTATGGCATTGCAATTGCATTGATGACGGAAATAAAAAAGTCCCCATCTTCGTTTACATGGACTAATGCATGAGGAATTTGGACTTTTTCTATTTATTGAGATGACAATATTGCGTCTGTATTTGATAGATTGCAGTTTAATCTAAATATTTGTTCGGTGCGGCCCTCAATCGTTATTCGATTTATGTTTTCTTTTATTCTTTTTCTCTCTAGCCTAGAGATGTGTTGATATTAATCTCTTATATTTTCAGGAAATGAGCTATTTTTGTACGTGAATTATTTTCTGTGGACTTATGTATTTCTTGTCCAACTTTATGTAGGGTGAGGGTTTTGAAGTTTGTATTATTCTAGTTTTAAGGCCTATTATACATTCATAATAGGCCTATTATACCATCGAAATCAATGTCTAAATTGTAAATAAAAACTTTATTTGAAACCTTTTACTGAAGGTTACCTTCAGTAAAAGGAATAAGGAGAGATCCTGTAATTAATAGTTTTTCGTCGGCTATGCCTTGTATGATAACTTTCTGAGGGAACCTATTTCGCTAATTTTGTGCAGTATTCTCTTAAAAATTCACAGGATTCTCCCATCATATCAATGCCCAATCACAGTCAATCAAAGATCATGACGTTACCATAACCTTGTTTTGGATGGGGGAATAAGGAGGAGGAGGAGGAGATTATAAAAACATATCTTCTTCAGCAGCCATCTTTAAAGAAAAGAACTGTACATATTCAATTAATTTGCTTATTTTTGTTTCTTCTTCTTCTTTCAGTGCCCTGTCCGATTATCGAACGTTGGCGATCATATTGGCAATAATAACCTTATTCACGGCGGCTCTAAATAAATTAGCGGTGGTTTCTTGATACCATTCTCGGAGATTTCGTAGCCAGGATGTTCTTCGTCGGCCTGGGCCTCTCCTTCCTTCGATCTTACCCTGTATTATGAGGTGTAGAAGGTTATACCTCTCTGGATGTCTCATTACATTTTTTGTTTAGAATTGATAATAAATCGATACAGTGATATTTTATCAATACTGCTTTAAAAAAGTTTAAAATTTTAAACTTGATTTCTTCATTATCTAATTTAAATTTTCTATACAACATGTTGATTTTACAAATATTTTAAGAAAGTTAAAATAAAAGAGGATACTAAATATATACTTTATTAAACGTCACTCAATTAATCACTCAATTTAACTGTCATTTTCCATCATCCCAGTATTACAACTGGTACAACTAAGAGCCATTTTAAATGTTTGCTAAATCATATAACTTAAAATAACAAAAAGAATACATAGCAAAAATATGGAAATCGTTACTTAAGTAGTAATTTTTTTTTTTAAATTTGATAATCATTTTTTTAATTAGAAAAACCTAGTAACAAGCTTTAAGGAAACATCCTCTTCTTTGAAAGAGACCATTTGGACAAGAACCACCATTGGTAGCTGGTTGTGTTACCACCCTAAACCTCTCTCTGTATCCTCTGCCACAACTGGCGCTACACGGACTCCAATCTGACCATTGGGATAAAACGCAGTCGGTTGGCTCCAAGCGAGTATTTTGTCTCAATAAAGTAGTAGAGTCTAGAGTTCCTGTTATAGCATCTAGAAGAAAAATATATAATTAGACATAGCATTTGATACAATGTCAGTTAAAACCGTAATAAATACTAGTCCAGATCAAGATGCCTGCATATTTTTATTAGAAAAAAAGAAAAACAACTATATAATGTTACGCTCTAAAGGTGGGTCCAGATTTGACCATTATAGCTTAAAAGAACAGAACCAACTGAGCGCACAGAGCAGAATTCGTTAAGTCTAGACTAACTAACTAACTAAATGTTATTTTTTACCTTTATGTAGTTTTTAAGGCTCATGTAGAGTTAGATTCGTTAGATTTTACATGTAGAGTTAGAGCTCTACATGTTTCTGCTACAATAACGCTTATACTTTGTTTCAGTATTTCAAATAAACACTAAAGACTGTTAGAAGAATCACCAGAAGCTAAAAATCTCACTGTGAAGGCCAAACGATCTCTAATCGATATCTTCATTGTCCTCATTACTTGAGCTCTTGGCAGGGAACGGCGTGGTGGCAATCTAAATATTGTTAGCTTTCTGTCAAATGTGGCCAAAGTAATTTGGGCATGCTCAAAATTGATAGGTTGGTTTTATGTTCTGTCCAGGACACGTATACTACTTCTGTAGACCCACATTTCAAAGGCTTCGATCTTGCGCCTATCGATTTTTTTTTTGGGAGTCCATGTTTCAACTGTATATGTAGCAATGGGAGAAATACGGAGATTGACCAACCTGAGCTTAGTATTCTTTGTTGTTGTTCGGTCTTTAAATATTTTAACTAATTTAACTGTTGCGGTTCGAGCCATTGCTAGTTTGCACTTGATTTCTGAGGTGCAATCACCATTGTTGGTTATCACGGAGCTTCAAGTATACAAACCTTTCTACCTCTTCGAAATTCGTCACTTTATTTATCTGCGGTAGATTATTATTTGCTCTGTCTACGATCAATATTTTGTTTTTCCGGTGTTAATAAGATGTCCGAAATCTTCGCTTATCTGGATTAGCCGTTTGGTAATGGTAATAAGTGTGTCATCTGCGTATCGCAGGTTACTGATTTTTCTGCCTGTTATATTGCTGTCTCCATTTTATTCGTCTAGTACTTTTCCCATTAATCGATATAGCTTTCCGTATTTTTGTGCTCTTCTTTTCGATTATAGTTCCAATTAAATTTAATATCTACTCAAAATTTTTACAACTCATTCCAGTGAAATTATTTAAGTGAACGAAATCCATTTCTCGTAATAACAAAATTATCAGCATAGTGTAGATACAATCTTCATACCCACTGACTACGTCGTTTGTTTTTCATTTTGAAAATTTGACAAATAATAAAAAAGGCTCTAAAAGCTGTTGATAGTCACTGTTAATTTTTTAATCTACTAAACTTCTAATTTTTAAGAAAAAAGGCTCCAAATACTGCCAGCAACTGGAACTTTTTACGCGAACGCAATTCTCGTGAACCGCACGATCTTTTGTTCGTACTGTTCGTTCTACTTGTTCCTGCGCGCTCAGTTCGTTCTGTTCATTCAGGCTAAAATGTTCAAGTCTAAACATACCTTTAAATTATTTTAGATAACAAGTAGAAAATTGTCATAACCTTTTTGCTTGATTTTGGACTGGAATACTTTTCTAGTAACTTACATTAATTTTTTTTTCCAATTTTAAAAATCAATAGAATAAATCTGGCAGTTGATATTTTGGTCAAATTAAGGAATGAGGAATGTTTTTTAAAAACATGATGGCGATATATCAATGTCATTTGAAATTTGATTCGCCTTGATTAAAAGGACGAGGGTATTTTTTTCTAGTGCAATAGACAGAGTAGTAACCTACTGAATTTTTGATCGGTAAATCGCAAGATTCTCATCAAGTCTGACATAGGAAATTTTTATGTTCGTCGGATTAGTCTTCGTTCTAGTTGCCGTATTCATCTACAGATTGAACGAAATAAATTCGGAACATAGGAATATAATGTATTTCGGCTCAATTCTGCTGTAGATGGTTGGCCAACAAAAGATTGTCAAAAAATTATGTTATAAAATTCCCATACTTCAGCGGGCTGCTGGATTCTGAACTCATAAAAATTGAAAGCTACACATAAATCTATGATTTATGCTGTCAAACCAGTTATAGTCCAGGAAATGAAGTATTCCACCTCGCAATTTTTTCGTGCCTCGTGGATCGACTTGAAATTTAACAGAAGGTAGGTAATAGCCTAAGGATCAAAATCTATATCGAACCAAAGTGCGCCAAAGCCTAGGGGGTGGTTACCAAACCATCTCCGGGGTGAAAATTTTTTTTACGTTTTAACTACAGGTTTCGATTAAAAAAGTGATTCTAAACAAAAAATGTGCTATACATTTTTTTTATAAAATGATATTTTTCAAGTTATTCGCGATTGAAAGTAACAACATCTAGATGTAAAAATCCATGTTTTTAATCGATTTTTCGCGAATAACTCGAAAATGGTGCATTTTATCAAAAAAATTGTAGAGAACAAATTTGTAGCTTTTAAAAAGACAAATACAATTGATTTTTTAAAATGTTTTGGGATATAATAGGAACCAAAATACGGCCTATCAATGTTCAGCGGTTTTCTTCAAATGCCAAATTTGAAAGATTCAAAGTCAAATAAGTATCGGGAAAATGATGCATTTTTGGAAGAAAACTCAAAAAACCTTTTTTAAAGAGCATAAATAGACATATCATAAAAAAGACTCTAGCTCAAAAATTGAGTGAGTTATGATGAAAATATAAGGTCAATATCTCATTTTTTACGAAAAAACCGATGAAAACAACCCCCTAACCACCCTCATAATTAAAATCGATCTTCACCCTTCTGCAATTCCCTTTGTACATGTATTGTTAATACGTCCAAGAAGTTTTACCCATTTAAAATGCTTTGTGTTAGAAAAAGTACAGCTTAAAGCGAGAAACGATTTACAATTTCATATTTTTTACCCTTCTTTTTTTAAATATGCCCGAAAATACTGAATATATGAAAAAAATAAAAATTACCAAATTATAGCTTTTTTAATGACTAAAATTATCCCTTATTTAGATTTGTTGTACAATGAATATTTGGCGAGATATAGCCGTTTAAAGCATCGATTTACGATCAAGCACCATCTTTTTCGAGTCCTTTAAACTCACCCAATTTAAAAACCAATGGTTCCAAAAAGATTTAATTCACAGATCCTTGTAGCTCTTAAAAACCTCAACAAATCGTTTCTGAAGAAACACTCTATCGTTAAAAATTAAAGGAAATACGTTAAAAAAAACAGTGAATTTTTTTCCGGAAAATTCCATTAGTATAGTACAGTACATTTCGGAGCATAATAATCTACAAATCCGGTATAGGTATTAGCTAGTGGAGCGTTATACATTCGAAATTTTAAGCGTTCTAATTTTGAAATCCCATACAACAGAATAAAACATCTGCTCATATGTCTATGGCTTGGCAATGAAAATATCAGAGCAACAGATTAGGGATGGTATTCCAAAGATGGTTTGTTATTACCCGCACGCATGAACAAACAACCTGCACTCGATGAACTTTTGAACATTTTTGCCGATGCAAAAAAGGATGCGGTGTTTTATGTGGGTGCAGAAAAGTTGGTTTATACTGTAACTCTACTTGTTCTGGATGCTCAGGTGAAGGGTGCAATAATAGTCCACCAATAATTGAAGATGAGGATGACATAGATCACGATGAAGATGTAATTGATGACGAATAAGATTAATATTATAATTGTTTTACCTATAAATGTAAATAATTTCAACTATTTATGTAAATGTATAAGAATATATGGTGTATTTTTATGTTGATAAATTTTTTTGTATTTAATTCTACTTTTTCAATTTATATCTTATAAATTAGTTTATAAAAACTGCAATGTTGTAAAGGGTGATTTTCAAAAGTTGAAAAGTTGCAAAATTTTGGCAAAAAATTGTTTTCACCGATAGCACTCATAACAATTGATTTTTAAGGGTTGAAAATATATGAATTTGTATTTTAAAGTATAAAAAAATCACTATTTAACTATCCTAACCAAATTTCACTCATCTTAAGATTTATAATATTATTTTACAATTTTTGAAAATTAGGGGTAGTTTTCACCCCTAAGAACAATCAGGGTTCATCGGCATGACATAAACTATAAAGCAGAGGGTGAGTTGAGCTTAATTCCAAATTTTTATGCAAATCGTTCCAAGGTGAAATATGATGGAACTTTATTCAAAAGCACGAAACTATCATTATTTAATTAATTCAAACCAAATTTTACCCATGTTCAGGTTTAATATGTTATTTTATAATTTTTGACAATCAGGGGTAGTTTTCACTCCTAAGAACAATCAGGGTTCGTCGACATGACATAAACTATAAAGCATCGGGTGAATTAAGATTAAATCCAAATTTTTATCCAAATCGATCCAAGGCGAAATCATTTTTTTTTAGAATTAGTAATTTTTTTACATTAATCTCTATAAAGGGTTGCTTTTTAAGGGTTGAAATATGATGGAACTCTATTCAAAAGTATAAAATAATTATGTAACTAATTCAAACCAAATCTTACCCATATTCAGGTTTAATATATTATTTTATAATTTTTGACAATTAGGGGTAGTTTTCACCCCTAAAACCCTTCAGCGCACTTCGGTTCGATATAGATTTTGATCCTTGGGCTATCACCTACCTTCTGTTAAAATTTCAACTGGATACATGCAGGACGAAAAAATTGCGAGGTTTTAACTTTTTTCGAGCTTAATTTCCTGAACTATTATTGTTTCCTTAGACAAACCCGTCTTACGCAAACAACATTGTTGTGAGACAGATAGTTGAACGATATTTTATACAATGTCTATGCCCAGGTATGGATTTATTTTTGTCCAAGTTTTATATTGGTCCACTATTTCAAATGCAGTTCAAACAGACATGTATTCAATTGTATGTTCCGTTTTAATTTGGTTCAATCTGTATAAATGTAATACCTGTCATTCATGTGATAGGTATTTAATTTATGATATTTGTTTAATCGGTTATAATACTGCGGTGTATAAGGCAAGAAGAAACCAACACACTAAATATTCTCAAGATATTATAACTATGGCAAATTACAGAAAACAAAAGGCCGCTAGTCCGTGGCAGACCTTAGATGGTCAAGGGGTGCTAAGAATCCCCACGACAAATGCTAGGAACCACTCGAAAATGGAAAACAAAATTACAAGTTAAAAACTGGAACCTGAAATGTAAAATTTCTCTTTATACTAGGAAAATCTCATAACATCGTGAGAGAAATGAAAAGAATAGGAGTCAACATTCTCGGAGTCAGTGAAGTTAGATCACCTGGATCTGGACAGACAAACATCGATATCCATGTAATATACTATGCTGGTAATGACGATCCTCATTATTATAATGGAGTGGCATTTATAGTTGACCAGAAAAGCAGTAAATGTATAAAGAACTTTATACCTATATCTGATAAAGTAGCTATGCTGCAAATTAATACCACTCCTCGTAATATTAACTGTATTTAAGTATGCTCCTACAGCAGAAAAGCCAGAAAGATAAGTACGAGAATTCTACCAAGAGATCAAACAGCTAATGAAGATCATAAAGAAAAATGCTGTAAACATTATTGTGGGAGATTTTAATGCCAAAGTAGGTGAAGGGCGGACCGAAGACGTAGTAGGAAACTTTGGTTTGGGCCAAAGAAATGGTAGAGGAGAAATACTGGTCCAAATTTGTCAAGAAGAAAATCTAATGATCGTAAACACCTGGTTTAAATAACCAAAAAGAAGATTATATACATGAAAAGCACCTTGCGATAATCAAAACCACATAATAAGAAACCAGATTGATTATATTTCAATTGACAAACGTTATAGAAATGGAATCAGGGGAGTTAAAACATATCCCAGGGCGGACATCGGTTCCGTCCACAATCCTGTTGTTGGTAAAATTTCAATTAAACTAAAGAAAATAAAATACAGAGAGAAGATAAAACCTAGCCTCGAAAAACTTAAAAATTCAATAGTACAGACAGAAATAGAACACTGAATGATACACTCAAAGAAAAGTTCAGTGAAACACCCGCGGAAGCAAAAGAAACAATAGAAAGTATTTGGCACACCTTCAAAACAACAATCACACTATACAAAGAGAACAACTACAAGACAACATCAGAAAAACAAGGAATACATGGATGACAGAAGAAGTCCTAGAACTGATGGACATAAGGAGATCTTACAAAAATCGCAATAAAGAAAAATATAAAGAAACCCAGAGTATCATATAATATATATATATATATATATATATATATATATATATATATATATATATATATATATATATATATATATATATATATATATATAAGCGAGGTTCCTACAGCCTCTGCCGTTTCTCGCATTTCGACCGCCATCGTTTTCTGTCCATCCATTCGTCTTCTCTGATGGCTCTATCTCTCATTATGTGCCGTACATTTTCTTTCCAGGCAACTGAAGGCCTTCCCCTTCTTCTTCTTTGTTGTGGTATGTAATTTAAAGCTTTCTTTGGCCACCTATCTTCATTCATTCGTTTCACGTGACCATACCACACTAGTTGTCTCGTTTCAATTCTATCTACACTGGAATATACAATATTTGTCCTCCTTCTAATATCTTCATTCCTGATGTGATCTTTTTTGGATATACCACACGCTCTCCTTAGAAAATCCATTTCTACTACTTCTATTCTTTTTCTATCCTTCTGCGTTATCTGCCAAACCTCTGCCCCATAAGTCATAATAGGCTCTACCAATGTTCGATAGATTGTCAATTTCGTTTCTTGTCTAATATCTTTAGACCAAAGTAGAGAGTTTAGAATGTTTACCACTTTTTTTCCCTGCTGTGTTCTGTTTTCGATGTCTCTTTTGGTAGTACCTTCTTTATATATTATAGATCCGAGATATTTATATTCATTGCATGTTTTTGTGTTTCTAATTTCTAACTCTGGATCTTCTTCACCATCTCCTATTTTAAGATACTCTGTCTTTGCCATATTCATATTGAGGCCCCATTTTTCATATTCTTTCTTTAGTTTTCTAAACATGTAGTCCATGTCTTCCTCGTCATTCGCTACGACTACCTGATCATCTGCGAAAAATAAAGCTGTTAGACATTCACCACCGCCTATGTCTATTCCCATTCCGGATCCTTTTTTTTTGTCCACTGCTCTAGCGATGATTGAATATATATTTTAAACAGGGTCGGAGACAGACAACATCCTTGTTTAAGCCCCTTTGTTATTGGAAATGATTCAGATATAACCCAGAGTATCATCCGAAATAAAATCAGGAGAGCCCAAGAAGAATAGATGAGCAACAACTATGAGGAACTGGGAGATTTACTAAAAAAACATAACTACTTAAGTGCATACAAAAAGATTAAGGAAGTCACAAATATGAAGGAAAAAATCACAACAACAGAGGGATTCATAGCCTTTTATCCCTTGTGAAAGTTTTAAGAAACATCTTGTTGCGCTAGCACCACATCAATATTCTCTAAACATCTCGATACGTTTGAAATGTAAGTATTTCCTCGTGAAATTAGTGAAAGCTGTAAGTTCAAGTTACAGAGTTTTTTGAGTAAAGGCCTAAAGAGAGAAAAGATCAGACTCTCTGAATAAACGAAACATTACTAAGATAAAATTTCATGGTTCTAGTTTCCGGGCATTTGTAAAGATTCCATTTAGAATAAATGTATTTGAATTAAAAAATATAATTAAAAATCCTTTGTAAAAGGTATATATTTAAGGCCCAAACGGGCTAAGTTAAAAAGACATAACGTTTTCGGAATCCACGTTCCATCATCAGTGTCTAGGAGTACATGAATGTAGCCACCAAGATTAAATATATGGGTAAAAACCCGTTAACAGATGTTTAATTACATTTAGTTTTAAAAATACGTTATAATAATTTAAGATGATAGAGTAACATCTGTTAACGGGTTTTTACCCATATATTTAATCTTGGTGGCTACATTCATGTACTCCTAGACACTGATGATGGAACATGGATTCCGAAAACGTTATGTCTTTTTAACTTAGCCCGTTTGGGTCTTAAATATATACCTTTTACAAAGGATTTTTGATTAAATTTTTTAATACATGGTATACAGCCAACTACAGGAACGCAGATTCCTTGTGAATAGTATTTAAATTACTTCTGTTTTATATTTATTGAGTAAGATTTAAGCATTCTAAGAAGCATAGTTTGTCTGTTTCTATTGATTTTGTTTTAAAGAAAGATATTTGGAATTTAAAAGCAAGCAAAGTTGACTCCATATTTCTTTTATTTTGTTCTAACTTAATTATTTCTTCACTTAATAATTTGTTCCGTTCTTTGACTCTCTTTTTGGTTTTCTAAGGTTTGGTTTAAGTTTTTTATTTCCCTTTCTTTTAAGGACAAAGTAAAATAGGAATTTTCTAATTTGAATGACAGTGTAGCAGAATCCCCAGTAATATCTCTATTGCCGATGTTTAAGAATACTTTGTGAATTGTTTTTTCAGTTACTCTACCTCTGCATTGTGGGCAACTTTTGGATCTTTCTATCCAGTTCATTAATCAGGGAAAATGAAACACATGTCCACATTGTGTAAAATAAATGTCAGCTCCCGTAATAAACAGTTCACTACAAATAAAACAAGTAAAATTCATATTCTTCAATTTGTGGAATATATTATATTTATTTTATTGTTTATATTATATCGTAAAAAATCATAAACCAAAAAAAAAGAAGCAGTCTCGCTGTTACCTTACGTACACAACTAATTATCTTTTATATTATTGAACCAGCACCTTTAGAACTTAAGATTATTTAATATATTTTTTTAATTACTATATTTTTTAATATATTTTAGTAGTTTTTATGGAATTAATAATTAAATAACTTCCTCTGAAGTAAGAACTTCCTTTGTAAAATGATATATACCATTTTACAAAAGAAGTTTTTACTGAATTGCAAGTTTTTAGAAGTGTATTGTACTGTATTTATTACTGTATTGTATTGTAAGAATTGTAGTTGTTTCGAGCAGCAAGTTCTAAATAAAAATAGCCATTATGATTGCCAACCGCCGTGGGGAGACGGCACTCTAAGAACAAGAAGTTTTTTAAACTATGTATATTAAACTATTACCTTTAACAATTTTGCAGGTATCCAAACATTGCTCCTGTGTTAAAAAGTTATTCCTATTTCCTCTGCATCCTCCATAAACAAACGGAAAGCATTTAAGCTTGGTAGCATCAAACCACCATCGGTTGAAATATCCTTGGCATGGTCCAGGATCTCCATCTTGCATGCATACAACTAATAATAACAATAATAATTATTATTTACTAAGTAGATCAATAAAAAATTTAGAAACAATTTATGACAAAGTAATTTTTGGAAAAAAACCTAGTAAACCATTTAGTATACTTTGAAAATTTGGAAAAAACACTCTTGGGATGATAACATCTTTGTGTAACATTTTTAGAGACAGATAGTGCTGTTTGTGATATTAATACAAACATTTATGAAGTTTCATTTTTATGAAGAGATAATATATTATATCCCTCGGATTCCTTGAGCCCTTGTGAGGGCGTGGCGATACTCTAAATGTTATTGGCTTGCTGCCTCCATTGGCTACGATCCTGTACCATATAGACATCTTCATGACATTTTCCTCTTGGTCTTCAGCCTTTTAACTTTGCCACTACTACCAATAGTTCCATGGTAGTATTATATACAATATATTGTATATATATATATATATATATATATATATATATATATATATATATATATATATATATATATACCGGGTGGTGAATCGCCAAACGGACCATAGGAAACTCAATGGGAAATTCTAAATTGTTGAATTCCTGTTTTAATAATTATTTTAAATCAAAAGTTATAAGAAACTTTTTATAGAGGAGTGAAATCTGCATTAAAAACAAGTGTTGTTCTACGAATTAAGCGTATTGTACTCCAAATTTTGCAAAAATATAATACATTTTTTAGGCCACCCCTTAAAGTCAGGCCACAGGCGATACAAAAATGTGTATGACATGTTGAGTTTGACCATTTTGATGTTTCTGATATTTGACTATATTTGAATTTTGAATTGTCAATATTTTTATTTTATGATTAAATTATAAACAACAAATTTTCGCAAATAGTACTACTACTAGTTAACAATAAATAGTATTTTGTAAGCAATAAATTATATTGTTTACAAAGCAATAAAGTTGCTTAAATGTACTCAGTTGACGAAAAATCGCGATAATGTTATATTCAGGCAATAGTGCGAGCACTGCCAGATAAATACACTCCAATTCTATTTCAGGTTATACATTTCAAAGAATTTCAATATAGTTTTACTGTGATTCTTCCTAAAAATAATTTTTGATAATTTCTAAATATAAAACTATAACAAATGTTCAAACAGTACGCCAATTTGAACTAAGCAGTATCCCAATCGATTGTAAAATTCTCGTCCAACATTAGCCAGAACACGTGACGTTATTTTTGCACACTCTTCAATAATTCGCATTTTTAATTTTATTGCTTCTGTAAATCTGTAAATCTGTAATCTGTAAATTTGTTATCAAAAATCTGTAAATTTTTGGTCAGAATTCATTTTTGATTTTAGATGCCCCAGATAAAATAATCGTTTGGAGCTAGATCTCCCGATCTCGGGTGCCACTTAACGTTACAGTCAGGTAAAGCTGTTTTAAGGAATTCCTTAACCACCCAGTTATTGCGCGCAGGGCATCCATCCATTTGAAACCAAATTTCTTCTTCATTTGGAGCTATTTCTGCAAGTCTGGGTAAAATCTCTTCTTGTAGCAAATCTAAAAACTTTTTTGAATTTAAATTTTCCTCATAGAAAAATGGTCCAATAATATTGTGTTCAAATATTTCTAACCAGACATTTATTTTTCGACGATATCGGGTATGGCTTTCAATAATATCCTCAGGCTTTCCTGTCTACCAAATCCTATAATTTTGAACATTTGATTCATTATTTAATGTAAATGTACATTCATCACTAAACAAAATGTTCTTTTTTTAAATTGTCTGTCTTCATTATCCCAATTCGCGCACTATTGCCTGAATAAAACATTTTTATTATTGCTACTTTCTCCTTAACTGAATACATTTTAATTCAATTTTATTGTCTTTTCAACAATTAATCTTCTTCTTCTTATGGTACCTATCAGTTACGAATGTTGGACACTAACATGGCTATTCTGACTTTGTTGACTGCTGCCCTGAAAAGTCCGGTAGTGGTTAAGTTAAACCACTTTTGCAGGTTATGCAGCCAGGATATTCTTCTACGTTCTGGACCTCTTTTCCCATGCACTTTACCTTGAAGTATGGTCCGAAGTAGGTCATATCGTAACAATTAATCACAAAATAAATATTTTGGCAATTCAAATATTGGCAAATATCAGAAACATCAATATGACCAAACGCAACATGTCATACACATTCTTGCACAGCGTGCGGCGTGACTTTAAGGGATGGCCTGAAAAATGTATTATATTCTTGCAAAATTTTGGAATAGGTTTAATCGTAGAACAATTTTATATTTGTTTTCGATACAAATTTCAGTCCTCTCTAAATAGTTTTTCTTGACTTTTGGTGTAAAATAATTAGGGAAGCAGGAATTCAACAATTTAGGGTGTAGGGTAACACATTTATTATCATCATCATTCTACCTTTATAACTCTGTCTTCGTTCGCCAAGCACCTAATCCCATATTTCTCATGTGTTCATCGATGTTATCAAGGAACCTTATTCAAGGTCTTCCTTTTCTTCTCTTGCCAATGGGTCTATCAGGGAGCATTTTTCTAGCTGGGTCATTTTGTTCCATCTGCATTACATGCCCTACCCTCCTCAGATGTCCTATCTTAAAATATTTTACGACGTCTGGTTTCTATAAAGTTCAAAGTTGTATCATATTCTTCATACTCCATTGTCATTCAACGCTTCATAGATTCGCCTTAGAACTATTCTTTTGAAATGTCCTCATTGTATATGCATAGTAACCGTTTATAGTGGAGAAGATTTAGAAAACTCAATTGGATATAGAGCAAAGAATCGCAAAATATCTTAATACTTCAGGAGCACTGTGATCAACCAGTACATATTTTCTATAATGACGTAAGTACAATGAAAAAGTACAATGTAAAGGGCAATGTTAGTTCCAGTAAACGTCCAAGTCCTGGTAAACGACCATCAGATCGAAAGAGGAACGACTGGGTAAGATCAAAAACAAAACTCGAATATATCACAACAAAAATTACCAAACTCAAATAAAGCATCGTAGGCCACACTACTAGATAAAACGATCAACATTAGAACGCCACAATACAATTAGAAAGCTACACGACCAGAGAAAGACTACAGATGAAATGGGTAAATGATATTAAAAAATAGCTGGGGTAAATTGGAAGTATGTTGCTTAGGATGGAGAGCTATCGAAGTAGTAAGGAGATACCTATGTCCAATACTGGACGATTGAAGGCTAAGAAGAAGAAGACTCAAACCTACTACGGATAAGAATTGTTAATAGTCATGAATCATGGCAGCAAATGTTATAATGAAAATCATAATCAAGCGTTTGTACAGATATGTGAAAAGCAAAGATAAACTACTGCACTAAGCTTCTGAAGGTAAAATATGTATACTATATGGCTATAAAAATATAATGGTCTCATGTTTTTTGAACATGTTAAATGGTAAATGAACATGGTAAATTGTGTTTAAAATAATCACATGGACAAACAAAAACATGCCAAAAACCAACTTTAGAGGAAATCAATGATAATAATTGGTACACGTAATGTTAGGAGATGTATACATCCTGAGAAAAATAAACAACTTAAATCAAGTTATGTGCGCCATAGGTAATCTGCATAAGGAGTCTTATATCCTCTCCTGTGAAATCTGGTCATGAGTGTTTTGATGGCTAGGATCAAAAATGACAGGTATGATATATCATTAGATACCGTAAGAATGATGACTTATTAAACATGATATTCGGATACAAGCCTAAAATACCATTTAAATTGGACACCTACTAAAATCCAGGTTGTACTTATGTACAACACTATAAGCCTTCTAAACCATTTTTTCCAATAACGAAATATACAGGCAACTAATAGCCACAACTTTTAAGGCACCACGGATAGGTGACATGTATTTTATTATCACATTTCTAAGTGGCTGTGATATGACTCAGGGGTTTCGATGCATCATCATCATCCTCACGTAGCGCTACAACCCTGGGTGGGTCTTGGCTGACTGTACATCTTTTTTTAAATTTGTTCGGTCTTCCATCAACCTAGGGTCAAATGGAATGTTCATTTTCCGGAGATCTGCTTGGACGTTATCTCTCCATCGCATTCTGGGACGTCCGAGTGGTCTTTTGCCTGTGGGTTTCGATGCATGACCACCTAGATCTCCTAACATTAACCGTGTCGACAATTCTATATGGAGCAGATTTTTTGATTATTCATCATTTGCCATGGTTTGAAATGATTCCTTAACACTTAGAAAAACAGTTAGATATTTAAAAAAAATTATAAAAGCAGTCCTACTCCATATCAAAAATCTGCTATAAATCATTAATAATTTTCACTTTGGATTTCATTATGTCATTTTAGTTTTTTGTGCCTTAAGTTTTTTATGTAAATTATTCATTATTGAATATTCTTAAATTTTTTTAAAGATTATTAAATATTAAGTTAATTATTAAAATATATTAAAAGATCATTTTTTTTTCAAAAAACTGTTCTATGAAACACTAGAAGGAAATGCCGAGAAAATCCCGGAATCATTATAGCAGATTCAACTTCCAAATAGGTAAAGAAAGCTTCAGAGAGGTTGCAGGTAAAAACTCGATACATAACATAACAAACAATAACGGAGAAAAACTATGTAATTTAGCAGCGACATTCACATGCACATAAGTAGCACGGGATATAAACACCAACACATACACAATAACATATACGAGACCAGGAAGACTGGGAAAAAACCAAATAACTGGTGGAAGACTGGAGGAATGGTGGAAAAAAATCAAACAAGAAATAAACAAAGCAGCAGAGAAAGTGGTTGGCTAAATTCAAAATTAAATAAGAAATAATTGGTTTGACGATTAGTGCAAAATAGTAGTGGAAGAAAAGAATGAAAAAAGATTAAAATGGTTTAGCACAAGCAAAGAAGAGAAACGAGAAAACTACAAAGACTAAATGTAAAAGGCAAAGAAATGGTTTAAATTAAAGAAAATCAAAATGTAGTAAAAATTATAAACGAGGCAAAAACAGAAAATAAAAGACACAACTCAAAATCATTATACAAATACTCAAAACTAGGCAACCGAAAACGAATGGCTAATACAGCTATAGAAGCAGAAAAATTGTAGAAGTATTTCGAAGAATTATATCAAGAAACAGATAGAGAAGAAAAACGAGAAACAATAATGAACAAAACAAAAAAGAGAAAGAAGAAGGAGAATAGACATATACAGAACCGAAAAATAAAATAAATACGAAAGTACTTTTTCCCTCAATGGAAATATTAACGCATACAATTTGAGGTATTGGAGTGACACAAATCCTCACGTCTTTCATCATAAAAAACATACTACACAATTAATATTTTAATGGGAATAAGTCACAATAAAATTGCCACAATAAAATAGCTTCGGAACTATATTAAAAAACATACTAAATTTCTAAAAAAAAGTAAATGCTTGGGCAGGTATTTTGGGAAACCACATAGTTAAGCTTGTTTTTCTCAACTTAACCTGTGAAGTGAATCTGGATATGTTGCAAAACACAAGTGAGCCGGTAATTCTTGAAATTATGGAAGATAATCCAGATAAATTCGGCAACTTGGAAATAACGTTTCACGAAGATTGTGCTTCTGCATACTATTATGGTCTAGTAAGCCGTTACCTAGATGAGGAATATCGTGATAGATGGATTGGACGACGAAGTACGATAGAATGGTCAGCTCGATCACCAAAACTCACACCATTAGATTTTTCATCTGTGAGGGTACTTGAAATCTAAGGTTTGAGCTGCAGCACCCGACAGTATTGACATTTTGAAACAACGAATTTTTGAAGAATGTAGGGTAATTTCCCTCGATATATTTGTACGAGTACGAAAACAGTTGAGCAATAGGATGCATTTTTATCAGAAAGTAGATGGAGCACATTTTGAACACTTAATATAAGAACTGGTTCTTAAATCTTTATTAATTAGATGCGAAACTATAATTTTATTATTTATTTAATTTATTCATCAAAATCAGCTTAATCTCAAACAAAATTAGTATGATTGAATAGGCAAGGTCTATACCTTTCAAACGAGATATCACTTGACATAAGGGTCCATTTAAAATTATCGGCTACAGTGGCTCTGTAACGTCATCTATGTTACGTCACCTTTTATGAGTAATTGAGAAGCCTACGTCCATTTATTTCTTCCCTCCAAAATTCCCTATTATAAATATAACTGTTCAAACAGTACGACGGACTTTTGGTTAGTACTGTATATTTTCTTCACTAAATAGAGATCTTAAATTATTTAATGTACCTTTGGCAGTGTTCATATCAATGATGCAAGTGGGAACATCCTCACATGGTAATTGTTGGATCAATTCTACACGACTACTACATTCTTGTTGCCTTGAAGGATCTACTAACAAAAGTCTTGTGCGCATCTTAATTCCCTTTCCACAAGATGCACTGCACGGGCTCCAATCACTCCATGCTGTTGTTGGACACGAAGGATCATCTGAGTCAATTTCGCCGGGTTTGCACTCCCGATTTATGCACTTTTCTTTTTCCACTGAAAAAAATAAAGACAATGTATTAGTTTTAATATATCATAGTTTTTGAAAGATAGTATGAAATGTATTAGGGTGTCAAATGTTTTCTTTAAGAAAGCCATGAAACGTTCTCAAATAGATCTTCGGTGATGTAATCGTAATATAAAAGAACAAATTTAATTTAAAAGGCAGAATATTAAATCTAATAGCGAATTTAAAAAAGAACAGAAAGAGGGATAAAACTAATACTATATTATTCCGGTAGAGAAAAATCATCAAAATGAAGGAGTAGGAATTATATTAACAGATGAATTAAACAACAAAGTAATCAAATTTGAATCCATAAACTTAAAAATATAAGACACCTAATAAACAAGAATAGCAAAAGTTCCAAACAGAATTCTAAAAAATATAGCAAAATATGGAAAGAATATCATAAATTGAAATCTAAAATGATAGAACTCTGTATTAACAACAATCTACCAATGGAAAACGAATATACATACGTGGCGGAAGTAATTTAAAAAGTATAGTAGATTAATTAATAGATTATGCAAAAAATTTAATTATTAAAAACAAAATTATTAATTAAGTATCAAATTAATATTAATGACTAAACAAAAATCATGAACATACAATTGCGAAAAGAAGCGGAACAAGGAACAAAATATTGACTAGTCGTAGAAGAAATGCTCGAGAAAAAATATATTGAAGAATAAAGAAATTAAGATCTGGACTTAGAAAGACATACATCTAAAAATTATGGTGCATATCTACACTCACCGGCAAAATTAACGGAACACCTTAAAATTGTACATGTTAGATGTCTCGAATTTCCTAAACGTGTTATCCGATTTTAGTGATTTTTTTAGTATGTTATAGGTATATTATTTAAGAATATCGATGTAATAATATTGTTGCTAGACAGGTCAATGTCATTTTATACCGGGTGTAACAATCCTACTGTGTTTTTTCCTTAAAGTTCGGAACACCCTGTGGAATATTCTAGCATATATAAAATATTGAAATTAAAACTTAATTATAGCCTCAGGCTTTCTTAACATTTTCTTTTTTGATTCATTTGCTTATGTTTGATAATAAAAAAGTTAGGTACGTTAACAATTAGCCATGTTTTTCATCAATAAATCCTCATTTTCTGCTTAGTTTAAAAACAAGCCTAAAGTAGGCTATGAGAAGTTAACAATTTAATGCACACACCGGCAAATTTAAAGGAACCTGTTATTAATGCAATATTTCTTTATATCTGTATTTTATAGACTATATCTACATAGCTTTGAAAGCTCCTTGTCACAAGAAAGTCTTAAATGTCAAAATGTCAAATTAATTTGTTTATTTGTATTGTGTTTTACATTTTACAGTCATTCTGTCTGTTCATAACAAGTACAAACTTGTATTTAATTGAGCGCACAATAAGAAAGAGACTTAAAGAAGCTGGTCTCAAGTCATATGTGCCAATAAAAGCTCCCAGATTCCAGAGACACCATCGTTTAGCACGACTACAATTTGGTCGAGTACATCAAAATTGGAATGATAACCACTGGAGTCAAATTCTCTTTACGGACGAGAGCCGTTTCTGTGTAAATTACATCGACGGTAGAGAAAGATTGTATTAACGCCAAGGAGAACGAAATGCCCCTTTCAATTTTACTACGACCGTACCTTTTGGTGGAGGTTCAATTATGGTGTGGGGCGGTATATGTTTGGGAGCAATAACAGAGTTAGTGGTGATTGATGGTGGAGCATTAACAGCAGATAAGTATATCAGAGGTATTCTCCAAGGCCATGTGGTACCTTTTTCACCATATATTGGCGAAAATTTTATTTTATAGTGTAAGAGTGTGTAAGATATGGGTATAACAACGATGAATTGGCCAGCTTGTTCCCCAGACCTAAACCCGATAGAGGATATGTGGGACATGCTAGTCAGAAAACTTAGGGCACGGGTTCCTGCTATTTAAAACAGAGAAGGAGTCACAATTGCAAAAGATTGAGGAATGGGAGAGGCTGCCCAACAACTGATCGATAACGTTATCAGAAATATGAGAAGACGAACAACTGCAGTTGTAAGGGCTCGTAGGGAAAACACACGCTATTAGAGCCAAAAAAATGAATAAAAAAACAATTTAAGTTCAAACTGTACAATAAAGTTAATCCATTTAAAATCCGTATTTTGTTGAGTCTGACATCTTTGTGTTTTATTTCTTCTTAAACAGGTATTATATTGTACTACCATTGTAATATAAATTCAAAATACTTCACCAACATTCGTATTATGATATTATCTAAACAGTATATAGACTAGAGAGAAAATACTTAGATTGTATGGTTGTTCCTTTAAATATGCTGGTGAAACTAAGAAGAAAATGAGCATTTATTGATGAAAAACATGGCTAGTTGTTAACGTACCTAACTTTTTTATTATCCAACACAAGCAAATGAATCAAAAGAGAAAATGTTAAGAAAGCCTGAGACTATAATTGAGCATTAATTTCAATATTTTATATATGCTAGAATATTCCACAGGGTGTTTCGAACTTTAAGGAAAAAACACAGTATGATTGTTACACCCGGTATAAAATAACGTTGACCTGTCTAGCAACAATATTATTTCATTGATATTATTAAATAATATACCTATAACATACTAAAAAAATCACTAAAATCGGACAACAGGTTTAGGAAATTCGAGTCATCTAACATGTCCCATTTTTAAGGTGTTCCGTTAATTTTGCCGGTGAGTGTAAATCTTGGCATAAGACTAACAACCAAAGGAAACTGTGAAGAGACAATCAGAAACAGAGTCACCAAAGGTAATAGGAGCATTGAATTCAACATTATGACAGAAAAATATTAGACCTGAAACAATAAGAGAAACTTGGCAGTTGACATAAAAGGCAATAAAGTGACAGTGAGTATTATACATAGATTTTGAATCAGCAAAAGAGCAGCAGGAAGAAATCAACTGGAGCATATTAGAACCCAATAAATCAAAAGGCAAATAAAAGAAATGATAACACATAATAGAAATAAATACATGAATAGAAAAGGAATGACTTCCAAAAATGATTTTGAAATGGATCCCGTCGGAGAAGAGACAACGAGGTAGACCACCTACAACATGGTTACATGGAATCTCCAAAGCAATGTCAGCAAGAAATAGTAAGTGAAAACGACTGGAAGACAGCAAAACCAAAGGTATATTACGCTATAAAAGGGATTATCTAGTAGAAATATTGCTGGATAGAGAGAAATTAGAAAACAGATAAATCAAAAACCTCTACTAAAAAAATTAAAAGGAAAGAGATAGGCCGATACTAACATCTTATGAGAAAAACAAGGCAATATAATTGAGAGGATAATAGAGATAAGTTAAACAAAGAAAATAGAAACAATCGATAGATCTAATAAACCAAATTATTCAAAAAGACGAAGGACGATTAAAGAACTGATAGCAATGAGTACAAACCGGAAAAACTGAAAGAAATCGATAAGCAACGATCACATACGTATCTCAACGTGTCTTGAACGTGTCTCACAGTATAATTACTTGGGAACTGTAATCAATGGGTCATGGGACAATACTTAAGAGATTAAATGTCGCATCGGAAAGGCAAACAGTGCATTCTTAACTATGAGCTTTATGTTCAAGAGCCATGACCTCACCCTAGAAACAAAAATAAGGCTCCATAAATGTTACGTTTACTCAGTGCTTCATAACGGAGTAGAAATGTGGACATTGAAAGCGAAAACTCTATCAAAACTTCAGGCTTTTGAGCTATGGTTATTCAGAAGGATCCTGAAGATACCATAAACAGACAAAGTCACCAATGAAGAAGTACTACACTGGATGAACACAACCGCGGATTTGGTCAACATCGTGAAGGGTCGTAAAATGCAGTACTTGGGACATATAATGAAAAATTAAGGAAGATATGAGCTACTCCAATGCATTTTGCAAGGTAAAGTTGAAGAAAAAAGGGCCCCAGCACGAAGAAGAATATCCTGGCTTGCTAACCTGAGAGCATGGTACAGAAAGACCTCAACACAGCTATTCCGTATAGCAACCAACAAAGTCATCATAACTTTGAGGGTATACAAGGCAACTATCGAACACGGTGATTAATTTAATCTTGACCAAGTACTTTCGATCAATAGATCATCTTCAGGGGCATCTGAAATAAGCCAAGAAACGTTTTTTATAAAAAGGAAAATTAACTCACTTGGATAAATAACTCCAAGTTTATGGTTGAAAAAATTTTATATGTGATAAACGTTTATAGACTTACTTCGTCAGTTGTGGCCTATCCGACATAATAGAATGTCATAAATATAAAATTTGGACATAACAATACAAAATACAATACACAAAGACAAACAAACACTTTAAAAATTTTTTAAGGAGATGCTACATGTTGTATAGAAGCCGGAGACAGAATGGGCTCCCGGTCTGACGGAAATATTGAGATGACATGTGACAAATGACAGCTTGTGAAGGGCAGTTATGTGATCTGCACCTTTCAAAATTCTATGAAACTAAGTATTGACCAAAGGTCCAACTGACACCACTATAGGAAATCAACTGATGAAATATAAAATTATATAGTATATTTTTTATGTAGATTGAATAATCCCAATCTCATACTCAAACCTGTCTATAATAATTAGGATGTTAGTTTGAGAGCAATTGAAGTTGACATAAAGTATGAATGTAAGAAAAGACTAACAATATATTAGACAGTGGATGGTTGACTACAATAAAATGGTCCACCAAGCGCTATCAGTACTGTAAAAAAGAAAAATCTGAATATGCAGTTAAATTACTAAAAGTTAAAATCAAAATTGAAGACAAAATATATAAATGGGTTACAGTCCACGTAGTTCAGTTGAATCCACAGTCAATGGAAGAACTTCAAAATTAATATTGAAATGCTCAGTGCATAAAGTCTAAACAGTCGAGCTGGGTCCTCTACGAGCTGAAGCTGTAATAAAGTTTTTAAATATAGGATTAAATTTAGTACAATTTAAATTAATTTGAGTATTAAGACAGTGAGAGTTTTCATTTGTTTCCCTTGTAATCTCCAAATCTTCCAATAAATCCAACTCAAGATAGTTTTTCTTTCTGCTAATGTCATGTAAGATAGATGAACCAGAATTGATGTTAAAATTGTGGTTGCTGGATACTAAGTGTTGACCAAACTTGAAGAATTTGGTCTTTTCAAATGTTCAGAGACTCTAGTGGATAACTTTCTGATGGTTCTACCTACATAAGAGGCATCACAATCATCACATTTTAATTTGTAAATACCACTTTTATCAAGTGTATTCATCCTATCTTTGGTATTGATTAAGAAGGAACCTAAAGTGTTATGTGATTAAAGGAAATTTTGATGTTATCAATTGTAGAAGTAAAAAGTTTAGATATTTTATTGGAAATGCTACTAATATAAGTGAAGCCAGATATCATCATAGCCAGAATGATCGCCAACGTTCGGAACTTACAGGTACCTTAAGAAGAACAATCTCACGACAAGTACACGAAAGAATATATATAATTAGAATATAAATATAAAAGCAATTTTACCAATATATCGGTATTGACGATATATAAAATATATTCATTACTTACTGGTTAAAATATGAGAGCATTTTTTTAATCCACTTCTATTGAAGAATTTTCGAGTTCTCATTCTTTGCCCAGGGCCACAAATTTCAGAACAGGACGACCAGGCGCTCCACTTTGTTGTCGCACAAACACCGTTGTTGTCAAGAGAATCTATTTCTTGTGAATCTTTTTCTGCGTCTCTAAACAAATTATATAATACAGCTTTATATACCTTCATATTTTTAAAGTCATATACATACTAATATCAAAAGTAGTAAAACACAATATGATAACATTTAGTTCATTAATAATAACAGGGTTAGGTAAATAACATTCCTTAACATTGTTTTTTATGGTAATTACAATTTATAAATTTCTCTAGGATCTTAAAATAATAATAATCTAGGTTTGTTTTTTTGACGAATCTATCATGCAGATCCTTACCCTAAGTAGAGCTGGGAAAAAATACAAAGGGAATTGCATTTTAAGGACGCTAAAATATCTCCTGAATGTGATGGTGTGGTCCAATATAAGCAGTGAAAGAACTGGTAGACTTTACATTGTTGAAGATACAATACTAGAGGACCAGTACTTAGGAGTATTGCAAATAAAAATGGTTACTCAGGTGTAAGAGTGGTTCCCGAATAAGAGTTTCACGTTGATTATTATTTATTTATTTATCGTATGGCAATTACAACACAGTTAGAACAAAATTACAAACACTAGTAATATAGGTATATGACAAACTTTAAATAATTACAAACAAACATCAAGTGTATTAACATAATCAATTGACTCTGAAGTTGCAAACAGGAAGTCTTCAGGGCTACCGTTGTAGGATCTTGAGGGACACTCTTCAATAATGTGGTCGATCGTTTGGTTCTTCCCACAGTCACATTGAGGAGACGGATTCTTTCCCCATTTATGTAGCATATATGCACATCTGCCATGTCTGGTTCGGATCCTGTTTAGAGTGGACCATGTTTTACGTGGAAGATCAAAACCTGGTGGCTTGTGAATAATGCAGGTATGATATTTTGCCATGCATTCCATTCTTGGGACCATGCATTCGTGATGTTGAACTCCTCATGTATCATTCTTGCCGTTTTCATTGGTGGGTTTCTAGAACGTAGACGGGTATTTCGTGCATCCTCGGTATCTTGGTGGATCGGCAGGTTTATATTGTTCATGATCTTTTTGTATTCACGTATAAGTGCGTCAACTCGTCGTAAATGTGGAGGTGGAATGTGACTTAATACTGGAAGCCATTGGGTGGGAGTTGATTTAATTGTACCAGCTATCATCCTCATCGTGCTGTGCAGCTGAGTGTGGACCTTTTTTACGTGTGGACTGTGTAGCCAAACTGGGGCACAATATTCAGCGGTCGAGAAAACAAGGGCTAAAGCAGTAGAGCGGAGAGTGGAAGCCGATGCTTCCCAGGTGGTACCGCAGAGCTTCTGTATAATGTTATTTCTTGTACTCAACTTTTGGGCAATTTTTGTTAAATGCTCTTTAAATGATAGCGTTCTGTCTAGTGTTACGCCCAGGTACTTCGGTGTTTTGTTGTGGGAAAGTGTGGTATTTTCAAACCGTATGTTGAGTTCCTTTCCAGCAAGTTTATTGTTCAGGTGAAAGCAACTTACTTCTGTTTTGGATGCATTTGGTTGAAGCCGCCACTTGCAAAAATATTTGCTCAATATATATAAGTCTGCCGTCATAACTTCTTCAGATGTTTCTAGTGTTCTGCATCGTGTAGTGAGGGCCCAGTCATCAGCGTATCCGAACTTTCTTGATTGTGTTTCTGGCATATCTGCTAAATATAAGCTAAATAGTAATGGAGATAGCACTGACCCCTGTGGTAGGGCATTCTTAAGTATCTTTGGTGGGCTGATATCTGTGCCCATCACTGCTTGAAACATTCGGTCGTTGAGCATGCTATCTATTAAATGTGCTATTTGTTTACAGGGGATTGCACGGAGAATTTTGTATATAAGGCCCTCTCTCCATACTGTATCGTAAGCTACTGAGAGATCAATAAATGCCGCTGAAGTTTTAAGTCTTCTTTGGAAATCCGCTTCGATGTAGGTGGTGAGTGACATTACCTGGTCCGCGCAGCTTCGTTCTGGTCGAAAACCCGCTTCGGTGCGGGTTGATTAATGACTCGGTGCCTTGTCATAAGACAAAAACTGTTTTTCTCCAAAAACAAATAGAGGTGCTCAACTGGCCTTAAAAGTCTCCAGACATGTATGGCATAGGAGAGCAATAATTTAACAAAACTGCCAGAAACGAATAGAAAATATGCCAAAAAGATGCCAGGTAGTCATTACTGCAAATGGTGATACTATGAAGTAATTGTATTAAAGGCTTATGGCACACTTTTAAGTTTTTATATATTTTTCTTTTATAAAACATTTCTTGTAAATTTCTACATTCTTTCTACATTTCTTTTAAAATATATTTGTAAACTTTATAATCTGCTAAATCGCAGTAAAATAGAAATAATCTAATCTAACATCTAACCCAGATCTTCCATTAAATGTTTGTTAGGAGATAGAAAAAGTATTTAGATATAAAAAGTTTTCATATAGTTTAGAAATTGTAACTTCTCTTTGGCAGAAATAAAAATAAAGAGAAATTAGTACAAATTACTTGAAAAAACTCAGTTCTTAACAGATGAGCACAATATTTCAGTGAACATCTAAATATAAACGATATTGAAGGAGGGTACAATAAAGAAAATCAACAGAATCTACAACGGCAACTACACAGTGAAGACCCAACAAGAGAAGAATTGTCAAATGCCAACTTAAAACTCAAAAACAATAAAGCCCCAGGAATCGATGAAATCTATTCGGAAATGTATAAAATAGGTGGTGATTAACTTTTTTCAGCAATCCATAAACTAATAATACTTATATGACAGAATGAATTGGTACCAGAGGAGTGGCTAAGGGAATAATATGTCCATTGCATAAAAAGGGTGATTAATTGGAGTGTAAGAACTATAGAGACATTACTCTGTTAGCATCTGCGTATAAAATCTTTTTTTGTTGCGTTTGAAAGACTTAAACATTTTACAATAGTAGGTACATTGTTTACCGGGTAGGAAAAGCTTAACATTCCTGGACGACTGTGAAGATTGCTAAGTCGAGGCGCAAGCCGAGACTTAGCAACACAGAGTCCAGGAATGTGGCTTTTCCTACGAGGTAAACATACTATTTTTCCGCAAATCGTTTAAAATTAGACAGATATTGATTGATTAAAAAAAAACGCGATAATTTTATTCCCAAATAAATGGTGCTTTGAAATTCCTAATAAAATTACTTGGGTTACTATGGAAACGTATTGAGGTTGAATTGTCAAACTTGACGCTTATAAATTTAATTGCTGGTGTTCTCGAAAGTAAAATGATAAGTGATGATGAAATTTCCATTCCTGGGACTCCTCCAGAGCTGGTTGAGGCAGTGAATACTGCTTCATTAGAATTATTGCCAAAGAAATCAAGAGAAAAGTACGAAAATGCATACAGACGTTTTATGGATTATCGCATGAGTAAAAATACGAGTTCTTTCTCAGAAAATTTTGTAATGGCATACTTCCTAGACCTTTGTTTAAAAATGAAATCTTCAACATTATGGGCCAATTATTTAATGCTGAAGTCAACTCTTGCACTTAAACACAATGTAGATATATCTACATACTCAAAACTTCGTTCTTTATTGAAACGGCAAGCTCAAGGTTATAGGGCAAAGAAATCTAAGATTTTAACGAAGGAAGAAATTGAAAAATTTATCCAGGAAGCTCCAGATAAAGAAAATTTAATGATTAAGGTAATTTACAAGGTTTTAATTTCTATTTAGATTATAGCTTTATTTATTTTTTAGGTGGCTGTAATATTTGGTATTTCTGGGGCCTGTAGAATGGATGAGTTAGTCCGAATGACTGTACACGATATAGAAGACTTAGAATCTAAGCTTTTAATCAGCATACCTGATTCGAAAACCAACAAACCAAGATCATTTGTAATTAATCAGATCTACTTGAATGTTTATCGAAAGTATGTTTCGTTAAGACCAGAAAATATGAACAGTGACCGATTCTTCTTTAAATATCAAAGCGGAAAGGGTTGTAGACAAGTGGTAGGAATTCATCAATTTAGAAAAATGCCCAAAATAATTGCTACTTATTTAAACTTGGTAAATCCGACAGAATATACTGGTCACTGCTTTCGTCGGTCTTCTGCAACAATATTGGTTGACTCTGGTGTCGACATAACTAGTTTAAAGAGGCATGGCGGATGGAAGTTATCAAACGTTGCTGAAGGATATATCGAAGAATCGTTTAACAATAAGGTTGAGGTGGCAAATAAAATTTTCACAGTACAAAATATTCAACAAAATGACACTTCCATCCTGCATGTTGTCCAAAATGTTTCTCATAGTTCTAAGAGTGTTCCTCCAATGTTCAATAATTGTACTAACTGTCAAATTACTGTAAATATAACAAATTGATCTTAAAAATGATTTCAGCAATGACTTGATGTTTTCAAAATATAAATTAATTCCTTATAAGCAATGTGTTTTCTATCATTTATGTAGAACACTAACAACTGTACGGAAATATCATTTCCTTACAGTAAGGAAGTCTTGACTTTTTCTTCAAGAAATTTTGACAGGAATGTCAAAATTTCCTGGCGATTTGCGGAAAATGATATTTTTATCAATATCAATGCGGTTTACTGCTGAAAAGTCAACTGCAAATCAAATTCAAGTACATAGGCAGATTCTAGAAAAGTCACAAGAATATAACATAGATACACACTATCTCTTCATCAACTTCAAAGCAGCCTATGACAGTGTGAGAAGAACTGCATTATATAATGCAACGATAGACTTTGGGATCCCACCTAAGTTAGTTAAGTTAACTCAACTAACAATGCAAAACGTAAGCTTATGCGTTAGAATTGAAGGAGAAAACTCTACGTTCTTTGACATTAATAATGGTCTAAGATGCGCTGGCGTTTCTTTTCTTTAATATTGTCTTGGAAAAGGCAATCAGACAATTCAATATTAAAATAAATTGAACTTTTTTTTTGATAGATCAACGCATTTTCTCGATTTCGCTGACGATATAGTATAGTGGGCAGAAGTATGAGAAACATAGTGCAGTGTTTTACAAGGCTTGTGAATTAGGACTTGTGCTAAACGAGGAAAAACTAAATATATGTTGGTTTCTAAAAACTCACGAAATATCCAACAGAAAATTCAAATTAGCAACCATACCTTTGAGCAAGTCAAAGAATTCTCATATCTTGGATCGCTAGTAAACGCAACAAACACGACAAGCGACGAAGTAAAAAAGACGCATAGCAATAGCAAACAGAACTGTTCACGGTCTCCAGAAAGATTTAAAAAATAAAAATATAAAACGCGCAGTAAAGCTCAATATATACAAGACCTTAATAAGACCGGTTTTGATATATGGGATTGAAACGTGGACCTTATCTCAAAATGATGAAAGACTTTTTGGAATTTTGAGAGAAAAATTTTTAGAATAATTTGTGGGGCCGTAAATAAAAATTTTGGTTATGGCGTCGAAGATACAAGTTAACCACTGATCTAGATATTGTGAAATTCGTTAAAATACAAAGACTTAGAAGGGCTGGACACTTTGCTGGGATATCAGATCAAGAATACACGAAGAAATTAATATTTTTAAAACCAGAGGGTACAAGGTAGAGAACGACCAAGAAGAAGATGAATTGATTATGTGGAAGAAGACCTACATACTCTAAGGGTCAGAAGATGGAGGAAGGTTGCAAGGAATCGACAGGAGTGGCGACTTTTTTGGGAGCAGGCCAAGATCCACAACGGATTGTCAAGCCACTTATAATGATGACTTGGCAATAAAACTTTCTAGTACAAATATTAAACGTTTGTGATTACTACAAAATGAGTAAATTACCCTTCACATTCAGGTACAGCTGCAACACACATTTCTTTTGATACTAACTGCCGATTACAATTATTTACATTAGCCTTTTGTGGAAACAGATATTGTCTAGTCCTCATTCTCAGTCCTTTTCCACACGTTACGGAACAATCACTCCATTGGGAAAATTCACTAACGGCACATTCAGCTAAAAAAAATTAAGTGTGTATTAAAAGTGCTTTGTAGTTCCAGATATAAAATTGTTATTTTACCGTTACATTTTTTGATATTAAATTTTGAAAAAAAAAAAATAATAATACAATAGGTAAACAGTCGCTACAATTTAGCAGTAAGACCACATTATAAGAATACTTACGTCTTGTAGTTTCTTCAGTATTTTCACTAATATCAAGCTGCGAAGATAGAAAATTGTCATCACAAGCTTTTGGTATTACTTTTTCCCTTGTTAAAAACAATCTAGCCAATGCCGGCATTTCCTTTTTGGTGGGGTCATAAAATGGTGCTCTGGGATCTTCAGGATAGGTAGTGGTAATTCTGTACATTCTTTCTCTAGGATTAGTTTCGGCGTTAGGAGACTAAAACAAAATTATATCAGAAAATGTAAGAAATAGTTTTACTCAAATAAAAAATAAACCGACACAATGCATTAAAGAATAATATAGATAGATTATATATTTACAAAGATTTTTTATGTTTCAAACCTTAATTGTCAACCATAATTACTATATTAGTATTATTAAATACCATACAGTACGACAAGCAAGAAGTGGTTTGTTGTACGTTGACCAAATTTTTTTATTACCTAAATTATTTCTACTCTGACCGTCAAGCGGAAGAGATCGAGCTCATAACGTTAAATTCACTACAGTGATGTCAAGTATTTAAATATTTCTTTGAAGCGGAACGGTGAAAAATGCTTAGGAGTCTTACTACTACTTTCCAAGTCATTTGGATTCCCAAGACATCATCGGCGTAATAATATTATGACTTGGATTAAGTAAGGTTTAAGTTTCGTTAATTTTAGGTTTTTGGTCATAACTTCGCCCTTGTCAAAGAGTAGAGTATATAATATGCATCACCTTGCCTTAATCTTTTAAATACTTAAAATTCTTCTGTCTCTTTTCCATCTACTATTATTTTATTAATTGTTTTCCGTAGTGTTATTTGTTAATTTGTTAAGTTTTCAATTGTTATTTTCTATTTTTCTTACAGGTTCTATTTCTCTTAAGGCTCTGGCAATAAATGAACACCATATATCTTGGTATATACTATGTCCTTATACCAAACATCTCTCAAAATATAATATGTTGGAAACAATTTTAATAAATTAAATAATTGAAAAAGATTAAATAAAAACGAAATAATTAATTTGCTAGCCATACCATATAACTTATGCCTCCATCAGTTCCTGCATCGTAGGGATATAGATCTATCGCCAATTTTTCAGTCCACGTACAGTTCTTTAAACACAAGTTCAATCCATTGATTCCTACAACCCAGTCCGGTGACGGTCCTGAAATAGAAATTAAACCATACAACGTTTAATGAAAAAAGGAACTCCATGAGTATATAAATATAATATATAATATAATATTATATATAAGATAATATTATATATAATATAATATATATATATATATATATATATATATATATATATATATATATATATATATATATATATATATATATATATATCATATCATATCAGATATCATATATCATATCATATATAAGGATCACTCAGATGAGTGGTGGGTTCTTATATCGGTCTCAAGGTGGAGAAATAAAAGACAAAGTTGATAGGCTACTTTATTTATTTTGAAGACGTTTCGCTTTCGTATTCTGAAAGCAGTTCATCTAAAAAGTACAATATGAGAACCACACAATAATGGAAAAGATGTTATAAGTGTTACCTTAAACAGACATGTAGCAGTCAATGATATTAACAAGTTTGTGAATAAAACTCAAGTAAATGGACATTATACGGTAATATTGTATAAACAATCAATTATCTAACAACATTTAGCAACTTATTAAAAAATTTAGCACAGCAACTGACCATGTGGTCTAAAGTGTAAGTAATATTTTATTTTACCTTAAGTAGTGAAAAAGAACCAAGAAAATCATAGATTTACTTCCAACTATTTGATAATTATTTAGCTTTGATTTTAACTTTAGGTAGCATTATTAAAGTGATTCTAATAGAAAAAATTATTTTAAAAAGTAGTGTAAATGAAGTTACCGATCAAAGCCTTACAGCTGCCGGCGGGAAAATGGCGTTAATTGAAACAGACCAAACTAAACCGTGAAAAGACAGCCAACCTTGAGGTCCAAAATTTGACAGAACAATAAGGTAGACGTACCACCCCAAATAATTGGGCGGTATATTTAAAAGTTTAAATGAGTTTGGATGACAACCCGCTTGTAAGAGACAAACCAATGAAAGAAATTGGTATTATAACAGCAATTCCTCGCATTAACCAGTCTAGAACGAACAAACAGGCGAAATTCATTCAACCTCATATATAATTAATAATTGTTTAACGTTTATGCATCAAAAGTCTTTTTTATTAAAACTTTTTATATCTGAGAATACTCTCATCTCCTCATGGCAGACTGCATGTAATACTTTAATAACTGTTACACATTTCATGTAGGTATGTCACATTGTTCAACTGTAAACACTGTAGTGATTTTGTAAAATTACTAGTTTGATAGTACAGTACCCTTGTCTATTAGTCAGAAAAATCTTTTTTCTGAACAACCACGTGGTCATAAAGACATGTGATCTCTTAGTGTCTTTAAACCATTCATTTTGTTTTCGTCAATAATATCTTTTGTCGGTTTTTGTCTCTGGTAAGTTTACAACAAAAACTGATTTTCTATCTTCTACGTGAGTAATTAGCATATTCATCGGTTCTGGCCGTTGACATGTACCAAATACACCAAATATTAATGCAACTTTTTTCATTAAAAAAGTATCATTCTGTGCTTTATAGATAAATTTTAAAACATTTTCTCTAGACAGAACTTTAGACTTATTTGGCTGGTATCCTTTGGACCCTTGCTATTCCTATTTACCATTAAGATCTATTTTATCATTAAGTATTTGGACCATAAGAAGATCGGAAAAAACTTTTTAGCAATTTCTTCGGGAATTTCAAAACTTTCCTGCATTTTCACTTTTTAGGTTTGACAGCAGCAAATGTTTATTTTTGTTTGACATCATTACCTGGTAGTGTCTACTCTACTATGATAAATTTTCTAAATTTTGAAAAATATTTATGATAACATATTTACGATTGATTGCAAATACGATAACAAACTAGTATAACATAACATAATATAACATAAAGTAGAACTCTGGCATAACACTCAGGCCAGAGGCCCACGTGTTTGTAAGATAGTCGCTCTCAAGTATAAACATCTATTTTATGCTCTTGTTACATAAATAACTATTATTCGTAAAGCTTTAAAGGTATCTTATCAGATACAAGGGTAAATTGTTTGCCTCAAATTGGTACTAATTTAAAAAAATCACCGAATACACTGCAGGAAACATAGTAGTTTTGATTATTGAGGTCCATAAAGCTTAAAAAACTTGTCAGGTACCTGGTCCGGTCAATGTTCTCAAAACTGTACTTGTTTAACTTATTTCTCCCTCGCCGCTAATACGGCTCGTTGAAGAAATTGAGGGATCATTATTGACTCATGGTATATTCTACTATTCTACTAGAACGGAGTCTAAGTTGAGAAAGTTCACAAAATGACATATTTGGGAACTGTGATAACGGACCAACTAGATCCAGACATGGAAATAAAACGTAGAATAGCAATGACTAAAACTACTTTTATGAAAATGAAGTCATTTCTTTGCAATAACCATCTCAGTTTAGAACTAAGGCAAAGAATGGTTAAGTGCTATGTTTGGTCTGTACTTTTGTATAGTGCAAAAGTGTGGATGCTAAAAGTATCGATCATGAACAAAATTGAAGCATTGGAAATGTGGGTTCATAGACGAATGCTGAAGATACCTTGGACAGCAAGAAAAACTAATGAAGAAGTACTAAGGAGCGTCAACAAAAACAGAGAACTGCTAAAGACTATTAAACATCAAAATATGTCTTATCTGGGACATATAGTAAGGGGAAGTCGATATAAAATTTTACAACTGATCCTTAAAGGCAAAATAGAGATCCGTAGAGGTGTAGGAAGAAAACACGTTTCTTGTTTAAAAAACATTCGTAAATGGACTCAGATACGAAATGAAGGACAATTATTCCATAGTGCAGAAGATCGAGAAGCCTTCGCAGTAGTGATCGCCAATGTCGGATAATTCTGATATGACACGTGAAGAATAAGATATTCTACTATTAGTGCAAATTAATTTTCCAATCAACTTACCAAACATGGAAGCTACAGAAATCAAATGATGACGTCTATCGACTCTAAAAGTTGTTGACGTGTTAGTATTAACGTTTGGATACCACAGTCCAGAAGCCTTGATAATTGTTCTCAGGTATTTACTTTTGGCTCTCAGTTCCGTTTCCATGAGTCTAACTGAGCCCCATTCAGCTAAACTTCTAAATCCTTCTGACGCAATTTGTCCCTCTCCCCAAAAACTAAAGTTTTTCTCGTGGGAAGCTCCGATTACATCTGAGAAGTGAGTTAGCCATAATAATGTTGGATAATCTTTGGGGTGAGTTTTACTGGACCAAATTCCTTCGAACACAAGCTAAAATATAAAAATTTTGCGTGTAAAAATTGAAATATAAATATAAAAGTTATTTAATGTTTAGGTATAATTTAATATTTTACTGGTACACTTTGTAATATGGAATGTTGTTTTCTACGTTAGGTGTAAGCTTAAAATTCAAAATAAAAAAAAATGCAGAAATAAATGCAAGGAAATTTTTTAAAGAAATAAAACAAATATATTGAAAAAAAAAACACAATAGTATAATTTTAGCCTTGCTTAGCAAACAGAACAATAGTGCTGTATGAGTGATTAGTCCGAAAATATGTACAAAAAAACTAAGTTTATGATTATTATAAATAAAAACCATATGGGACAAAACTTATGGAAGATAGCTGGAACACAATTCAACAGGATTAATAATTTATTAATACGTATCTAAGTTTCCGCTTTTTTCTGAGTTTAGCAACTAATGAATGTCCTGAAATCAAAGAAGATAGACGATAATGATCTCAGTATCATATCTAATTTGTACTATAAGCAGATAGCAAACGTATGCAGTAATGAAGAGCTGTCAGAAGAAATTGGAATTAGACGTGGAGTACTTTACTTTTTCGCGACAACTTTAAGTCATTGATTGTACATGTTAAGGGACATCTTGGGCATGACAGAAAATGCTCTGGACATTTGTACAGATCGCTATTAGCAGTTTACAACTTTCACTTTATTTTGTTGGTCTTTATTGGAATAACCTTAATCATCATCAGCATTCTGGCTTTACAAACCTGCGTGGGTCCCATCCTCCTCCAAAATGTCTCTCCAGTTGTCCCTATCTATCGCCTTTCTCCGCCAAGCACGTATTCCCATATTTTTCATGTCTTTATCGATGTTATCAAGGAACCTGGCTCTGGGTTTTCCTCTTTTTTTCTAGCCAATGGGTCTATCAAGGAGAGTTTTTTTGGCTGTTCCATTTTGTTTCATCCGCATTACATGCCCCATCCACCTTATATGTCATATCTTAATATGTTTTACGATATCAGATTTCTGGTATATTCTATAAATTTTGAAGTTATATCGTCTTCTCCACACTCCATTGTCATTCACTGTTCCATAAATTCATTGTGGTTGCGTGCTTATTTTCGTATACTTCGTTTTGTTGGAGTTTATTATTAAACCCATTTTTGTAACTCATTCTTTTATGCTACCTACACCTCTCATGCAGCGTTTTCCGTTCTCCTGATAATATTGATATCATCAACATGGGCCAGGATTTGCACTGATTTGTTATATTTTGAACTCGTAATTGTGATTTGTGACATACGTATTACTTTTTCCAGAGCCAGATTGAACAGTATACAAGTGAGAGGGTCTCACTGGTGCAGTTCGTTATTTGATTTAAAAGGTTGGGACAGTTCCCTCTGAATTCGTACTCTACATTTAACTTTTTAAAAGTTGAGTTAATTTTGTTAAATTTCCCAACTGATTTGGTATTCCTAGCTTTTTTATTGCTTTGAACATTTCTCTTCTATTCACAAAGTCATGTGCTGCTTTGTAGTTTATAAATATGGGATGAGTATCAATGCCATATTTTAGTGTTTTTTCCAAAATTTGATTGAGGGTTGCAATCTGATAAATTATTATCGATTTATCACCTCTGAAACCAGCCTGGTATTTTTCTACTATCCGTTCTACATGTGGTGCCATACGGTCACATCGTACTGTGGAAAATATTTTATTCAATACATTTAGAAGCGTAATTCCTCTTTGGTTAGGGCATTCAAAGATATTTCCTTTTTTGTGTATGATGCAAAATATTTCATTATTCCAATCATTGGGAAGGGATTTCTGTGTTTATATTTCTTTTATAAGCTGTTGTTATGCCCTTATGGTATCATGACCACCTTCTTTATATAATTCAGCTAAGATATTATCTATTCCAGGTGATTTGTTTCTGGATCGCTTTTTAACTGCATCTTTAACTTCAAGAATCTTTGGTGATTCCTCTTCCCTTTTGACTGTTCCCCTTACCTCATCTCTTTTTTCTTCCAGGTTTTCTTCATCTTCCTCTATTGTTGTTGTTAATAGATCGCCATTCTGACTTGTGCATTGTCTCGTGGTTGCCTTGATTTCTTTTCTGTTTATGTTAACTCTCTTATAGAATGCTCTGAATACTGTTACGTAATAAATATGAGTCATATTAAAAACCTGTAAATATGTTGTTTATTCACTAATATGTTCTAGATTTTATGACCCTTCGACTAGCTGGCAGAAATTCCAAGTAATAAATAAAAAACCGATCCATTTGAACGTTCCGGAAATAGATTGAATGAGAAACCAGACCGTAACTTTCCAGTATTTTCGCCAAGGGTTGACATCCTTCTAGTCTACCAGCTGTATATGGGTATATAACAGGACCTTTTTTAGAAAACATGTAGTCAGAAAAAAAGATCGCGACGGGTATTTTAAAATGTAACGTCCGTATAAATAAATTATTATTGTAAGATAAATTATTATAAATAAACTTTAAATTAAGTTGTAAGCGTTATAAATATAGAACCTTTGGTAAATAGTAAAAACACTAAATTAGAATTAATAAATATATAACAATACTTTATCTCTGTTGAGGTTTCCTGTATATTTAAATTCCTCATTTACGTGGTTTTGTTTTTTTCTTTTGTGTATCCTCTTTCCTTCTCTTCTCTTTGTCTGTTAATTCTCTATAGTTGTTCTAGTTCGTCGGGTAAGCCTCTTTCTTTAGGCTTGATTTTTTATTTTGTTTCATGAAGTAACCTTAAGCTTAGCTTAAATGTCCTTCAGGGCTTCCAGTTAAAGCTACTATTAAAGAGCCTTTCTTCTTGGGATGGTAAGTAGTTTTCTGGTGGATCGACTAACACACAAGGCAGGAAGTTTTTTCTGGATTTATCCACCTTATAATATTAGTATTGTAAACCATATTGTTCCAATTTCACCCTTCGTTGATCTGCGCTTCAGCTTTATGTATTAAACTACCACGCTTAGTTTTATAATTAAATTCCGAAGTACTAATACCCAAAATTATGCAGAGTACCTAAACCGTTAGGGTATAAAATATGAAATGTTGATTGTTATATTGTAATACAAAAATTTTATATATTTCCACATGTTTTATAATAAAAGTATGTTTCCTGTTAATTAATGCAGCTGTAACCTTTCTAACAATATATTAAACTACAACTTACCTTATACTTAGCTTCATCACACGCACAACATTCATCGTCTGATGGTAAATCTTCATCTTTTTGTTCACAAATTGTTTTAGTTAGGTTTCCATCTTCTGAGAACCAAACATCAGAATTTTCCAAAACCATGGCTCTAAAACATAGTGATAATTAGTACATCTGGTGTTACGGAACTTTTAGTTTTTAATGCCAATAAATATTTCTTCTGATTTCAATATCGTAAAACGAGGTTACTTTGCCAACAGTCGCATTAGGTAACTATGCACCATGTGTGTAAAAGTGTATTATTAGTGTAATACAGGAAACTAAAGTTTTTCATTTTCTGAAGGAAACTTCAGGTAACTGGTAGTTACTAGGAGAATTGAGTAGCCCGGTAACTATCAGTGCCGGTCTCAATCCCGAGCTTGGATAAAGGAGGAGAGTTTGCGCCAAGAATGGCATCTGGTAGTAAAATCCTTGATAAAACCATAGAAAGAAGGAATATGGAAAATTAATTCATCATTAATACGTTCTTTATGAAGACTGAAGACCCTATAGTAGTGGGGAAGGGAAAGTCAGGTGGATTTTATACTGTGTAGAAGAAGTCAGTCAAAATAGTTTACGAACTGTAAAGTGATAACGGGTGAGTATGTAGCTAGTCCACACCGATCGGTGATAGTGGATATGGAGATAAAGGTAAGGAGAAAGGAAAGTAAGTAAGATACCAAAAAGAGTTAAGTGGTGGAAGTTAAATAATAAGGATTTAGCAATAGTCTTTAAGAGTAGAGTGCTGGAAAACTTGAGAAAAAAATAAGGTAGAGAGACATCGATAGTAGAAGGACAGTTTAGGTTTATGCCAGGCAAGAGGACAACGGATGCCTTGTTTGCGTTGAGACAGATGATAGAGAAATACAGCGAGAAAAAAGACAGCTACATTTGATATTAATAGATCTTAAGAAAGCGTTCGACATAGTTCCTAGACAAGAGCTATGGAGATGTATGAGAGAGAAATAGGCTCCTGGGAAGTACAAAAGGCTCGTGGAGAATATATGTGAGGGAGTGTATGCCAAAGTAAGGACTGCTGTCGGATTGACCAAAAGGTTTTCAGTGACGGTTGGTTTGCGTCAAGACTTTTCACAGAGTATTTACCTGTTTAATCTTGTTATGGATGTACTGACAGAGAAAGTAAAGAAGGGGACTCTTTGGTCAATGCTCTTTGCTGATGATATCGTGTTATTAGTGGAGAATAAAGAAATGTTAGATTAGAAGTTGGAGTTTTGGAGGGCGATTGAAGAGGGGGGACCTAAGGTTAGCAGGTCGAAAACGGAGTATATGTGGTTAGGAGGAAGAGGAATGGTTGGGGACGTAGAATTGCTTAGAGAAAAGCTAGGACGAGTAGAAAAATTTAGATACCTTGGCTCCTACATAACGGAAATGAGACACTAAATCGAGAAATTGCCCACAGCATACAGGGGCGTTGGTTTAACTGGAAGATAATAAGCAGGCTACTTTGTGATCGAAAAATCGGGAAAGTGCTGAAAGATAAAACATACAAGAGTGTGGTGTGATCTGCGCTGGTGTAAGGCGGTGAAGTGTGGCGTGTAAAAAATCCAGGAAAAAAGATAGAGCTGGTTGAACTAAAATGTTACAGTGTATTTTGGATAAGACTAGAAGGCACAGGATGAGAAACGACTTCATTAGGCAATAGCTTGGTTATGTCAGATATAGAGATGAAAACTATGTGGGACGAAGGATAGAGATGTATAAGTTAATGCAAGAAGAGATACAAGAAAACGTGTATTTTGTGACATCCAAAAAAAAATGTAGTGAACGTGTATGAACTTTCGCTAGAATCGCGCGCCTTTCAAACAACAGTATAAATAATGAACTATGTTTCAAAACAAACTCTTTTATTCGTAATACTTGTGTAAATATTCTCTTAAAAGATTTAGTACCGTACCCTCTGAGGAAAGGATTTTAATAAGCTTTCTTCAAATAATCAATGGAGAATACAGCAAGCTTCCAACAATACGAATAGACCAGGCTACCCTGATGCGTTTCCTGATAAATAAGAAAGGACATTTGTTTTTTGCATTCAACAAGTTGTCTATGACTGAAATGGAACTTCGTCAAATAACCAGGACATATTTAAGTTAAAAAGGTACATTTAACATTTTATTTATGTTGGAGGTAGGAGAGTAACTGGTTTTAAAGATATAAATTCATGTTAAAGACTGAGTTAGAGCTTTTTAAAGCGACATAAGAGTCTGACAGTTAGGTTTGCAACTAACACTAAAAATATTAGATCAGATCTTAATGCAAGTTTATAAAGAAAACCATATATCAGACCTTGGACGGAATTTCATCACATGTAATCTATAACTACGATGAAACAAATTTGACAGAGAAGCCAGTTCAAAATAAATTTTTAACCAAACGTGGTAAAACATATTCAGAAAGTATAGTTAATTCATCAAAATCTTGTATTCCTTTGGGCATTGTAGGAAATAGAGATGTTACAAGATATGAAGGAAGAAAATAAATTTAATTAAAACTTGACTCTGGGTATTTTGGTAAATCTGTAGGTGCAAATATTCAAGAATTGACTCTGGAACATATCAGGATGGCTGTAGATGAATACGTTTTAGTTTTGTATGACAATAATTCTTATCCTGGAGTCCGACAAATTTGGTAGACCTAGGACAAAGTACTTTGTGCAATAAATGCACCTAAGCATATGATCAAACGTGACCTAGTATTATGTACATGGGGTGGGTGGCTCAAACCACCTACAAATATTCTTGTATTCTATACCTGAGTGCGATCGATTATGGTAGAACTAATATCCATTGAATTTATTTTAGTTTTAGTTATGCTATATAAATTTACTATGTTTTGCTCAATGCAACCGATGGTGATTCGGGCAAATTTTATTATAAGCGCAAATAAATTTTAATTTTGTCTGTTTTTATAATAACACAAAACTTAAAATCCTAAATGGTGTTAATTATTTGCTTAACGATATCAAAAATAAAAAAGTTTTATACTAAAAGAGCCACAATTTCTTAAATTTTACAACGGTGTAGGATTTCCTTAGCCCAGAGCAATTTTATTACAAATAAAGTAGTCTTAAATAAACTTTTTTTTATTATTGTTACATTGCATGTTCACAATCTACTCTATACACAGAGTAATGAGTAAATAGTCTAAGTAAATTAATGTGAGTTAAATACTCACATTAATTCACAGTCACAGTTCAGTGACGGTTCTCTTTGACGAAGTATTATTAATGACGAAGTATTATTGAGATAGATCTTCTGGCCAAACTCTCTTCAATTTTCTTTCGGCAAGTGAATGGTTGAATAAATTATTTGTCAATTCGTTGTTGTGATCAGTGGTGCGATTTTTATAGTTTATTGAATGATTCTTAGTTATTATGTCCTTAAGTAGTGGGATGTCCAGATCATTGTGAAGTGTTTGGTTAAATACATACCAATTTTAAATAAACTCACGCAAAGAAAACTCATTATATGGCCTACTTTTCACCGCATTTAAATATATTATTTTTAAATTTGGCAGACTTCTACTTTAACATATCTACTATTAATTTAAGCATTCCAACATATTTTCGACAATTAAAGAAGTATGTATTAAAAATAAATAAAAATAAAGTCAAAAATGTAGAGCAAAGTAACACTGTTTTACGACATCTTGACGTAACTTTATCTTTATCTCTTTAATCTCTTTATTGATTTACCGTATACAATTACGTATTTTTCAAACTTTCAAAATTTTGTGCATATGCCGATTCTGTAAGAATCGATAAATTACAGGTTGGGTTAAACGTTTAATAGGGAAAATATATTCCAGTATCGGCATTGGCCTAATATATAATTTGGAGCAGCAACATGTTAAAATTAATTAAAGGAAGAAAATAATGATCAGACTTCGGTGGAACACCTTAAAAAGAATCAAAAGAAACATAATGACATTGAACATGGTCCTAATGCTAAAAATTTTTTAATTTCAAAAGGAAACTGAATAGATGTTATATTCTTAAACATTTTCAACAATCATAATCAACATATACAATTTACAGTTGAGGAAGAGGTAGATAATTCTCTACCATTCCTTGACATGAAAATTGTAAGAAATACAGACAATATGTTGAAAACTAGATGGTTCAGAAAACCCATATTTAGTAATAGATTTATAAGCTATTACTCTAATCATCCAAATAAAATGAAAATGAACCTTATAACAGGATTAAAGGAACGTGTTTTAAAACTTTCTCATCCAGACTACCTACAAGAAGATCTTCATTTGTTAAAAAATATTTTAATTGAAAACTCTTATCCTCCTGATATGCTACATAGGATGCTTTTTTCTAATTTATTAAATATAAATAACTTAACACAATTTTTTGCTAAATCTCAAAACACTGTATCCAACAATCAAAACATATATTATCATTCACTACCTTTTATACCATCATTAACTCCTAAATTAATACAAACATTAAAGGTTATTGACAATATAAAAATAGCAACAAAGAACATCAAAACTATTTCATCTTTATATTCCAAAACTAAATATCCTATAGACAAATTAGATCAAACAAATGTAGTATACAGCATTGTTTGTACTCAGTGTGAAGCTGAGTATATTGGTGAGACTGGAAGAAATCTCTCAAATCGCATTATTTCTCACAAGAGTGATTGTAGAATTAAGAAACCATCTTGTGCTTTGGCAGAGCATGTAATAGACAAAGACCATATTATGGATTTTGATAATATTAAAATTTTATGTAATGAAAGTAATAAATTTAAAAGAACTTTTTTGGAAATGGTTTGTATTAGCAAAAGTGATAATAATTTAAACAAAAGGTCAGAAATCCAAAATTTAAGCAAAATTTATAATTATATAATTTCTATTTAATTTATTCAGTCAGTAAAATATCACATTTTGAATTTTCCATGTATTTGTTACATTTTTTCGGGCATCTATCAATGGTGAATAAATCTTCTTCTTTTTTGTTACTAAACAAAGAAGAATTTTTTAAACAAAATTTTATTTTTGACAATATGTCAAAAATAAAAAATTTTTAAGTTAGTATTTATGACTTTTTAGGCTGGTTGTAGCTATTCTATTTTTGTTTATAAATTCAATTTTTTTTCTTAAGAAACTTCATCTAAATTTTTCAGAGAAACATTTATTAGAATAAGACATTTTTTATTAATATTTTTTGTATTTATTATGTAAGCAGTAGTTTTATATAAAAAACTAATTTTATTTGGTGAGTTAACAAAAAATTTTTTATTTCTAGTTCAACTTTGTAAGACATTTTGTATTTTTTAGAAGCTCTTGATAAAAATTGTAATCACAATTGAAAGCTCGAGTAAAAAATAGTCAACAAATAGCCCCTTTTATTGACTCCAACCCATCAAAAACAGTGTTATATTTTTTCCAAACGAGTCACAAGTACTTCTTTTTTCTTACTCTTATATATATATAGTTCAGCTCAACAGGCCTCAAAGGCCCAAGGATTCAACGGTTTTCTTCCATTTCTTTCTATCTTGTGCTAAGTTTTTCCAATCTTGTACCCGCAGCAACTTCAGATCTTCTTTTGCCGACTCCAGTCATTTTCTTCGGGGGCAGCCTCTTTTTCTTTTTGTACCAGCCTCCGTGTTTATTAATTCATTGGGAACTCTTCCTTCCTTCATTCTTGCAATATGTCCGAGCCATCTTAATCTTTGAATTTTAGCGAGTCTTGTTATTTTTGGTTTTGGTTTGGATGTTTCCCTCTTTTACACCTCCGTATATCCTTCTAAGAATTTTTCGTGACCATCTATCTAATTTTACTTTCATATCTTTATTTAGTGTCCAGGTCTCGCTAGCATAGAGTACTGTATGTCGGATAACTGTTGCATATATTCGTTTTTTTGCTGTTCTGGATATTATCTTCGACCTCACTGTCTTAGTCAGGCTCCCAGCACTCTTACTACCTTCGGCCATTATTTTTATGATTTGTTGGTTCTCTTCATTCCCATTTGTTAGTGTTGCTCCCAAGTAATCGAATTGGCTAACAACTTCAAAGTTATATTCTTTACTTGGACTTTGTATCTTAAAGGACTGTCCTAGATGATTTTCGTTTCCCCTCATCACCATATATTTTGTTTTTTCTTCGTTTATTTCTAAACCATATTCCCTGGCTATTCTCTCTATTCTAGTAAAGATTTCTCTTAATTCTGCAGGTCTCCTTGTTATTAAGGTAACATCATCTGCATATGCTACGCATTGATGCCTGTGATGATACATTGTGCCTCTAGTGTAGATGTTACATTTTCGTAAAATCTTCTCTAAGATCAAATTGAAAAAATCTGTTAATAACGGGTCACCTTGTCGCAGACCTCTATTGGTGATAAAGCTATCCGAAACCCGTCCTTCTAACATGACTTTACTTTTAGTATCATTGAGTATGCATTTAGTCAGTCTTACTATTTTCGGTGGAAATTCAAAATATTCTAGTGCTTCATATACTTTATTTCTTTTTATAGTATCATGTGCCTATCTAAAATCAATAAACAGCATGTGTAATGTTAGGTTGAATTCATATGAGCTAGCTAAAATTTGTTTCATTGTAAAAATTTGGTCTGTTACCGATCTGTTTGCTCTGAAACTTGCTTGATGTTCACCTAGACAATTTTCAACTTTTGTTTTAATTTTATTTCTAATTGATATGGCCAAAATCTTATACACTGTATCTTGTAGAGCTATTCCCCTGTAATTTTTACATTCTGTAACGTTTCCTTTTTTATGCACTGGACATAAGATTGCTTCTTTCCACTGATTGGGTATTTTTTTTTGATCCACACGTCGCGTATTAACTCAGCGCTTTCTTCTTGCACCATTTCGCCACCTTCTTTTTGAAACTCAGCAATGATACCATTTTCACCAGGTGCTTTGTTGTTTTTTAAGTTTTTTATGATTTCTATAATTTCTTCCTTGGTAGGTACTTCTTCATTTACATCTGGGTCCCTTACTTCTTCATGTTGTAGTTGCGTTTGTTCTCTTTCATCTTGGTCGTCCGTACAAAATAATTATGTTCTCGAAATAACTGGCCCACCTTCTTAATTTTTCATCTGTTCCACCTAACAGATTCCCCTCTTCATCTTTATAATATCTTGATGTGGTTTTGTACTGGGTTCGGTCTCGTTTTATTTCTTGGTAGAAATTCCTGACTTGTTTATGTATAAAATCTTCTTTAATACGAACTAGTTTCTGCTCTAAAATTGACCGCTTCTTTCTTCTACAGATCTTCTTTGCTTCCCGTCTTTTTGGTGCATAAGCTTTTTTACTCTTTTCATTATTTCTTATTATGCTATTTATTCTAGCTATATTTCGGTCACTAATTGCTTTCTTATAATCCTCATCATACCAATCCGTTTGTTTACATTTTCTGTTTCTTGATAATACTGAGTCGGCTGTTTCTTGAATTTTTTCTTCTTAATTTCTCTATATAGCCTATATAATTTCCAAACATGAAGCAACTGGTTATTCTCCATCGATGATGATCATAGGAAGAGAAATGCTTAATTTCCTCAAAATATTATTTTCGGAAGATGAACGTTAATAAATAAATAAATTTTTCCGTGAAAAAGAACGTTAATAAAAAATTTAAACATAAATTGGGAAAAATCTACAAATTTGCTCGTAAGTTTGAAACTTCAAAATGATAAAGGCAAGGCTAGGCTCGACATGCATTCTACTGGTAAAAAATTTCGAAAGAGGTGACCAAGTATGGTTATACAACCCCACATGTAAGAAAGGACTTTCAACGAATTCTCCAGAATTTCAACGAAACTGTGAAGGCACATACACTGTCCCACAGCAATTAACAAAAATAATATTTGTAACTAACTAAGACTGTTAATTGAGTTAATTTCTCCTTACCTAAATGTGACACATCCTGAACCCGGAGGAGGAGCAGACCACATAAAGAATACTTCACTTTTCGGAGAAGTATTTACTTCTGATATCGTATTAATACATTCCTCATTGAAACTTGCAACTTTATCCCCATATAGCTGAAAGCTACCTACATTTTGGGGAGAATCCGTTCGGTTACTCGTAGATTCGACATTAATTGTGAATCTCGTGAACTTCTTTAAGCGATTTGTATTTGGGTAAGTTGGAGCCATTAGATACACTAAAAAATTTAAGTATGATTTAAAAAACAATTAAGGAATTGGTATATTTTCAGTATTATGGTACATAATATCTAAACAGTCATTTAAAAAAATGTAGCCAATGACATTTTCCAGTTTTGGATAATATGCAGAATTGTAGAATAGAATAGAATAGAAATATGCTTTATTGTCACTGAAAATTATTGAACAATTTTATGGACAAAGCTAAAAAATAAATCAGTTAAATAGTACAAAAAGTATAAAACAAAAACAAATATAGTAAAAAACAGAATAACACAATTTTAAATTAGTAAAATTATTGTATAACCTACATAATTTGTACAGACAACAACAAATGAGACAAATTGTAGCCACTGCTTGAGACACCCAAATGTAATTATAAACAATACTAATTTTGTTTCTTTGTTATACAATAAGAAACTCGCCAACTGAATAATATGGTCTTTCTGACAGATAGATTTTTGTCACCTTACGAAACTTAATGAAGGATGTTGCGGATTTAATTTCTCTTGGAAGGTGATTATAAAGTTTCTTTGCACGATATAGAATAGAATTCTTTACTAGCTGAGTGGACGGGATCGGCAAATAAACGTTACAATCCGAATTTCTAATGGAGTAGCCATGGTCAGGTCTATCGGGAAAAATGTTTAGATGCTTTCGAATCAAACAAACCGTTTCCAAAATAAATAAAGAGGGAAGCGTCAAAATTCCGTGATTTTTGAAGTAGGTCTTGCAATGAGTTGTTTGTTTGAGACCAAATAAATAACGGATTGCTCTTTTGTGCAACTTAAAAATAGTATCAAATTGGGCCGCTGTACTAGAACCCCAAAATGGAAGCCCATATCGAAGATGGGACTCGAACAATGAGAAATATTACATTTTGGCAGAAGATAAATTTAGTTCCTTCGAAACAGATCTTATTGCAAAGCAAGCTGAGGCTAGTTTCTTCCTTAAGGAGTCAGTATGCAAGGACCATTTGAGATCACTGTCAATGAGAATACCTAGAAATTTCACGGAATTTACGATATTGATTTGGCTCTCATTCAAAAGCAAGGGTTGCATGACTCCATTATAAGATAATGCTACAGTCTTGTCCACGTTAAAGCACAGTAAGTTGGAGTCTGACCAAGCCTTGATTATAAGTAAATCAGCGGTTATAATTGAATGAAGCGTTGAAATATCAGTACATGTGGTAAAGCTTATATAAAATTTTTTAAACTGGACACCCTGTATATTTTCTCATATTTAGATTCCTCTCATAATTCCTGTTATTACAATATGGGGTGTGACAATACTATAGAGGTTATTTAAGGAGTTATTACCATTTTTATTTCAAAATCGCTATGAAATAAATACACTCTGGTATCAAACAGCCATTTCAATTAAAAAAAAAATCAATAGAAAACAACATAGTGTTTACAAAAGCAGACAAAGGTAACACTACTATTGCTATAGATAAAATAGAGTATAATAACAAAACAATAGAATTTTTAAATAATCAAAATATTGAAACTTTAACCAAAAATCTGACAGAAAAGTATTAAAAACAAATTAAGCTAGCGTTAAAAAATTCAAAATCAATAATAAGTTCAATAGAATAGAAATACGTTAATATCATGAACCCACAGTGTACAACGAACAAACAATTAATAAAATTCTAAATCAAAAACTACCCAAGAAAGCTTTCAAAAGTACCTTCTACTCGATTACATATACAGAGAAAATATCAACAAAAATAGCCAAACACATAAAAAAAGAACGAAATAACACCAGCTTTTAGAACAAACAACAACTTATGCAAATATATTAAAACCAACAAAGGCCAAAAATAAAAAGCACTTACACAGTGGTGCATGCAAACTTAAATGTGGCGACTGCCAAAAACTTACATCAGTCAAACTGGTAGAACTTTTAACAAACGTATAGCAGAACATAAAAAGGTTTCCAATAGTAGAAAAACAGATTCTACATACGCACTTCACCCTCTAGATCATAATCACTCTTTTAGTGACGGATTTCAAATTCTTCACATCCAAAATAAAGCTCATCTTCATTAGAATCTATGGAAATGAATAAATTTAAAAACTTTGGACAAACAGTTCTAACCTCCTCAACCTATTTCGTTAAAGACTATAAAGTTTAAACACATAACAAAAATGAATCACTTGAGAAAGGCACTCTGCCAAAACAGCTGTAGTGATAAGATTTTATAATAAATTTTGTGGAAGTTTTGAAAAACAAATTTTTCAGTGTTTTATTGTTGTGGTATTAGGGTTCATAATATCCAAAAAAGGTAATAACCACGTGGTAAAGCAAACATACAATTTAAACTAGACACCCTGTATATTATCTCATATCTAGATTCCTCTCATAATCTCCGTTCTTTAAATATGGGGTTTGACACTACTATACAGGGTATTTAACAAGTTATTACTATTTTTATTTTGAAATAAATCAACTATGAAATAAACACACCGTAGGATATAAAAAAATAATAGACAAATAAGTATTCATTTTACGTAAAGTTTGGTAAAGGTAAATAGTATGTTCCAGTTTTCAAATTAAGTTTAACAGACATAATTGGCAAAGATTCGTAAACAGGGTGAACTAGAAAAGAAAATTTGATTTTCTCATATTTTTTAAATGTACAACTCTATATTTTCTTTTTTCTAAAGATTGCATTTATGATACTACTGCCATTTTCTATATTTAAGCTCATTTTCTTTCTATACTTTTAGTTTTCTTCAAATTTCGAGAATACCTACAATTTTTGTAAGTAGAAATAACTTGTCTTCTGTAATTATATAAAAAATATATTCAGGGGTGGTTGGCACCACATCTTACTTCACTTAGAATTGTTGCTCAGAATATGCCACGAAGAAATAGAAAGAGCAGTAAAAGAAATAAAATGAAATAAAACGAAATAAAGCTCCTGGAAGCAATGGAATCCTAGTAGAAATGCTGAAGGAAGGCGAAGAAGAAGCCATCACATATCTAAAAATACTGTTTAATAAATGTCTATTCCAAGGCAACATACCCGAACAATGGAATACTGCTAAAACAATACTAATATACAAAAAGAAAGACTCCACAGACCTGAAAAATTATCGACCAATTTCACTTCTTTCACAACTTTACAAAGATTATTACAAAAAGGTTAACAATTAAATTTGACGAATACAATATCCCATTATGTCTGGCTTTTATAGATTATGAAAAAGCTTTTGATAGCGTAGAACTGTGGGCAATAGAAGAAGCATTAATCAACAACCGGATCGACTCCAGGTACAAAATATTAATACATAATATTCACGAACAAGCTAAAATGATAGTGACGTTGGGTAATGGAATCGAAACAAGACCAGTAAAAATCAACCGAGGAGTAAGACTAGGAAACACAATATCTTCAAAATTATTTACAGCTGCCCTAGAAGATATCTTTAAGTCAATAGACTGGGAAAATAAGGGAATCCCTATTAACGGAAGATACTTGAACCATCTTAGATACGCAGATGATGTAGTACTAATAGCCGACACGAAGAATGCACTGAATACGATGATTGAGGAGCTACACACAGAATCCCTAAAAAAAGGACTGAAAATTAATTTCAGCAAAACTAAACTAATGTCAAACAAAGATAACAAACCCATGATAAAAATCGAAAGGACAGAGATAGAACACGTAAATGAATATACATATCTGGGTCAAAATGTAAAAGAAAGAAGAGAAAATCAGACTACCGAAATAAGCAGACATGTACAAATGGGATGGGCAGCATTCGAAAGATTATCATACGTACTTAAAAATAAAAATATACCTCAAAGACTGCAAACCAAAGTGTTTTTTTTCTCCTGTACTTACATATGGAGCTCAAACCTGGACATTCACTAAAATAAACATGGAACGACAGATGCTGGGTATCTCACCCAAAGACCATAAAACCAATGAAGACATTCGTAATAGAATAAAAGTAAAAGATGCTCTCGAAGAGGCAGCTAAACTGAAATGGAAATGGGCTGGACATAACGAACGTCTTACGGATGACCGATGGAATAAAGAAATCGGGAATTGGCGACCATATGAAACCAAAAGACGACGAGGAAGACCGCAAATGCGATGGAGCGACGATATTATAAGAACTGCAGGGCCAATGTAGAAACGTCTTACAAAAAACAGAGATGAATGGCGAGAATTAGGAGAGGCCGATATTCGGCAATCCGAATAGAGAAATAGACTTAAAAAAAATCGAAATAGCAGGCTTTTCGTATTCGTATATTAAAAATTACTTACTTGTATAAATATTTCCCGGAACGTACTTTTGAGGGTTTTCATTAATCTTAATTTGATATCCATTATCACCAGGTGTTTTTATCTTCCTAGATTGATATATACTTGGTGTTCGACCGCAGCAATACGCATAATTTATTATAAAAAACAATAAAAATAGTACTTTCATTGTAATTTCTTAGGGTGAACTGTTAATAGATATTGTAGAAGCGACAGTTATTTCATTATTCTTATCAAAATCGGTGATAACCCCGGGTCAATATTATTTATTCAAAAGTAATTTCCCAAGAACAGCAAAACTAGTGTTTTGATTAAAGAATTAATGTCTCCATTTACAACTAATAATTAAAAATTAAAAAAATATATAACAGATTTGGGGACAAAAATATATGATAAATACATTCTAATTGTTTTAGAAAATATAATGCAAAGAAAAACGAGAAATTTACAATAATTACAAAAAATAGGGAACGAAAGTAAAGAACAGATAAGTAAAACAAAAGACAAATTTTTGCAAATTTTCTGTTCAAGAGTGGAAGCTGACTTCTACGAATTGCAAAGGCAGATATGGATATTAGCTATTATAGTATACAAAGAAAAGAAATACGTACGCTAACAAAAGCAACAAAAATAAACACGATTACCTGTAGTACTAGGCTGAAAGTGAAGGGATGAAATTATATTTCTCATATCTGCGGAGATTCCTATACTTATTAAGTAACTAATAGCGTTAATATTAATTTAATATAATAATGTAATATAATAAACAATGAAAAAAAATGTGGTGGATGTTTAAACCTCTGGACAGACGACATCCCAATGATGTCAGACCTATTGGCTATTGGCTGACATCAAGAAAGATGTTCCCTGAAACAGAAGGTTCATTACTCGCCATTCAGGATCTGGTTATACCAACCCAAAATTACCTGAAATATATCGTCAAATATCCTCAGGTCCCAAATGACCAATGCTGATATTGATGTAAAGCTCAAGAAACCATCCAACATTTTACCGGAGGCTGCCAGGTATTTGCTGCAACTGAATATAAGAAACGGCATGACTAAGTAGGAATGATCCTTCATCAATAGATAGTGATCAAACTGGAAGTGCTCCAAATAAACTATCTCCTATATTACCAATACGTTGCTGAAAATATGCTTGATAATGACAACTACAAGCTATACTGGGACCACACTGTACTCACAAAACAAACAGTAGCTCATAATAGACCAGATCTCGTACTAATTATTAAACCAAAGAGACAAACAACACAAATTGATGTAGTGATACCCAAAAACAACAATCTTCGTGTTAAACAGAACTAAAAGATTGCCAAATATGGGAATCTGAAAATTTAAATACGAAGACAATGAAAAATGGAAAGTACTCAGACAATATCTATTACACTTTCTGTACTGCTGCAATCATTCCAAGGAATCTCTTAATCATTCAAAGAATAAAAAAGCTACATCTGAATGAATATCTCTACAAGACCATGCAGAAAGTTGTACCTACTCTTAACGTCCCCGTGTGTATGAACATTTTTGGGACACACTGCAGAATACCAAGTCCCCTAAGGCTCGATAACACGGAAAAAGTCCCACCAGAGCTCAAATCGTTTGATACCGTAGGTATCTGAGATAAGTGAATTTTCCCCTTAAAGGGAGTGAGAGCCGTATGCCTAAATCTGGAATTGTAATGAACTATTTATTATCTTTATTTATTATAAAATGTTTTACACTTTATGAATTTATTTACATACATTTATTTATTTAATGTACATAGAAACACTTAAATAATAATTTATTTACAATATATAATTTATTTAAAACATTCACACTGGTTACAATTTAAATAGCCTCGCGAACAATTTATTAATCGACACTTGTTTCCGGCTGTCCTTTTAAATCTCAAATCGTCCGTTTTTATACCTAATTTGTTTTTCTAGAAATTTCTGCCGACTTCGATCGGAACGCTGGTGTATTATTCGATCCTCATCTGGAAAGTTCCAATCGCAGGTATAAGCGGGGTCCCGTATCATGAGTCATATTTATCGTAACATACATTGCCCCTTCCTAAAAGATGGTTCCTCCTGGAACCTTGTCGGAACTGGAACTGGAACGGTATGCTGGTATCGGCAAAATGACAAGGGATGACTTTCTCTTCGCACCAGTAACTATGCGGATTGCAACAGACTAACACCTGGGCTTCGGTGTGTTTGAAGATCTCCTCCACCATACGAATAACCCTCAAATCTAATTGGCGGCACTCCAACTTTGGCATGGCTAACTTTTGCACGTCAGACTCTAGAATGTGCTCTCTAAACTGAAACAAGGCTTCCCATACATCTCGGTAGGTAGTCGTCAAGCAGGACGACTGAGGCAATACATGAAATGGACTGTGTCTATAAACGAAAATATTTTGCGCTTCTAATAAAAGTTGACAAACCTCGGTCAAGAAACGATCGGCTATCGACAACATCTGTATGCCGAATTTTGCAGGGAATACCCAGAGATTCAAATATCAGAGCAGCGAACAGCAGATCATACGTTAGAATAGTTTCATATATTGTGCAGCAACATCAACTGGTAATGTTATGGACATTAATATGGACACGACGCGGTACTAATATGGGAAGGACTAAAAACAGAATTAGATTGAAATACTCCAAGACACTCACAAAATTACCTGAAATATATCGTCAAAGACCCGCAGGTCCAAAATGACAAATGCCAGTATGGATGTCAAGCCCAAGAAACTATCAAACATCTTACCGGAAGCTGTCAGGAATTTGCTGCAAATAAATATAAGGAACGGCATGACTCAGTAGGAAAGATCCTTCATCGAAAAATGAGCCAATAAACTGGGAGTTCTCCAAATAAACTATCTCCCATATTATCAATACGTTCTTAAGAGTAAGCTTGATAATGACAAGTACAAGCTATTCTGAGACCGCACTGTGCTCACAGACCAAACAGTCCAAAATACTCGCAACATGATTCAAATAACAACACAGCTAGACACTGCCTGGGCACATTAAAATAAAAACTCTCTGTTTGGGCTGATTGCCTAAGGAGATGCAAAGATAGTAAAAATAGCAAATGAAATGAAATTAAATTACACTTTAGAAAATAAAAATAAATCCCAATCAAGCAAAAAGAAATTCATGAGCTTATAGAAAACCAACTTTTGAAGCCAACTACTCATAACAACAATGCTGGATGAATTTAAGACACGACGAAAAACTGTCAACACCACAATAATATTCCTTGTGAACCTTTTTGGAGTGCTCATGAGTGTTTATCAATGTTGATTAATCATGTTATTTCTGATCTGCAAGAAATATCACAGGAATAATCATGTTATTTCTGATCCCCTAAGTAAGAAATATCATTTCTTACTCAGGGAACCACTTATCTAATACCGAAGGATCAAAATAAAACTCATGATTCACCCAAGTACCACCCAGTTATATGTCTTCCAACTTTGTACAAATTGGTCATATCCTGTATAGTCCAAAGTATCTACCAACACTGTTCTCTATATAATATCATAGAGCCTCAACAGAAATAATGCTCTAAAGATTCCACGGGCTACAAAGAACAACTTATAATTGACTCAGTTATTTCTAACCTGACGTGCACCAAAAAATCGAACTTCTTACTGCCTTTCTTGTTTTCAAGAAGACCTTTAATTCAGTTTCGCATACATGACATAGATATATTAAAAATATATCAATAATAATATAGTGATTTTTTAAAGCATACTTTTAAAGTATTCAATCTTAGATCTGCGTATCTAATGGTATTTATCATTTTTCCATTAATGTTTACACCATATTCAAGATTCTATCTGAATATAAATTAAACAAAAGTGAATACAGTACACAACCTTGCCTGACTCCCTTTATAATCTAACTGTGGACTTCTTATTAATATGAATGGTCACCTTTTGCTGCGAATATAATTTTTCAATGATCCAGACGTCGCGGCTATCGACACCTTGATCCCGTAATATTTTAGTTAATTTATTCCCTCCAAAAATATTAATTATTCCTACAAACTGGATAACATATTTTCTATATTTAGTGCTGAAGCTATTGCAATCTACGAAGCGTTGACATTTTTATCACAATCTACAATTGATTCTGCAGTAATTATATCGGACTCCCTGTCTGTTTTAAATTCCTTGGTTTTGGCAAAATACCCAAGTTACACCTCCAATTATATCATATATGCAATTAAAAAACGGATTTTAGAACTGCAAAAAGTTAACAAACACATTAATTTTGTGTGGATTAAAGCACATATCGGTCTCGAACATAACGAGTATGTGGATATGCTGGCAAAGAAAAGTGTAAAAAATGGTTTGACCAATAAACTACCTGTAAGTTTTTGTGATGCAGTAGCTTATATTAGAATGAATTATCTTAATATTTGGAACAAATGTTGGTCACAATATACTTATACCAAGCCTTCTAGATACTGCAGTATACAAAATCAAATACCGAATAAAACGTGGTTCCAGCAATATAATTATTCAAGAAAATATATCACAACGATAACACGTCTTAGATTTGGTCACGCCTGTTATCCCACACATCTCCATAAAATTCATGTTCTTGAAAATGATCTTTGTCAAAATTGTGGCAAAAAAGGTGATTTAGATCATATTTTTTTCGAATGCCAAAGATATAAGGATGAAACAGATCAATTTATTCAACAATTACATGATCTCAATGTACAGGCTCCGTTTAATATCCTTAGTCTCTTAGCTAATGGTAATGAGAGAATTTATAATGCATTAGTAAAATTTCTGTCAGGTACCAAAATAGTATTTTAGTGACAACTATAAAAAAATATATGTATATACAAAATTGTGGTGAGCAACTTGGACAGTCCATAGCAAAGTAGCTGTCGAATTGAGTAGATAGCTGCTCAAGAGTTTGCTATGGAACTCTGAGAACCTCATCATCTTGTTTATATGTAAATATAGATAAAAGGGAGATAATACAAAAAAAATTAGTATTTTGAATTATATTATGTGTACCATTTTTTGAACACACTGATGATGTTAAAAAGATATATATTTAACTATTATCCTATTTTATTTTTAGCTCTTAAAGCATATTATTCAGCTCTTCGTTATTGATATTTTATGGACCTTACGGTAATAAAATTCTTATGTTTAAGGTAGTAGTCATGTTGTAACTGG